CCGTTGAAGTGTGACTGCGTATCTCTGAACTCTGTTTATACAATCGCCAATTAATACGCCCTTGAGTGTTCATAGGCGTCACATTCTCCTTTAACTAACTAGGGAGGTGTTAAGAGCAGCCTAGCCAGTAGCCTAGATGCGCCACGCTACAGCTGAGATTTAGCAGGACAGATGGCTGCACATCAATCATGAGTGTGATTTCCAGTTCAAGCCAACGTGAAGCAAGTTCGAATTCATCCATGCAGTGTGAAAGGCTGGTTTTCTAGAAACTCACAAATGTCACCAGTTTCTTATAGTAATTTATATTCCATATAAATAGGCAAGTTTACAAGAAATGCATTCCATTTTTATAGACATGATCAGGTATGTTATAATTTGTAGTGGCGAAGCATCATAACTTGGAACTTTTTCAAGTCTAAACGGTTGAATTTTAGTACAGACAATCAGAACGGTCCGTACAAATGTTAAATCGTCAACCCTTCACCAAGATCACCATCAAATTTCGTTCCGTTTCCCGTGGATAGTTGTGGTCAACCAGTGAACAGCCTATATCCAAATAAGTACTATGCACCCATGTAGTTAGAAGCCTTTAGAGGAGAGTAGAACGTCCTGGGAAATAGCGAAACGGCACAAAATGCAGTAGGGATGATGCAACATTAAAAGTACATTTACAAGATAAATACAAGAAGGTGTTACAGAGTCCTTGGAATGATGGTATACACTTGCAATCTATGATGATAACCAAATTGGTCCGACCACAGCAACTATGACATTTTCGATGAAAATAAAGCTACGTTCAAACACTAATGTTGTTGTTTTTCTTTTCTTCACCAGAGCAACGAGACTTTAAGCGAGTGAATATGAATAAAAAAGAGTAAGTTTCAGCTTCATTGAATGTCTAGGTAGTTAAGATAAAATACAGTATATTAGTATTAGATAAGAAGATTGTTGTGAATTGTGTGTGATATTATAGCGAGAAGTGGCTTGAAAGATCAGAAAGATTAGAACCCGTATGATATGCTGACCTGTAAGATTTCTCGAGAATTTGTGTAGATCCCGTGGGGCAACATCTTAGCAAGAAGCTGAACAGACTTATCGATTTTAGGGTCAAAAGCACCTTTTATAATTTAGACCTGTACAGTCGTTACTGTTGTGTTTTTTAATGTTGTGTTAAGGATCTAAGCTCATGTTTAATTCTTGAGCCGGCAAAAATGCATGCTGCTGTCCTACAGATAGAAGCGATTCACATTTGTGATCACCACCGTATCTGCTGATCTCTACGCTCCCCCTCCCCCTTTTGATGTTAAGCTGTGAGATTTTTGGTGATAAGTGCAGTTGTAGCATACCATTGCTTTGACCCCGACCCAATCATATCGTATACTCCACATTAATAGCTTTTATGACAAGTGCTTTCCATTAGGTCACCAGGTACATCGATCGCTGAGGACATTCTTAGCAGTATTATCTTTAAACATGCATACATGTGTTTAAACAGGTTACCACAAACTACCGGGACACTAAGCTTTCCTTAAAAGTTATAAAGTACAGGGGTAGTTAGTATTAAAGCAACTAAGTTATAGTCTGTTTAGCGGACTGATATAAGTAGTGGAACAATGGGTTATAAAGTTATGTAGAATGATCCTGAAGAAAACATCTGGTTACCAGAACTAGTTATGCTTAATCTTCATTACCGATTTCCATATGGTATGCGTCAGACATTGCAAAGTGACTCAACAACTTATGCTATGGAAAAAATATCACAAATTGTAGAAAATTATCAAACAAATTAGTAGCTATTGACCGGAAGCAGTCACTTCTGTACAGCGTAGCAGAGTGTACTGTAGTAATTACAAATATATATGTATGTGAAATGTTAGAAAATATGGTCGCTATTATAACTGTTTTGAAAAATAATTACACTAGGCCTACTTATTCAAGATTATAGGGAGGAGAAAATAGGTAAATAGGCTGAACGTTCGCTGTATAAGTAGTAGCTAAAAGGTTTTATAAGGTATACGAATTTTGAGAACAACAGCAAACAAAGTCATATTCTATTGAATAGGGTGACATGAATAGTGGTACAACTGGATGTAGACGTAGATAAAATAAACTGCTAACGGGGATGCTGAAACAATGGGAAAGTAACAAGTAACAGCCAGTAAAACGCCGACAACAGGGACCAAAGATTTCAGTGCACTATGGTAGACGCCAGCTGCCTGAGAGGTCTGAATGTTGTAGACATCTGATGCGAATAGGAAAATTTCGAAACTTTCTCGTTTACATTAGCTATTCACCTTTGGGTAGGAATTTGCAAATATGATATATTTTAGGTAGGATCGTGTAAACGGCTTGGTGTTCATGAGGGGCGTGGAAGATTTTTCAGTGTTGCTGAGAGATGGTGACTGAGAACAAAATATCACTATGCAATGCGGTGGCTTTCTGTCACTTAAGATGGCCTTTAATTTGCTTCGCCTAAACTTTACAGGTGACTCACAATCACATACGGTGATTAATTCAAACCCTGCACTGAAACCACTGGAAGTCATGATTATGATGACACACTGAAATCTGGAGCCAACGCTTAGTAACTAAAGGCTTTCGACGTACACCCCCAAAATTAAGTTTGCCAAGCTGTCAAAAAGTGGTATAGGCCTTTTCCTCTGCCAAAGTCTACCCCACTCACCACGCAGCCTCGGTCCTTTCGTGAGACTTACTAAGGGTTCGAGTACCTGATTACTGGCAGCATCAGACGTAACACCACTTTTCCCATCCAGCAGAATGTAATAACACGCATTGGTTGAAGGATATATTACGTAGTCGACCATCAAGAATGACAGTCATAGATATTCGGGTACAGAGAGGAAAGAAATATAGTTCTTCTATTGGATGTAATCTGTGGGAAGTCGTATTCGTCCACCAAAAATCTGCAAAAATCCTAGATGGTGAAGCTGTCAATCTTATGCTGAAATTCCTAATTAGATCTAGGGACACGAGGGTAATTTTCATCTCGTTTTACCTTCTTTACACCCCTCACACTAATATTAGCGTAGGAGGTTACTTGTAAGTATTCCGTTTTTTGAAAACTGATATTGGGCGACTGAAGAGATGTCAGATACTGTCTGAATTATTTCTCAAATGTTCAGTTATACTTCCAGCATAACGAGCAAACAATAGGAAAATTTTCATCGATTCGATTAGAATAAAAGAATAGCAACATGTTAGTGTTGTTTCGAGGTATGAAGTGCCAGCCAAAGCGACTATCTAATAACAAAGAGATCCTCAAGCTAAACAAGAAAGTGACAATGTCATTGTTGAACCAAGAAGTTTCGGAATCACAAACACCTTTTGATCAGTAAAAGTCAGTGCCTAGTGCAAATCTACTTGGCTCACTTCTCATAAAAAAGGATAAAATGCCGCATGTCAGTTACATTTTATTCTGTCACTTTCGATGATTTATCGTAATTTTCCTGTAAGTGAAGTCTGAAACAGCTCGACTTCTATTTTGGTCTTCACATTCTTTGTATCAGTATCAACGAAGAAGAGGGGGTACAAAGCAAGTAAAGCAGTTAAGTAATCATTTCTCTGTCGCATTCAATATGAATAACGTAACCAGGAATCCGTCATAGTGAGACGGCTAATTTGTCCTACATACTGAAGCGAATAAAATGGACTAAAAATGTTTTAATTTTATATTATTCTAAGCTTTACGTGCGGCACAGAAAGTGCTTCGCAAAAGGAAACATATCTTTGGAAACATAGAAAGAAATAGGTCAGTATAGCAATAGAAAACATTAACTGTCTATTTTCTTTTAGTTTGTTGCAAACCTTAATGCGCTTGCACAGTAGGTCACGTAGGTTCATCTGCCTAATCACTTTTGAATAACTCACTTTTTGTCTAATAGGATGAATTTTCTAGTCAAATAACTCTGTTGTGTGTGGGTTCCTTCCTTCCTCGAAATACGTCCAATACTAACACCATGGTTTCACTGAGTACGCGATGGTGTAGCTAGCTAACATAACCTGAATTGTTGGATAAAACTGCCTGTACAGACCCAGGCAGCACAGATAATTAAATACGGATGAGTCCATTAGCAAATCTCTATAGAACGAGAGTTTGGAATATTGACAGAATATCTAACCAGGTACTGTAGCTGAATCCACCAAATATTTCGAAGTCAAAGAAAATAAATTCATTCAGACAAAATCATTTAATTAAAACACGTAGAATTTAAGCCATAACAATCACTCTGGTACATGAACTTTCGCAACCAAATAGATAAACAGCCAGTATAAATAATTCAAAGAGTAACTTCTTTTCTGGTTTTGCATGAGGAGTTTCAGAGAGCATGAGTGACTGATTACTATGTGAATAACTGATTACCTTGTACCAGTAGATAATCCCCCAGAATTATTAGCCACAGCGTTCATCACTAGACACTAGATGCTAAACTTAACTGTTTCAGATGTTTTGTTTAGCTGAAGACTTGCGGCCAAGCATCCACGCCATTCGGCACTCTGTTGTATTACATTCGGTTGTTCAAGCACGATCTCTAGCTACTTAAGCAATCATCCCCGCACTGCGGACTCGGTCCCGAAATATACCCAGTATTTTGGACGATCAATTTGGTGTTTTACTTTGTCATTGGTCTACACAAAATGAATACTATAGAAGTTGTGAGTGTAAGATCTTGCACTGATATGCATCACACTATCCGTGAACTTCAACACCCTGAGCCTCTGAAACCTGAAGTTGCTTAAATATTCATAGGCGGAGCACAAATGATCTATTGGGACGATTGGGATTTCTGGGGAGATTAAAGAACAGAACCAGAAATACAAACAGATCTTAGAATAGTATAATCTGTGGTCATAATTTCAAGAATTTAGCAGCTTTTACTGCTTATGAATATTTTGAGTCCAAAATCGTGGTATATTAAATGAGATCATTGAACATTGTATTCCGGTAGCAACAACAACCTTGAATTTGGTCGTCCGCAAACAATTAATTGGCGGAGTTTCGAAGGTCTTGTTTTTTGTTTACGTTCGACACAAGGATGCCAGGTGGGTTATAGTGGTATTGTTTTGTTTGGAGGGCTTATTCACTATTTTGAAATGATTTTACTGTGAATATATTTTTTTGGCTTTTCTATGTGACTTATCAGTGCGTGGCACTTTTTCTGTACTCCTGATAACACCTATTAATTATCATTTGTGTATTTTAGTGATAAAAGTAGCTGATATCAGTTAAGTGTCTTCGTATACTTATTTGTATCAGTGTTCTCTCGATTCATATCTTACTATTTACGTATATAGACTTAATTTGAAATAGAAATTAATATCTTTGTAATTCTGGTTTCTTAGAGACACACAATCGAAACTACTACTGAAGCATAGCCACATTATTGAACTTTTTTTGAGACCAAATTCAAAGTATGATGAGCTTTAAAGTTCCTAATGAATGGTGTAATCTCTACTGATTACCTTGAATGTGATGGGTTGACACGAGAAGTTTCTAAGTGGTTTTATTTACTTGTATTGGTATTGATACCTTCCTTGAGCCTATATTTATCCTTTGATCGTGCTTTCTGTCCTTTGAGGATTTGAAGTAGCTACTTCAACGTGTTTGTTTATTTCAGACTTGTCTGAATACCAGGCTTCTTGAAATTCCGCCCTTTGTCTAAGAATTTTGCACTTCCCGAGTGTATTCATATGAAAGAATTCATTGCGTATTTTGACTGCTACCTTGTGTCCGTAGATTTGAAAATGAAGGAGGTGATTGTTCTGAACAGTTTCAGATTCAGATGATAAGGTTAGTAGGCTCTTGTGGCCTGTGTTAATCCTTGCGAAATATATCTCTGCAGAGATTTAACTTCTCTTTGAAAGCGTTCACCGATAAGGCTGATACTACTGAATCAGGTAAGAAGTGCCAGTCGTTGATCACTCTGTGAGAGAATCTAAATTCCTCACGTATTTTAGTCATCAACGGTTTGAGCACCTTTTTGCGGTGACCCCGTAAATGTATCCTAGAAGGGGAGAAAAGGTTAGAAATCACCGTTAAGTATATGGTATGCTAAGATTAAGTCGCCTCTCTTTCTTCGGTATAACAACGGGTAGAGATTTAAATGCTCCATCCTTTTGTCATAAGGAATGGTTCCTACCCTTTGCACTCTTTCTTAGATATGTCCCTCCTCTTAAATCATGGACTAGCTCCTTGTATGCGGTATTCTAGATGAGGCCTGACATATGTTGCGTAGAGTACTTTGAACATAGACTCATCTAATCGTTCGAAAGCTCTTCGGAGTGCCCATAGCATTCGAAAAGCCTTAGCTGCGGCTGCATTGCAATTTGCAGTTGTTTTCAAATCATTGCTGACAATGATTCTTAGGTCCTTCTGTCCATTAATATCAAGTAGTTTTGTATGCCATACGGAATACGACGTTATAAGACTTCTGAACGAGGTGCATTACCGCGCTTTTCCTAGAATTAATTTCCAAACTCCAGAGGTTCGACCACTCAGCTAATTTATCTAGATCACTGTAAGGCTGACCTATCATCGTTTTTATGTACAGTTTTCCAAATCTTAATGTCATCCTCAAATAATAATGAAGATGAAGTAAGAATCCCTGGTATTTCATTGAAGTATAGTAGGAATAACAAGGGGCCTGATAAAGTTCGTTGAAGCACTCAGCTGGATACTGCTTTCCACTATGATAGTACACTTCTAACTCTAACCTTCTGCCTTCTATCCGTTAGGTAGTCCCTAAACCACTCACATAGGCATTGGTCTAGTCCAAAACCTTTAAGTTTACTAAGGAGACCTAAGTGGGGTACTTTAACGAATTCCTTACTAAGATCGATAAAATCCACGTCCAACAGAAGGTTTTTGTCTCTGGCCTCAACCCAGTCTTCCCTAGCCAATAGTAGGTTTGTCAGGCAGGATTGTCCTGGTCGGAATCCATACTGTTCCACCGCCAGCAAGCCATGTTTTCCCACATGACCTAATAGCTGACCCCATATAATTATTTCTAATACCATTGCTATAATGCATGTCAGACTTACCGGTCGGTAGTTAGATACCGACTGCCTGTTCCTCTCTTTGAAGATAGGGCATCTGTCCAGTCACTGGGTAGTGTATTTTTCATAGTTGATGGAATTTATTTCATAGATCATATGCGTTTTGCCTCTTTGTCATGAACATAAGCGACTTCATTGGTTTGTGGGTGACATCTATACTTAAGGGTTTAAATTTCACATTGGCGATTTTGGAAATCTTTATTTACGATATGATAATTGCGTGGTTCCAAGTCTTGCGTTCATCAGTTGATTTGAGCTGATGTACTAGCTGATACAGGTGCAGGTTGGGAAAGAGTAAGTGGTGGCCAAACAAAAGCATGGCATCAATCCATGAAATCCTTGACAGTTAAACTGAGTCAGGTAGGGAGATGCAGACTTCCGGGTTGGGGCCCTCGGGACTCTAAGAATCAATGGCTGGAGACTATAGGTGACATGGCTCAAAATCGTTGTCAATGGCTAGCTCAGATGTATTCAGTCTCTTGTGTAATCTTTCATATTCCTTTCTACCATTACTCATTCTGTTTCACTCTTATACTTGTCAAAACTCTATTGATTCTCTTTACTCATTTTCTTGTCTACCTTTGTGTGCTATTTGGAACGTGGCGGCTCAAACTGTTGCACTTCGGTGCCAAGTTCTATGTTGAATCCAGACAGAGACAGATTGGTGTCTAAAAATGACCATGATTGGTAAAATGCCTATAGTCATAAAGAATATTCTTTGCCTAAACTTCCTTTTGTCTTCTAAATGCTTAGTTGGTAATTTCAGCTATATTAAGGTTCGCACTATAAAACTGTATACGGAACAATTTTTATTAAAAGTGAATATTTGGGTAACCTTGAAATTTATTTATTCCTTTACGTGCCTAGTGGAACATAGGGCTTCAAGCTAGCGACTTGAAGTTTCGAAAGCGGTGGTGTGTATTTTTACGGTGTGGAGTTGCTAGCCTGATGCCCAACCTTGCCTCTATACCAGTCGGTCTTATTACTGGCTTATCAAGGTAAGGGAATGCGTCGGCTGGGGACCACATGCGTGGTCGGCAAGCATTCTACCACTTTGCTACTGACACATAATTTAGGTAATATGTGTTATGAAAACACTATCCAGATGGATATTGGTGATATTGACTGAAAATTTTATCTACCACCTTTTAACAACCATTTCCACTATTGTCTGTTAGGTTTTTGCATATCCATAAGCATTAGCCATGTGGGAATACAAACCTAAAAACTATGGACACCTGTTTGGTTACAAACTATGTATTCTTTTTATCAATAGAAAAGTGAACTGTTGGGCAATTAACGCTTGTTTACCATCATCAAACCACAGGAAGATTGTGGTAAATTGTACTCAAGCGCTAGTTTTAGTGGTTTGAGTTCTTAATTAATCGGAATAAGTCAGTTTCATATTCTTGTATCTCCTGTGGATTGGCATGTGGCTATTGTTTAAGTAAAATTCAATATGAACCAACCAAATTATAATATTGTATTTTTTAGTCTAGGTTCTGTATAAAATCCACAATGTTCACTGATAGAAATGTCATTACTCAACTGGACAGTTCGGTGAACTGTTCTCCTGGCGCTCAATGGTCTAGGCACTTGACTACTGATCACTGAATGATGATTTTGAACATGGCTCCACCTAATAAAGTTTGTGCAGCTAGGTGGGTACCATCAGCTGTCGCACAATAGATGTGGCTCATTGTCAACTGTATGAAGATGCATGTGGTTACTGAGTCGAGTTTCCAACGTACTTTTCGAGCATAACTCTGTTTAACCAAATAATTTGAAACAGGTTTTTAAGTAAGTGCTTAGCTTGTATCATCTTAATGACTTTTTTAATGACCACTGTTTCCCTTCTAGTGTCAAATCAACACACTGTATATTTGTCTTAGTTATTTCCACATATTTACGTCTTAAGTTGGTTCTCAGCTTTTTCGTTTCAATTCATTACGCGCAGTGGACGTCTTTTAGTATGTAGAGAGAAGATCAGAGATCTGGCGTCTGCAAGATAACTTTTTTTACTGTATTAATACAAATAATGTTTTTCTTGTTTCTTTAATCTCTACTAGGACGGATAAATCGAATTACTTTTCAACCCAATCAGCGTAACTTAGTCCAAGTGTATACAAATCTACCTCCTGGTATTGACTCAAAAGTTACCGCCTATCTTATTCTTATAATTCGCTTGTTTCGTCCAACTTCATCGTATATTGGTTCACGTTGTTCAGAGGCGACAAACACTGCTTCAAATCATATTTATGTACAAGTTCGTTGGTGGGGTGAACCAACCGGTGGAAAATGTGCCATTTTTTATCCTCGATTAGCACATAAAGTTGGACATAAACAAACAACTTGCACTAAAGCTCGTTATAAAATCACTGTTCCTCTGGATCGATTTAGTGCTTATCTCAAAGGTATTATTTTGTATAGTGAAGTACTTTTTTTATTGTTTCACGTTCCCAGTGGAACATAGGGCTTCAAGCTAGAGGCTTGAAGTTTCTGTAACAGTGTTTATTTTTACAGGATGGGGTTGCTAGCCTCATGCCCAACCTTTCCTCTTTACCAGATTTATTTCTGGCTTAGTGAGGTAAAGGAGTGTGTCGGCCGGGAATCGAACCCCAGACCACGTGCGTGGTCGGCGAGCCTCCTAACCGCTGTGCCACCGACGCAGCGAAGTAATTTTAATGCCTGATAATTTCTTTTATCTAAATGTTACTATTTAAAATTCAACCCTTAATTTAGGTAGTCAAAAACCTAAGAAATATAAATTAAATGCGTATCCCAAAGTGATGACGATTCGTTGAAAATCTGACAAAACTCCAAGCTGTCTTTACTACCCTTTAACCAATCTGCTCAAGTTATAAGTAGATCGTATAGTGAATGCAATTTTTGAACCCTTAAGTCAGTTTATTATTGAATCAACCAAATTTCGTGTCTTATGGTGTAGTTCCGTAATATTAACTAATGACGTTTCGAGCACAAACTATTGCCGCTCATAATCATATCAAGTTACTCACACAACTTTTTTCCTTCATTTATATACATGTGTGGAATTGACTAGATATTTGGAATAAAATTCAGTATGAGATAATGTACATTCAGAAATAATAATACGACTGTTATTGATCCATTGCAATCAGATGGGAAATAAGACGAGTGTTTGAATTGAAATAGAATATTAAGATTATTTATTATTATCCTCTGATTTGACCGGCGGTAATAAAATCTTCCATATTTCTGGTATTTGCATTGAGTCATTTCTGTTGCATGTGTTGGGTGTAGACTCAATGAACAAGGATTCCGTAATCAACCTCTCTCCACCTACCTATGTAGCTCTTTAGAATTTTAACCCTATCCCACCACCTGTACTTGTGTGGTTGTTTGTTAATGCATGAAGTGCAATTGCTGAGCTTTTTTCTAAATTACTTATCTTTTCAGGGTCAACCATTCTTCCCTTAGCTGAATTCTTATATTCTGATAATCTGACTACCCCCGACCTACTAGTTTGACCTATGTAATTGACTTCACAGTCATTGCAGGGTATTTTGTAAATTATATTATTTTTTCTAATTGGGTCTAATTGTAATTGATCAATGACACTCATATTATTATTTTTGGATGTACATTATCTCATATTGATTTTTATTCAAATATCTCATCAATTCCACTCATGTATATAAATGAAGGAAAAAGTTGTGTGAGTAACTTGATATGATTATGAGCAATAGTTTGTGCTCGAAACGTGGTCATCAGTTAATATTACTGTATAACAGCACTGTGTGATTTATCAAAATAAAATCTTATCCATAATGGAGTTATGCTATACCACAGTGCCCAAGTTTTATACTTACATCTTATGGTGTAGGTTAGTCATATTGCACATTGGTGAAGCATTTCTACTGTAGTATCTTAATAAGTTGTACTACTTTAAGGTCGGGGTGTTTTATTACTATTATTATTTTTATTACTATCTGTATTTCTCTTGTAAATAAATAAATAGGAAGAGAGTGTTGTGTTGTTTGTATCGATGAAACTGTTTTGGTAGCTATAAAACTTGAAAGCTGATACCCTTCATGGTAATTGGAAAGTATTTTTTCAGTTAAGTTAGGGTAAAATATAGTCGGTTGATGTGTATAATTACGATTCTGTTAACTGCCTATTGCCTTCAGCTATTCATTAATAAAACTTTACCATATTCTTAAGTTCACATCAATTTTTTTCTAATCATACTAATTTATTCTTGTATTTAATAATTTTATGGTGAAGATATGCGTGAACTACGCCTAGATGTTATTGACAGTCGTCATCAGCGTATTATTGGACGTGGACGATTAGATCGAATTGATCGTCTAACTTCGACAACACCAATCGATGCGTAAGATAACAAACACCTTTTTTTCTGTATAAAATGTCTACTGATTATGATTATTTTAATTTAACAAGACACTTTTTAATGCAATTTACTTTAATTTCTTTATGGGTAGTTACATATATGGCATATCCCTTTTTTTTTTTTTGAAGTAGTGGCGCTGCCTGTTTTATTCACCGGTGGGTAAAAGGGTGTTTCAGTAATTAGGCTAAAATATACCACAACATTATTTCATGAATAATTCAATGATATATGTTTAACTTTCGAACTTAGTGCCTTCTTTAGTCAAGTACATTGAGCAGATATCAGTATCAAGTCAGGGTTTTCCGATAAAAGTGCAGCAAATGTAACGCAGAGTATAATGCCACGGATAATATGTACGTCAGAACACAACTATTTAATGCAAAAATTTCATTTAAAGAGCATACGAAAAATATATCACGTCATTAAACCACTACAGAAACAGACTAAGACACTACAGTTAGCGTAGATAGGCAGTCAAGCTACCCTTTCCTCACTATTTAGTAATATGCCAATTATACTTTGGTAGTGTAACAACAGAAGGCAAGACACGGAAGCCAAGGTATATTTTCAAGTGGTCAAACTGCTATATTTATATGTATATATATATAAACATACAGCGCCACCAACAATCTAATTCGTTGGTTAGTTTCTGTCCTCACGTTCAACTAGGTGGAGTCAGTCATTAGTGTACACTAGATCAGTTTCCAAATGTTGGTTTGCGTAGGTTTGATTGATTCCAGCCTCGATCACCAAGTGACTTCTCCATTCCGTTCGGTTCTCTTCTAGCGTTTTCAACTGGCTCCACGTCTGCCCACATGCTTTCATCTCCTATTCGCATGTCACCCTCACACTGACGATCAACTCGCCGCTTGCCATTCGGGTTCCACTCGGGCGATGGCCTGGCGTGTGAATTCACTCACTTGATGGTTTGTTTTTTCTGAGTAAGGACAATCCACCTCCATTTCTTCCTTCATATTTGTTGCACAATTGGTTCCTGATGGGTTAGTTCGTTCATTTCCAGAGATCCCTCCCTGTTGTGGATCTTTTCTGGCCATCTAATTTTGAGTATTGAGTGAAAATAGCTGTTGGTGAATTTCTGTAGTTTGTTCGAAGCGCCCTTCGTGACGCGCCAAGTCTCTGATCCTTACAGTAAGTAGCACTGACTTCACATTGGAGTTGAAAACCCAGACCTTATTTTTCACGCTGAGGAGTGCTGTTGACCTCCACACAGACTTGAGAGTAATGAAAGCTTGACTGGGTTTCCCGATCCTCGCTTTCATATCCTCATCAGTTCCGTCCACTAGTAGTCGAAACTATGCTTCACAGGTAGGTAAGTAAAGGAGGTTACTTCTTTCAGATTTCTCCCATTTATGCTGATTGTTGCCTGTTGTTATCGCTGTTAGCCAGGAGTCTTCATCACTTTTGTCTTCTCTATGTTCACCTGAAGTGAAGTCCTATCTTTGATGCTTCTTCTATCGCCAACTTGTTACTTTTCACTTGCATATCTCCCAGTTTGTGGGAAATCAATTCAAAGGTTGATATCGTATTGTTTTCGGGTCACCGGAAATGACCATCTCACATTCGATCTCTAGACTAATGTTGTCAGTGGTGAGAATAAGGGTAAAAATAGTCAGACCGCTTAAAATTACTTTATGTGTTCAGTGACGCACACCATGTATGTATGATTCTCAAGTGTAGTACATGACTAACCTGTCACACACACACACCCCTACTATGAGAAAATTCCCTAGTATAGAAGGCAATAGTAGGCCATCCCCAGGTTCTTAACAATTCAAATTATTAGTAAATATCCCAGGTTGGTTTTTTTTCTCCTTCAAAAGACTGATTAGTTGAGCAAAGAATATTCTTTTCCTTTCGAAAACATTGATTTCGTGGGTTCCACAGCAGTCTAAGACAACAATAGTGGCTGGATCTGTTTCTTTTTAGCACACAGAGCTCTGATTGTTTCAAGAGAATTGCATTAGTCTCTAATCTATTTGGAGTATCCGGTGCCTAGAGGCTTTTGGCAATTTATTTTGTATCCGATATAGATGGTAGGAAAAGATTCTTCGATATTAGCTTGTTTGAACACCGGCTGATCTAATTTCCAACTATTGATGGGGTGTTTTTGTTTTACTACACTTTTATTGAGCCACACTGGTAGGTGTTCCACAGCACGACAAACTAAGTTCCTAGAGCAACGACCAATATAACTGGGCTCTCCAAGAGTAGTTCAACTGATTGGATGCAAGAAGAGGGTTGAATAGCTTAGGTACTTCATCTTTCGATTGGGGAATCACAACGAGCCTTGTAGGGAAATATGAAGTGTAGCCTTACTGGCATTAGAAAGTCTTTGAATTGACTTTCTCAACTTGTTGATGTTGTTTTTCATAGATTAGTTGTCCTATTGTTTTTTTACTATATTTTTGTTGTTAGGCGGGAGTTTAAAAAGATATTTTCATGCGTACTTTAAATCTCCTGTTGTAATTCTACCTTTTTGTTTTATTGTCTAATGCATTTCAGTATATTACCTGTTATCAATGAAGTTGGTGAAAAATTGGGTGATTTAAATCTTTCATTAATGATTGAACCTGTACTTTGTAAGTGACTTATAAAAAAAGAAACAGTTATATGGTTTTATGTGAATTATGATTGGTTGAAAAGTAAATATGTGTATCTGTATGTATGTATGGATGGATGTAGTCATTTTAGCTTCATTTTCATATACTGTTGGGCTGCCCCTGAATCAGCCTGTGGCTTATTGATCTCATTAATTGACCTTCAAATCAATCAGATGAATCATACATGCAGACCGTGTTGCTCTCATCAAGGTAGTTGATTAGGTGATGTTCAACAATAGCGTCCCAGGTGTGCAAACGCTCCAATGACCTTGAACGCATGCTAGTCGTTGGCTAACGGCATCTGTCATTAACATGGCTAAAATATCAACGCTATTCACCAACTTAGGAGCAAATTTCCCGCAGATCACGATTTTAAGTACTGTTTGGACAATGTGTTAATAGCTCGTTAGGGTTAGGATCAGGGTTATAATTAGCATTAGGGTTAGAATTACGGTTTGGGTTAAGGGTTATGATTAGGGTTAGGATTAAGGTTAGGGTTAGTGTTAAGGTCAGCATTAAGCTTATGATTACGATTAGGGATAGATTTATAGTTGATGTCATTTATTTTAATTTGTTTCATTATCCACGTTTTCCTGGTAAGTAGTCGCCTATCCTCTTACTGGAAACCATAACAGTTCAACCGAGGGCTTTTTTGGAAGACTGCAAGCAGGATGAGAGAGATAAACGATTCACAAAAACGGTTTATCTGTAGTCGTCTCGGTGAATACATGTACAGAAACTAGTCTAACTTAGCAACTGATACTCCTCGTTATAACTAGGACGTATTTTTAAGCCATGTCAGAGAAAGATAACCTGTTTAATGCGTTTTCAAGCATTTTCTTGTCAATATACATCATTTTTTGAGCAAAATATCCTCATTTTTATGATTGGTCAGCTGAAGGTCACTCGAGTGTTCGCACTCCTGGGACGCTATTGTTGAACTTTGCCGTTGATTACATTATCCCTAGGACATTCGGTGTATGTACAAGTCCAGATGTTAAGTCAACAAACAGTCTTGCATATTTCATATATGAATCCCTCTCAATAAACAGAGATGGGAATACAAATGGGACAGAATAATTTCGTGAATGGTGGATGGCAATGGAATCCAGCATGCTCACTTCGTCCTATTTGGGACTCGTCATTTGGATGTAGTTGGTGCAGAAGTATGTGGATGAATTTATTTCTCCCATCCCCATCAGCTGCGCACAACCTACAATATTAAAACAAACCAGGAACAATTTTGTTGTTAGGGTGGTGATAATTAGGCGATAATTGCGCAATCAGAGATAATAAAATACAGTGGCTAGAACTCATAAGATTGGAAAATCAAAATCTGGTGTGCGTACGAAGTCGAATGAAAAGATGACGATTTAATATAGTGAGTAGAATTCAAAGGCTCAGAAATTAAGTCTAATATATAAAAGTCAAGCGAAAAAATAGGTGGTGGGAGGGGGGAGCTGATGGTTGAAATAAAATGATGAGATCGGAAGACAGATAGCTAGCAGGGTGACTGAAGTCCCACGACAAATTCTTTCTGAACACATAAGTCAGGTTTCAGTCATTTTATTGTGTGAAAAGACTTGAGCTGTTTTGTATCTGTCAATTATTTTGAATGCTCCCAGTGCCATCCACACTCGGTGACCTGTGTCTACCGGGTGTTTGGCAATTGACAAGTTTAAACTTTTCGGTCCCTCTAATCGAAGCCTCTTAGGTACACACATGTTCAAAGAATCTGAAATAGACCCCGCTGTACTTTTAATGTAACTGCTCCAGAAGTTACCCATGAATTGATAAACACAGTTGAAGGTGACATAAGAGAGGTGCCTGTCGATTTTTAACTGTCACAACTACCGGGATGTTCGAAGTAGAGAGAGAGAGCAACTAGTGTTGCTGCCTGATACGTCCTGGTCAGTGCTGTACTTAAATGCTTATTCATCATTCTCATAATGACATCATCACTTTTGAAGTCAAGCTGAGTGAAAATTGGTTTCTTTTTACATTCTTCCTTGTCATATTTCTGTCTGTCTGTTTTCGACATAGAACTTTGCACATATGTGCGGCAGTTTAAGTCGCCACACTCCATGTAGCACACAAAGCAAGAGAAGAAAGTAGAAGAAATGCGAAAAAAGAGACAGTAGACAAGGATATGAGACAAAAAGAAAAGTAATAACGGAGAACAATATAGTTTCATTGGAAATCATAAGTCACAAGGAGTGGATGCATCTGCACCAGCCATTGAGAACGACTTTGAGCCATGTCACCAATTGTTTCCAACCATTGGTTTTTACCGTCCCGAGGACCCCAACCAGTCAGGAAGTCTACACCTTCCTTCGTGGCTGGTTGGCTTAAACTGACTGTTTGGATTTCATTGAATGGTGCCATGTTTTGGTTTGACTACCAGTGGCTCTTTCCCAACCTGACCCTATATCAGCTAACATTGCCCATTGTCGACGAAGGCGATGACTAGGCATACGTAACACATATTCTAACCATCTCAGCCTCGTCGATTGATTTTCCGCTCTTTACCTAGCACTGGACGCCTAACCTCAATATTGCTCACCTTATTATACCACTTCACGCGGGAGATAGAACGCGGGTACTTGTGATCAAAGACAGCTAATCTTTTTATGTCTTCCACTCTCAATGGCCAGGTTTCACGGCCATAAAGCAGGACGGAGTGGACTGATGAGTAGTACACATGCCCTTTGGTCGACAGCCAGCCGGATATCACGTCTACGCCAGAGACGGCGTAAACTGGCATATGCGAAACTAGTCCTCTGTATCCGTGCTGAGATTTCGTCAGAGATCAACCCGTTGGGGCTGATGGTACTTCCCAAGTAAGTGAAGCGGTCATATTTGTTGATACGTGGATCAGAACAACAGTGAAGGATTTCACAGACTGGTGTTGCATACTATGGGATTAATTAAGGTAGTTGGATGCCAATTATGGTAACTACTGGCATTGGTTAAGCCAACTGATGGGAATTAGTATTTATTGGATTGTCATTTGTGTACGTTTGAGACGAAGACTCACTAGCGCTTTGCTCGAATGCGGATACCATAGTTCAATCAGTCGTATATATATATATATATATCCATGCAGATAGTTCGTTTACACGCTTAGATACATGCTAATCTCAGTATCTAACACGTCACAACTTACTATCTGAAGATTTTGACTGCCAAATAGAAAACATGGCGGAACCTCACAACCTGACTGTACCAAAATGTGTTATTCCCACTAATAGCTTTCGAATCTTGTCAATACCTGCTTTAGTTCTATATCTTACCTATTTGTCAGTTTTGGAGCTCTTCGTTATAATTCAGCATTCTAAAATGAATTGGTGCATGTGCACAACGGATGATAAGCTCAGCCTCCAAAATCACACCCCCCAATCTGACAACTAAATATTTCTGATTAGTATGACTGGTTTTTAACTTGTGTTATATACACAGTATTATGGACAGAAGAACTACATGCTTCTACAGAAATTGAAATTGAATGCATCTTAGAGTAATTAGTTGCCATGGTAACCTTTTTATTCCAACAGACGGTTGGATGAAAAATTTTGAGACATCTGTAAGTGTCTAACAGTTTAAGGCGTGTTTTTAGTAGGCTTTTCAGAGTGAGACCATCTGGATGAAACTGTGCTCAGGTGAGGGCTTGTGTACTGCCAGATTTATCCGCAGCTGAAACTCGAACCGGAACGGACCCATGTCGTAAATCGCTAAAAGCCCACTGACCATCTCAGCTGCAGGACAACAGGTAATCTCCAGTTGCATGAATACTTAGCCCAGTTATAGGTCGTTTGTGGGGGTGAATAATACTCGCACACTGACCTTGTTCTACTCCTCAGACTCGTACAGTTGTATCTGGAGTACCTGTGAACACTAATTGTTCAGAAGGATGATACACAACATACACACATACTATGTCCCTTGAGAATAGATATTACTTGTGCCGTCGCTTCTCGGCTCTCTGAGCTAAGATAATGTGTTTTTGTAGGCTTTTCAAAGTGAGGATAGAAAAAGCAGTCTATCGAGAGGTATTTTCACGTATAATTCTAGCAAGCGTCACAACAGATATTCTAGCTATTTAATTCAATTTTTAAAATTTTCCTGTTGCGATTGATTGGACCGAAGTCCTCGGTCCTAGGTTGACATGTCGGTACACGCAGGTACATCCAAGGCGGGGAAATCAATCGACGAAACGGTGAAATTACTTCGATTGAGATGGTTAGGACATGTGTTACGTATGCCTAGTCACCGCCTTCCTCGACGGGCAATGTTAGCTGATATAGGGCCAGGCTGGAAAAGAGCTAGCGGCGGTCAAACGAAAACATGGCACCAATCAATGAAATCCACAACAGTTAATCTAAGCCACGTAGGAAGATGTAGACTTCCTGGTTGGGGCCCTCGGAATGGTAAAAACCAATGGTTGGAAACAATTGGTGACATGGCTCAAAATCGTTCTCAATGGCTGGCGCAGATGCATCCATTCCTTGTGACTTATGATTTCCAATTAAACTGTTTTGTTCTCCGTTACTACTATTCCTTTGTCTCACACCTCTGTTTACTGTCTATATTATGCATTTCTTTTACTTCCTTCTCTTGCTTTGCGTGCTACATAGATTGTGGCGACTTGAACTGCCGCACATACGTGCAAAGTTCTATGTCGAAAACCGACCGACCGCAGGTACATCCAGCTGACGAGTCACAAATATGACGAAATGTGCGTCCTGGATTCCACTGATAGTCATCCCCCCATCCACCAGTCAACTTCTAGATATTCTAGCCACATAAAAAACTTGATAGAATACACTTAAAACGGCCAAAATGTAACATCTGACTTAATACGGTATTCCCCTAGACCCTACTTGAGGAAATTCAAACTGTCATTGACCGCCTCCGTTCCTACCTATAGAAATATACTGAAACGAAAGTGCGGCAAGTTTGATTTGAGATAGTGTATGTCCCTCCCTCACCCGACTTTTCAAGTACTATTGGAATAAATGTGTCCGAATGCCTGTCCATCCATAATCCTATGCTTTCGAATGACTCATATGTATAGATGTCATTATGATGAATTAGGGTATTCATGTTTTAATGCCACTTGATAGTCACATTTTGTGTATATATACATATGTATATATGTCAAAGTAAATAAGATAGTTTTGAAATCTTCTGTCTAACATTGGATCACAAATCAGGCAGGCAGACAGGGCCGAATATAGTATGAGAGGTCGACATGTCGTCAAACCATTCCATTTAAATAGGCTTATGAGCGAACTAGAATTTAGACATATTTATTCTTATGCTATATTTGAATAGTGTTGTAACAACAAACATATATATATATATATATATATATACATATATATCTTTTACAGCCATCCCACAGCATTTGATCAAAACGATGAGTCACACCAAACACACTAATTTTAGAAAAACATGGCATCTAGAAATATATATTGTAATACATTGTCACACTAAACACCTCCTTTAGCCTATTGGTGTTGTCTTAATAAGTCGAAGAGGGGGTGAAATACGTTTCTGGGCTAGTTAGTCACAGATACTGTTCGATAAGATTTTATTTTGATAAATCACACAGTGTTACACAGTAATATTAACTGATGACGTTTCGAGCACTCTACCACAGTGCCCAAGTTTTATACTTATATCAAGATACCGTTCGAATCAATGTGTGTCCCGATAACTAGTTCACTCATCATCCTGTATCTTTTCTGAATGATGACTTAAGGACATGTTTCATACCGTCCTCGTACCCGTTGGTTGACTGTATATTTGAAAACAAAATTGAGCAAAGATCGATAGCACTACATTTCAAAAGCATGTATGTAAGTGATAGTGTGGTGAGAGCTGTCTACTAGCCAAATTGGTAGACAGTAATTGACGTCAATGTTTACGTTCTCAAGATTTGTCGTGAGAAAAATAAGAACAAAGATTGATTCAGCAACCAATCACAGCAGAATTTGTGAAGGCAGATACAATTTGCAGATAGATGATGTGACATTTAAGAAACAGTCACAAAGAGATGAAAGATTAACTTTAAGTGAGAAACAACCAATCAGAAGACTGTGTTTGTTTGCTTAACTAAACTATAATAATGTACATGAAAATATATAAATATGCTTTGATTTCCTTAATAAACGATCTGTTGCCTGGCCCTTGTCTTCTATTGTTACAATGGTATGCATATAAATACGATTTTTTTCAAATTCCTTTACGTTCCCAGTGGAACATAGGGTTTCAAGCCAGAGAGCTTTAAGTCTCAGTAACAGTGGCATTTATTTTTAAGTGATAGGGTTGCAGGCTGCATACCTAACCTCCCCTCTTTACCAGTCTTATTTACTGGCTTATCGAGGTAAAGGAGTGCGTCCAGTGGCCGGGGATCAAACCCCGGACGGTTGACGAGTATTCTACCGTTGTGCCACCGACGCCATAAAAATATGATGCTGGATATAAATATCAGTTACAGTTAAGAAGAAAATTTATGAAACAGTTAAAGATAGTTAAAACAATAATATATTTGTGCGTTGAAGTTTTTGTAGCAATTTGGTTAAGTTTTGGGGGTGGAGTTGCTAGCACCACGCCCCAACCCTCCCTCTTTATCCGGGCTTGGGACCGGCTAGAAAACTAGTGACCTAGTAATCTAGGCGAGGTTTAAGGAGTGCGTCGGCCGGGGATGGAATCCCGGACCATGTGGGTGGTTGGCGAGCGTCCTAACCGACACCGGAGGTTATGAAAATAACCAACCAACAACAACAACACCAGCAACATCCAGCGCCAATCACCATCAACGGGAGGGATTTGAAAGAGGTTACTTCATTCACTTAGCTAAGGAGCGTTGTCTCAACTACAGGAGGAACGGACGAGGATGTCAAATCGAGAATCGGGAAGGCGCGAAACACATTCATCAACTTGAAACCAATCTGGAAATCTTCCTCACTCAACATCAACAACAAAATTCGGATTTTCAATACAAACGTCAAATCAGTTTTGTTATACGGATCAGAAACTTGGCCAGTGTGTCACAAAGAATATTTCCAACGGCCTGTTGCAGACCTTTATCAATAACTGTCTTCGTTCTATACTGAAGATCAGATGGCCGGAAAGAATCACCAACAAGAAACAATGGGAACAAACAAAACAAGAACCAATCGCTCAACAAATATGCAGGAGAAAGTGTAGATGGATTGGATACTCGCTGGGTTGGCCGCTGCGGGGTGACATCGCGCGTCAGGCCATAGCTCGAGTGGAACCCGAAAGGGAAGCGGCGAGTGGGACGTCGAAGGGTGACATGGAGGAGATCGTGTGAAGTGGAGTTGAGACAGTATGGACTTACATGGATGCAGGTGAAAAGTTCAGCAGAAGACAGAAGTAAGTGGAGACGTGCAGTTGAAGCCCAATGTTCCACTAGGAACACAAGGGAACAATAATACAATAATAATAATAAATTTCAAAGGTTTGAAGCTCAAAGGAAAATGAGTATGCCGACAAGCTGATTTAGGTAGGCTTCCTGTTTATATAATACATATATGCGTCTTCTTATTGTACCAGCTTCTTTCCTAGTCATAAGGAAGTCTGCAAAGGAAATACTATTATTTCTTTCATTGTCAATGCTAGTATTTAGTGATGAGTGCACATCAAAATATCTGAATAGGAGTTTTCTTGGTATTGCGCAATCTCATAACTATATTTTCATGTTAGTTTGTTTACTAGATATATCACACAGACTGTGAAACAGTATTATTGTTTACTGGATGAAACAGTCTCGAACAAAATTTATTGCGGTTCATAATCATTCCATCAATTATAATCACACGACTTTGAAACTTGAGTTTTATAGTTTTCATAGTTCTCTCTTACTTACTTGTCGTCGTTGGGGTAGTAGAATTGTCCAGATGTCTGGGTGGACAGGTGATGAATCATTCCTATTACATGTATTTGCAGTTGATTCGATAAACAAAGCTTCCGTTGTTATCAATCTCTCCCAATACCCCGTGACATTAGATTTTAAAACTGTCATCTTATCCCATCCATCCTATTGTATGGTTGTGTGTAACTGCATGTAGTGAGTGCTATAGCTGAACTATTCTCTAGATTTCTTATCTTATTCGGGTCAAGTTACTTCCAATATATAAAAATATCCATATGACTGAGAAAGAACTTTTACATGTTTATTTTTTCTACACTATGTAATTTAGCTTCAAATCCTAAGCCTATAATTACACGTTTCAATTGGAAAAAGGAAGACAATCAACGTCTGTCCAGCAATGCTGATGATAATGTTACCAATGTTGGCGATAATAATGATGATAACAATAATGAAAGTATATCTGACGAGAATGGGAAAGCTCCTCTTCAACCACCACCGCCTAGACAGGAAAAGACATTCACCTGTATAAAAAGTGATCTGAATGATACGAAGGAACAGGTAAATTTCAATGTTGATGTTGTTTTTCATCAAATGATTATTACTATTATTATTCCTTTGCGTTGCAAAGAGAATCTAGGGCTTCAGTAGTGGTACATCTCTTCACCATTTTATCATTTTTTCTGCAGTCCTTTGTTGGTATCTGGTTCTACGATTATCCAGGCGACCTTCCCTGTGTTGCCATGTTGAACCCACACCCAACTCATTGCCTGCCTTCTTCTGGTTCCACTGGAGGGAGGGTCTGGCATGCGATGTTATTCAGAGGTGTCTCCTCAGTGTCTATCTAATCTACCTCAATTTCATTTTTTTATTTTATTTTATTTAAACGCAGAAAAAAACTTGGTACAATATGGCACCAAGAAAGATGCACCAAACAATAATAATAATAAAACAACATAGATCAAAAGTAAAACATATAAGTAGAGAACGGGTAAAGAACTTCATCTGGAAGGAAAACAGTCATACATAACAAGTTCAAACAGTATTCGTCAACTATCATCGGGAAGGGGAGAAAGAAGGAAATTGCAACACATTCGCCATTGATTACGATTCTTGGCCATATCCGATAACGTTTCGAGCCATCGATTCGGGCTATCTCGCGGACACCAATCAGGGAGTCGTGACACACCAACCGATGCTAATCTAGAACAAATATCCTTCATTCTACGACGCCACGTCATGGACTGACCACCCCTCCGCCTTTTCCATCCCGTCCCAGCGCTACCGAACAGAGGCCTCTACGGAAGCCTCTGGGATGACATTCACAGCACATGTCCAATCCACCGGAGCCTGTGTTTCCAGATGACGACACTCAATGAATGGTGATCTCCACTGTGTTCAAACACACACCGCCAAACCTCAGAATTACTCACGAGATGATGCCATCGAACGCAAGCAATCCAACGGAGACAGCGATGATCAAACACGCAGAGCCGCCGCACATCCTCAGCTCGGAGAGGCCAGGTTTCACAGGCGTAGAGCAAGACAGCCCTCACCGAAGCATTGTATACTCGACCTTTGACAGCCAGGCTAACGTCGCGACGGCGCCAGAGGTGGCCCAAGTTGATGTATGCCACCCTAGCCTTCATTATACGGTTGGAAATGTCATCCGTCACCCCTCCGCCAGCACTCACACAACTACCCAGATACACAGAGTTATCAACAACTTCAAGCGGTTCACCCGCAAGAGTGAGTTCAGGTACAGGCTTGTAACAGTACTTTGCACTTAGACGGTGCAAAGCACATACCATACTTACAGACACTGATCGCCAACTGATTAAGTGCGATTTGGGCAGCCTGCGTGCTATCGCACAGTAACACGAAAAGTCTATCTCCAGGTAGCAGATCTACAATTTTCTTCAGCATATTTGTTCGGCAATAAGTTCGTAATTGGTTAGTTGTCAGAGTTGTTTTATGCTATTTATCCTTTCTGGTGATGGTTGACCATCTGATCTTCAGTATCGACGAAGAGAAGGCAGTTGTTGATAAAAGTATTCACTAGCCTGTTGGAAATACTTGTCAAAACTCACAAAGTATTTGAACCATACAGAAAAGCACGAACTTCGTGTTAATGGGAAAGTTCAACAATAGCGTTCTAGAAGTGTGAACGCTCCAATGACCTTGAACGCATGCTAGTCATTGGCTAACAGCACCTGTTATTATCATAGCTGAAATATCAACGCTATTCACCAACTTAAGAGCGAATTTCACCCAGATCAAGTTTTTATGTACTGCTTGGACAATGTGTTAATAGCTCGTTAGGGTTAGGATTAGGGTTCAGGTAAGTGTTGTTGTTAGGGTTAGGATCAGGGTTATAATTAGCATTTGGGTTAGAATTACGGTTTGAATAAGGGTTAGGATTAAGGTAAGTTTTAGTGTTAGGGTCAGGATTAAGCTTATGGTTACGATTAGGGATAGATTTATAGTTGATGTCATTTATTTCAATGTCTTTTATTATCCACATTTTCCTGGTGAGTAGTCGTTTATCCTATTGCTGGAAACCATAATAATTCAACGGAGGGCTTTTTTGGAAGACTGCAAGCAGGATGAGAGAGATAAACGATTCACAAAAACAGTTTATCTGTAGTCATCTCGGTGAATACATGAACAGAAACTAGTCTAACTTAGCAACTGATACTCCTCGTTATAACTAGGACATATTATAAGCCGTGTCAGGGAAAGATAACCTGTTTATTGCGTTTTCAAGCATTTTCTTGTCAATCTACATCATTTTTTGAGCAAACATTCCTCATTTTTATGATTGGTCAGCTGAAGGTTACTCTTGCGTTCGCACTCCTGGGACGCTATTGTTGGACTTTACCGTGTTAATAATTCGGATATTGTTCCTTATGCTTAGTGTGGAAGATATCTGGTTCGCTTTTTCCCATCAAATTCTGTTTTTTCACATCCTTGTCTGTACCTCCTGTAGTAGTTGAAATGACGCTACCTGGTTCTTCCAGATATATATTGGGGAACTAATCATGAGGGATCCCTTTAACATTAGTTTCTATATGACTGTGGACTATATTGGCATTTTATAGCATTGATGAAGTTCTCGACTAGCAAACACAAGTGTTTATAGGGATTTAATATCAGTTTCATTGTTCATGTAAATTGGAAATAAATGACAAATAATTTGAAGATTAGATGTAAGCTGTTACGTTAAGGAGGGTGAGTCAGTTGATGAAGAGGTGATTGAAAGATGCTTTAGATGTTTTCTGAGCCATCACGTTTTATAGGATAAGAATGTTGGCTTGCTTAGGATTACTATAGAGTAGTGGATCAATTGTTCAGCCGTAAAATGGGTTCGACCCCCTACCCACGAACTCCCATACCTCGTCTAATTTATGACCAGTCGGTAGGATGTCTAGAAAAGTGGTGGTGGGTTAGACGTGAGGCTGGCAACGTGACTTTGTAAAATTAATACCACAGCTACTGAACTCCGAACTCAAGGGAATAATAATAATAATCATATATCGATTTACAGAACTAGGCGAAATACATCGTATCGTATATCGTTGAATCACAATTTGCACATATCATCGGTATTGTGATACTTTTGTCTTCTATATTTTACTTCTTTGTCTTCTTATCATGTTTTCCATGCTGTTTCACAACCATCTATCATCAAATCCATCTCTCTGCAGATGATATAAATATTTATACTTGCTTCTATATACTACTTATAAACCTTATCAGTAGCACACGCATAAAGTGAATAAACTGAAGGACAAGTCATTGACAATTAGCTGGGGGTTAATGATCTGAGTGGAGGATATGTATAACTACGTCATCAATCTCACTGGCAAATGCTAAATTCCTGTGCTTTGAATATCTAACTTACCTTGAGTAACTGGTCTCAGTTATATAGCTAACTTCATAATCTTCTTACAGTAATCAGTAGAATAGCGTTTTTCTTTGATTTAATAGAGATACGAGAATCCAACAGCTGTAAACTTGCCTCCAGGTACAGTTGTAGGTTGTATTGTTAAGTCGATTCCAACTTCGTCGATTATTTTATCCAGGGTTTATGATTTTTTAATTCCTTCACGTTCTCAGTGGAACATAGGGCTTCAACCTAGAGGCTTGAAGTTTCTGTAGCAGTGTTTATTTTTACAGGATGGGGTTGCTAGCCTCATGCCCAACCTTTCCTCCTTACCAGCTTTTTTTAAATATTGGCCCAGCGAGGTAAAGGTGTGCGTCGGCCGAGAATCGAAACCAGGGCCATGAGTATGGTCGGCGAGCGTCCTAACCACTATGCCACCGACGCACGGGGTTTATAATATGCCTTCTTTATGTAAAGAGAATGACTAATAACTAGGGTATTCAACTGAGGGTACACGCAACTAACTAGGATATTTAAGAATTAAATTGTTGCTTGAACACCGTGTAGTTAATAATAATGATAATAATAATAAACCATTATGATCCAATAACCTATGAAATGAAGTTTCAACCATTTTACGAGTTGATCATGGATTGATATCAGTTAGAGAACCATTGAAATCCATGGAGTACTGGACGGCTGTTTCATCCTAGTTTGGGAATCATGGGCACTAAATCACGAACTGGTAGAAGTTAGAATTCATGCAGTGGCCATTGAATCGGGTCCTAGTGGCTGAATGGTATACGAGACGGCTTGCCTTGCAACCGGAAGGTCCTAGGTTCTAACCCCAGTGGGTACGTACTGCCAATGATCCCTAAACTAGGCTAAACAGCTGTCCAGTGCTGGTTTTCAATGGTTTTCTAACTGATATCCACCCATGATCAACTCGTAAAAACAAAACTAATCCTTACAAACCAACTATAGAAAATGTAACCATTTTTTTTCTGAAACCAAATCCACGATCTGCAAATTTGGTTAGTAGTTCACAATCTGCACAATTCGAGGAGGTAAAATTTCAGCATGGTTTCCTTTGGAAATTAAGTTATCTTGATCACCACAATATGTGATGACCTACTTGACGATATCATAAATGCTAACCAAAAAAGCAAAAAAGAGTTTGCATAAAACTATATACTACCGACGGAATGGAATGAGTAGTAGTCGCATACTACTGATTCTGCTCTCTGAACTGATTCAAGCTGGGTACACGGCTGATGTACTCAGTCCCAAATAAGTGAAACGGCAGTTCGGTGTTTAGGTCACCTCGATCCGGCTTGCAAGCACTGCTGTTTGATGTGGATGGTATTCAAATACTCATGTTAATCAACTTAAAAATTCCCATTGAGTCCTATAAAAGAAAAGGCTTTTAGCAAAGCATTACTCTTGATTGGACACCAGTTAGTAACTAGTGTAATTTGTCTAGTCTTATATTTGGTGCAGACTGAATTCTATCAGTCAAGGTTACAGATGCGCCTGGCTGATGAGTGCCAACTGGAACAAAACTTAGGTCAATCAAGGCTTCCTGCCGATTGTATCCAACTATCTAAAGAGTTACTTTTTTCAGCGATGTCATTCTCAAGCTGTACAATATATATATATATATATATATATATATATATATAGTAAATAGTCTTAGCAACAGAAAGAAGATTTCTTCAACAGCTGCAATCCAGAAATTCACTTCATACTAGCGAAGCAGCCGTGATACTATGGAAGAAGAAGTAAACACTCTGAAGAGAATCCTCCTCGAAAATAGCTAGCCAGCGTTTGCTATCCAAACGTATCATTGATCACTTACCCTCATGGTTTTATAAAGGAGAAATAAGGTCCCCCCTCCCAGAAGCTCTGTTCTGAAACACCTGATCGAATCGGGACACCAGGCATAACAACTTCAAATTTATCTACAGAATACGTGGGGATCTCGCTAAGAGAGTACGAATCAAACTTCTTCTAACCGCAGAAGCAATGACAATCTGCATGTTAAATCCTGAACTCTGCATACAAAGAAGAAGTTTGTTCAGTCTTTAAATCTACAATGGACCTAACATATCTTAACACCAAATACGTAATTTTTGTTCATCTTTTTTTGCTTGTTTGTTTCTTAGTTGTATTATTTCCTGCCTCCCCTCCCCCCCGAAAGCTTATTAAATCTCTACCCCTTATAATCACTGTTGTTAACTTGACTTTTGTTCCATTTTAATTTTAATTGATCTCCACTCAACCCATCAGTCACATTACGTCACTCAACTTGCTTACATAATCTTGGTTTATTATTCATTAACGAAATTTATTATCTAAAGAGATTTCGTCAAATTATCTGGAAAATCTCAGTTTTTTTGTACTTGGACCGAGCACCTACAAATTTTTTTAAATGAATGAATTTAATTCAGATTTTATGTTCGTTGGGATTTGAATTTTCCTATAATACAGATTTTTACGATCTCGGATTGATATCAGTTAGAGAATCATTGAAAACCAGCACTGGAGTACTGGACAGCTGTTTCATCCTAGTTTGGGAATCATTGGCAGAACCCACCCACTGATGTTCGAACCCAGCACCTTCCGGTTACAAGGCAAGCTCGTGTACCATTCAGCCACTGGGACCCGATTCTATAACTGATATCAATCCGTGATCAACTCGTAAAAACAAAACTAACCCTTACAAACCAAACTACAAAAGGTAGAGATTTTGTCACAAACCAACACCAGCTAGAGAATTATTGAAAAAAAATTATGGGACACTGGGCAGTTCCTACATTTTAGTTTGTGGCCCTCCTGCAATGTGTATCTGCAACCCTTCAAGGTTACAAGCCAATCACATTTGTAAATTAGCCACTGTACTGCTTTGTGACCGCGTGTATATCGGAATAAATTTGTCTATTCACGTATATTCAACAGTCAGTCAGATATTGTCCAATCAAATTTTTTTGATTTCACTATTTCTATTGGATCAAATATCAACCAATCAAAAGAGTAGAAAATTCTTATTTGTTAATGAAATTCTTAAGAAAACTTCATCTTATAGAGGCGGTTAGTTGAATTCAGCGTCCGGAAGTTGTTTGCACTGTGGACAATTGTCCTTTGGGCGACGGTTAAGGGCCGACTTGGTAGATTATTTCGCACAGTGCATCTTGATTATTCGTTGGATTATCATTAAATAATACTGTTTTATGCTGTAAAACTGTATTCATAGTTGTTGTAGTTCTGAGAAATTGTATTTTCAATTGACCATTTTTAGTGTCTCTTTGGTGAATTACATTCTAAGTAGAGGTTCTACCTCTGTTAGTTGGTTGCAAGCAGTCGACAGGAAGCCCTGGAAATAGGTGTTTCGTGCTTTCTGGCACTTATCAGCAATCTTCAAAGAACCAATTGCTGTCAGTCAGTGACGTTAACACTGAGATATGCAGGTTCATGGTCCATCTCCTGCAGGACTGTAGTGGGTAAATTGACTGGTCATTAGGAAGTAGCCAATACCATGTGCCCAGTTCTTCATATTGGCGTAGACTGATGACTAAGCTAGGTGACTGGCCACAAACTACAGCACTGGGTGAGACGGGTTCGAATCTCACAGCGGATATTACTTCCTTCAGTGTTGTAGACACGCCGTGCTGACGAGTGCCAAGAAGCACAACATGTGGGTTCATGGCTTCCTGTCGGTCGCTTCCAACCATCTTAACATTAGTCCAGAATGTAGTGCGATCGCGGGTATTCATCTGGCTCGATGACCGTATTGGAAACCCTGAAGACTAAATGCATGGCATTAGCTGTTTTCTAATATATATACATTTATATTTAATACAGTGTTAGCTCCCGATCGGTTTGTGTAAAGTTTATCTACGTGTAACATACTCTTCCAGAATAGATTTTGAAGAATTTACGCATATTGATCTATTTAATATTTGCTAATTTATATTCATTTTCTCCAAGGAAAAGAATTCAGTGCAATGTAAACAAGAACATTCAACTGGTGATGGTGGTGAACATGCTGTTGACTTAGATATTGGTTCACTCGATCAAAATCATCATCATTATCACTATCCTATATCTCATAAAATTGATAATTTATTTGAAAATCCAAATAATTATCGACAAGATAAAATTGAAAATCATCATGCACAGATGAATAATGCTCATGACAATTTATCAATTAAAGGAAATAAAGTTAACCTTGAAAGGGAAGAATTACTCTCGGTTGCACTAGAGAGAAGTAAACACCTACGCGAAACTCTAAGTTGTTCATCGTTATATACTCAACGAGATAATTTTCGGGATCATGATGATGTTGTGAATTTGACAAAAGAATCCCGATGGACTGTTGATGATAATCGGAACTCTTCAAATGGTTTACTGCAGAATAGGTTAGTTGATATATTAATTTTATTTTTGATTCATATAGTGTTTTTTTGTTGCTGTTGATGTGAAATTTTGTCCATAGGCAAGTCACTTTAATTAGTTGTAATGTTATAATAAAATGGAAAAGTTGTAATCCATTTTCCTTTTTATTATTGATATAAGAATAAAACTTGTGCACTGTGGTAGAGTATAATTCCATTATGGGTAAAATTTATTTTGATAAAGTCTCACAGTGTTACACAGTAATGTTTACTGATGTAACCACGTTTCGAGCACAATTTATTGCTCATAATCATATCAAGGCACTACTTTTCATTTCGTATGAATTAGTCTGGAGTTTGAACGATTTTTAACGGTACATAGTATCAGAGCTAAATGTTTTGATAATTTATAGGTAGGCGTATTTCTGAAATCTACTATTGGTTGTATGGGGTAACTTGGCTTATGTATTTTAATATTACCATACATTCTACTAGCATTATTAGTTTCAGGCATTAAAGTAAACCATATAGGCTCACCCATCAGTAAATATTACTGTATAACACTGTTAGACCTTATCAAAATAAATTTTACCCCTCAAATGGAATTATACTCTACCAAAGTGCAGCAGCAGCATCCAGCGCCAATCACCATCAACGGGAGGCATTTGAAAGAGGTTACTTCTTTCACTTATCTAGGGAGCATTGTCTCAACTACAGGAGGAACGGACGAAGATGTCAAATCGAGAATCGGGAAGGCGAGAAACACATTCATCAACCTGAAACCAATCTGGAAATTTTCGTCACTCAGCCTGCATCAACAACAAAATTCGGATTTTCAATACAAACGTCAAGTCAGTTTTGCTATACGGATCAGAAACTTGGTGGGTCACAAAGAATATTTCCAACAGCCTGTTGCAGACCTTTATCAATAACTGTCTTCGTTCTATACTGAAGATCAGATGGCCGGAAAGAATCACCAACAAGAAACTATGGGAACAAACAAAACAAGAACCAATCGCTCAACAAATATGCAGGAGAAAGTGGAGATGGATTGGACACTCCCTGAGGAGGCCACTGGGTGACATCGCGCGTCAGGCCATAGCTCTAGTGGAACCCGAAAGGGAAGCGGCGAGTGGGACGTCGAAGGGTGACATGGAGGAGATCGGGTGAAGAGGAACTGAAACAGTATGGATTAACATGGATGCAGGTGAAAAGTACAGCAGAAGACAGAAGCAAGTGGAGGCGTGCAGTTGAAGCTCTATGTTCCACTAGGAACCCAAGGGAACAACAATAATAAGTGCACAAGTTCTGTTCTTATACCATCTGCATTTCTCCTTACACATTTCTACTTTGTCAGTCATATTATTTATTTTTTTTATCTAATTTCTTTTTCCTCGTAGGTCACTTCATCATTCTAGTCCAGATTTAAGAAGTTTTGTATTCCATGAGTCCGTGGTTGCTAAAGGCAATACTAATTCAAGTCATGATCATCATTGTCGTGAGCATGACCACCTGTCACCGGTGAAATTCAACTCGAAATCAAATAATTTAAGTATATTAAAATATCTAGTTGATAATGAAGCAATCGATGATTCTGTCTACGACACTACACATCATCACCAACGTCATCATTATCCTCATCATCACAGTCATCGTCAATGCGAGTATGACGATTGCGAGGAGACTGGATTCAACAATACACATGATTATGCATTGTTAAAGAAAAAGGCATTACAGCGTATGAATTCAGGATATATTAAAGAAGATGATAAATTAATTGAAGATTTACTATATAATAAAGAGGTTAGTTCTTTTTTTCTGATCTAACAATTGTCTAGTGAAGTGTATCAGGGCTAATTGCACTAGGTTGTTATATAAGGCTGAAAAAGCAATCGATTCGTTTGTGCATAAGAGCTGAAAAAAAGTATTTCTTTTTGTTTAATCATGGATTAACATCAGGTAAAGAATCACTGAAAATCAGGGAATATTAAGGAGCTGTGTTTCGTCCTCGTTTGAGACTCCTCAGGAGTACACATCTACAACTCCCTCGCTAGGGATAGAAACTACGATCTTCAGGTTACAAGGCGACCCTGTTGACAAATAAGCTATTGAACTGGAATCCAGTGGACCATAACTTTTAACTCCTACATTCTACCTTGGAGATTCTGCGTACTGCGTACTGAAGAGTCCCAAACTGGGACGAAACAACTGTCCGTTTATATGATATTTTCAGTGATTGTTAACACACAGCAAATGGCATGGGATTTTTACACATTTCAGTCAACTAAAATTATTCAACCGGGAGGGCAGGGTATGCATAAATGGTAATTCCAACAAGAGATGACTGTCGTAGTATATCGATTAGACATTTGAAGAGATTGTTATTGAATTGATATCTCCGTAGGAAATACCAATCACTCACTGAGGTTGCGTATGTTCATCCTGGTTGTCAATTCCAAGTGAGATGAAACACCAGTCCTGGATTTCATAGCTAACCACCATTCACTAATTACTATCATTTATTATTACACACTTTTGTTTCCATTTTGTTTTGGTTTTTAAAATGCACAATATCAAGAATTCCACTGATGAAAATGAAGAGATGAATACAAGAAATTCATTGAAGCATTCAAATAATTTACAGTCAATGAAAGACAACGTGTCAAGAAAACAAACTATGAAAGAACAATGTGATTCAAGTTAGTTCGCCTCTCTTTCACCTCTATTTCTCTCTCTCTCCCTCTCGACCTTCATTTTCAAATTTTGATTTTAATAATGTTTGAAGTAGTGTAAGGCTCCTCACCCTCAGCTTCCCTATTTTCGCTGGGCTGATGGCCTTCACCTTTGCTGCCTCCGTACCGAAGATCGCAGGGCCAGAGAGGTTTAGCAACCGACTAACCAAGATTGTACTACCAAAAAACTAAGCATGCGCTGGGGAGACAGTAGAGTGACATAACACACTACCGGGCTGGCCATTGAATGGAAACTCAATGAGAAAGAACGAGTTGGGCTTGGGTCCGACAGCGAAATGAAGGAGATACTGTGAGGAACAGATGACAGGCTGTAGGGAATCTCGAGGGGACAGTTGAAAAGGACCGCAGAGATTAGGGTGTAATGTAGATGGGCTGTAGAAGCCCTCATGTTCCCTTCGGAACCCAAACGGAATAATAATGAGGCTAATCTTCATGACACTGTTTTTAATTATGATAAGATTTCAGGGTTTTCCACTGGTGCAGAATGTTCCAAAAGTTATTGAAATGAGCCGTAGTAATGTAACGACAGAAGACAAGGGCCAGGCAATAGATCGTTTATTGAGAAAATCAAGAGGTATTTATAGATTTTTATGTACATTATTATTAGCGTTATTGTTAGCGGAAAAGCAACCTCTTCTGATTGGTTGTTTCCTTGCTGAAGGTTATTCTGTTATCTCTTTGTGGTTGTTTCTGAGAAAATCAAGTCATATATCTGTGAATCATATTCCCACACTTTAACTTAGCTGTGATTGGCTGGTGATTTTCTCAAGGTTAAGCCTTGTTATTGTTTTTTTCTCATGACCCTGATTCGGGACGTGAACATTGACGTAAATTGTTATCTACAATTTTGGCTAGCAGATAGCTCTCACCACAGTATTTATTGTCGAAGTTAATGGTCCATTATACCAATGTAATACCTTAGAGTGCTTCTGGGGGGTGTCATGTGCCAATGTTATCAGTGCCTATGTATCGGCAGGAAGTAAGAGAATTGGTAACGGACTTTTTATTACAGAAAAATATCATATTTAAACATTTTTGATGACATTAAAAGTCGGCTAGCTCAGCGGACAATCAACCGTTCTGATAGGTTGGCGATTGTCTGAAGGTTAAATCTTTAAATATTCCCATTCTTAATATTAGAACAAGACATATAAGCGAACAATATTGTTTTCAATCAGATCTTCTTCAGGCTTTACTCTAATTTACATAGATTTATATATAAAAAAATTTAACCGGTGACGGTGATTTTGTGGGTCAAATAATAATATTATAATAATGTGGTAAATGTTTTGAACGTAGTTAATAACGATGATTATAATGATAACAAAATATTGATAATAAGGTTTATGCAGGTGATAAGAAAAACAAAGGTAGTAATATGTGTATATGTAGACAATTCAATAAATAAATAAAGTCAAATCGTAAAAGTTACGAAATACTAAAGGTGAAGTGGACAGATAATCAGAGTTTAAATAAATATCATAAAAGGACGAAGGAAATGGAAAATAAGAAAGGGCGGGAGAGTTTTGAATAGAATTCACCTAGGCCAAGGGAGAGACAAAGATAGAACAAACTTCTTTTGTATACAAAGACTAGGATTGTCCTCTCGAATTCCCATAGCTTCGGCTAGGTGTAAAAGACGGGCTCGATGGAATGCGGTAGATAACTTTGAAGGCACTACTTTTGTCCACTTGGTGACCGCTATCAATCAAATGAGCCAAAATAGAAATTCTTGTAGATTTTATTTGACTTTTTCCGAACCATGAAGGAAGATGCTCATTAATGAATGCCTTTTTTAAGCTGTTAGTTGTTTGCCCTAAGGTGTTAAATAGGGAGACGAAAAGTTGTCCAATGAGAGATAATTTCATGTCCACAATGTAAACTAAATCGAGATTTGAGGAATAAACACTTCTACCTCTGCAGCGGTTGACTTAAAATGTTGATTTCTCAGTTTTGGCCGCTTCCTGTCAATCTCCGTCTATATACTACTTATAAGTCTTTTCAGTAGCACACGCCACTGCTATATACGTGCTACTAAATGCGGATTTTACTAAATGTGTTCATTTGTAACTGGTTTTTTTCTGTTTGCGTGTTTAATAGTTGGTTAAAATATTATTTGAATTTCTAGTTTTGATTTTCATCTAATATTCAGTTGAATTGCCTTACTTGTTATCATTTAGATTCACCGAGATCTGGTTGTTCTTTAAAAGGAGCTAAATTACACTTCAAGTGTTTACGATTATTCAAAGCTTATGCAGAAAATCTAATATCCAGCATTAAATCATCACCAAAGCCGCTGAATCAGTCTAAACTACCACCAGCATCACAACCACGTGGTTTTGGTGGTGGTGCTGGTTGGTAGAGCATCAAGAAATCCAACAAAACAATTACAAAAATCACGTCCAACCTCAATATCACCAACATTACCGTTCATTAAAACAAAATCCAGTGAAATGAAGTGAGTTAGCAGTATTGACAGTCTTATTATTATTATTAATTTTAAAATGTCTTATTATAATTGAATTTTTTAGACTTTCCCGTCGATTGATTGGACCGAAGTGCTTGGTCTCAGGTTGACATGTCTGTTGGCTTCTTGTGCGGAAGCTTCGATGATGTCTGGGCATTTAATTAGAATTTAATTTGTGGATGGTGACTAGCAGTGGAATCCAGGATGCGCATTTCATCCTATTTGGGACTCGTTGGTCAGTTGGATGTGCCTGCATTCCCCAATGAGTGATGATGTTCCCACCGAAGCTTGAACCCAGTGCCCATAGTTCAAACGCTAAAGAGTTATCCATTAGACCTTTTGAACCACGAGAGCCATCTCTTGTGCGACGGGTCATAATAATTTAATTTAATTATTTTAGATTTTCCTGTCGTGGCCGGAACATCCAGATGACGAGGCAGTCCCAAATAGGACGAAATGCGCTTTATCCTGGATTCCACTGCTAGTCACCATCCACAAATTAAATATGTCTTATTTTTGAAAATTGTTACACTGTACCGCAATTCTATCCCCGTATTTCATAAATGCGTTTGTAGCTTAAAGGTAGAATACTCACCAACTACCCACGTGGTCCGGGTTCGACTTTCGGCCCACACAGTGTCAGACCTGGCTTAGCCGGTAGAAATCCTTGGTAGGGAGGGAAGATTGGACGTTCAGCGGCTAGCAACCCCACACCTCGTAAGACATAACACCATTACTGCTGCTGAAACATCAGAGCTCAAGCTCGGTACCCTATGTCCCACTTGGAGCACTCAAAGGAATGCAAAATAAACAACATAAATGTTCTTTATGTGTGTAACATATAATTTATACAGCGTTAAGAATAGCATACGGTCTCAATTTTGTTCTACAAAAAAATGTAGATTTGAATTGTGTGTTTTAGAGTTCTCCAGGAGGAGTTTCAATGGAATAGAGGCTATTCCATGCACTTTTATATACGTATAATTAAAAAATCCTACCTTATCCTGATTCACTGATGAATACAATAACGCAAAACTTTGAACTTAAGCACACCAGTACAATTAATGACAGCACTACTCACGATATTGTTTCACGAGTTGGGCGTGGATCCGACAGTGATATAGGGGAAATCGTGGGAGAAGGAGATGAGAACGGAAAACAGGATGAAATGAAGATGTCCTGTTAAAACCCCTATGTTCCACTTGGAACCTAAGGAAATAAAAATAATAATGAATCAAGCAGCTGAATGAAGACACTTACTGTCAATGGTCGCGTTTCACATTTGTACAGGATGTAGAGAATTGCTACTCTGTGTATACAGCCTTTTATGGCCATCTGGATATCCCATCTGTTCAGAATTAATTCACAACAGAATTACTAGAGATTGAAGACATTCAACCACTTGGTTCCTTATAATTTATTCCTAGCCTCATTTTATTTCTAATAATAAGAAGAATCTTCAGCGCTGAAGATGTTGTCCAGAAGGAAGACGAAAGCTTCGCAAACAAACCAACCAGCTCAGAGAACACTATTAATTGCAAATCATCCACCTGAGCTACAAATCTTCTCTATTAATTAGGCTCTTTGTTTTTATTGAAAATCTAAACCGTGTTCCAGACAATACTGATAGTTATGTATTTTCTATAGAATCAAATAGTAAACAAAGGCTTGAACACTATTCACTGTATGATAATGCTTAGTAATGCTTCTCTCCTTTTTTGTCTATTTTAATCCATTTATAAATAGTATCTCACCAAGTAGTATATATATGGAATTAGAAATATCTGTCCCAGCATTGCATCATCCATCATCATCGTCATCCTCATCATCATCTCAGTACTGCCAACATGTGCTGTCATTCGTAGTGCTAGTAGTTGTACAACTGGAACATGGACTACAACCAGTTTTACATTGATGTCAGAGTTATCTAATCACCGGCAATCTGATATAATGTCAAGTAAAGAAGGTGATTCATTTGTCAATTTCTTTTGTTCAACGAGCAGTAACCATGACAACACCAATAATCCTTACATATTTGTCAATTTGAACAATACCGACAATTCTAATACTGATACTGGTAATCAAGATAATCATATTCGAATAAGATTGTTCTATTTGTCTAATCCAATAATGGAGAGCGATGATATAACCCAATGGGAATCAGAGGTAACTGTGAATTAAAAATAGTTGCTTTTCGTTTTGTTTTGTTTTGTGTCACACTTATAAATTGTTTGAACCAACCAGGAACCGATTGTGAAACAAATAGGCAGGAAGAAATGGTGATGGATTGGCCATACTTTGAGAAAACCATCAAGTGACATTACTAGACAAGCCATTGCTGGAGTGGAACCCGAAAGGGAAGCGGCGAGTTGGTCGTCAGTGCAAGGGTGACATGGAGGAGGTCATGTGAAGAGGAGATGAAAACGTGTGGGTGGCAGACTTGGAGCCAGGTGAAAACTCTAGCAGAGGACCGAACGCAATGGAGACGTACGGCTGAAGCCCTTTGTTCCTCTAGAAATTAAAGGAAAATAATAATATAATGATACTGGTTTTTGCAGATATGATAGCACCATATCGGTAGGAGATGAGAGACTTGTTAAGGGAATGAATTTTGATTGGTTGTTAGCAGGATTTCATCATGAGAACCATTGGAAAACTCGCCAGGGAGTACTGTACAGCCAGCTGCTTCGTCCTAGTTTGGGACTCTTCAGCAGCACGCACCCACCGTCACGGTTCAACCCAGGACCTTCTGGTTACAAGGCGAGCTGCCTCGCAGACCATTAATCCACTGGAACCCGATCCAATGGCCAGTGCATGAATTCTAACTTCTTCCAATTCACGACATAGTGCGACCATGGGCCACTGGATTGGGTCCCAGTAGCTTAATGGTCTACGAGATAGCTCACCTTGGCGGGGAATGTACTGATGAAGAGTCCCAGACTAGGCTGACGAAACAGCTGTCCAGTACTCCCAGATTTTTAATAGCTCTCCAACTGATATCGATCCGTGATCAAACTTGAAATTGGAATAAAATTAATCCTCTTTCAGATTCACGGATCAGTATGATGAATATGTGATGAGAGAATGAGAAAGTCGTCTACTCATACTTTTGTTCTACAGTCATTAATCAGACTAATTCACATGATGTGTACTTCCTTTATCTATAGTCCTATTTAAAGCATTCACTACTCCAATACACCTATTCTTTTCAAGGTATGTGTAGATCTGTGTAAGAGATCATGTTTACTTTTCATTTCTATAAACTTGAATATAGGAGATTAGTCAACAGGCAAAAGTTGGCTTTTGCTTATTTTAACTGGCATCTGAAACCTTGAGAAAAAAACTCATTCCTCTCGTGTAATCTGAACTTATTTACTTCATTGATTATGGTGAGAGGTGAGGTAAGAGAATTTATCATTAAACTATTGCGGTCAATACTGATTTTACTTGAACTTGATTCTGTGCGTAAATAAGTTGTCTTGGTTTAATCAATACGTTTGTATAACCCTAAGAGTTGTAGTCAAAGTCATTTAACTAAACTGAGGTCAATATGTATGCATTAAGGACGTAGTCTCTTGAACTGATTGTCTTTGACACTGTTAAATACCCGTTTGAAACTGACTGACTGACGGACTGGTTTCACCATAGAACTTTGCACCGATGTGCAGCAGTTGGAGTCGCCATAATTCACTCAGCACACAAAGCCAGAGAAGAAAGTAAAAAGAGACAGTAAACAGAGATATGAGGCAAAAAGAATAGTAATATCGAAGAACAATATAGTTTTATTGGGTATTAAAAGTCACAAGGAGTGGATGCATCTGCGCCAGCCATTGAGAACGATTTTGAGCCATATCACCAATTGTCTCCAGTCTTCATTGGTTCTTAGAATCCCGGGGACCCAACCAGCCAGGAAGTCTACACCTCCCTACGTGACTGACTGGCTTAAACTGACTGTTGTGGATTTCATTGACTGATGAAGCCATGTTTTGGTTTGACCACCGCTATTCTCTTTTCCAACCTGACCCTATGTTAGCTAATATTGCCCTGTCGAGGAATGCGATGGCTAGGCACGGATGCGTAACACAATTCCTGGTCATCTCAATCGGTATACCTTCCCAACCTCATCAGTTGATTTCCCCTCCTTACCTAGCACTCAATGTCGTCTAGCCTCAATATTACCCTTCCTATTATATCAAATAACACAGGAGATAGAATGCAGACACCCATGATCAAAGACAACTGGCCTTTTCATGTCTTCCACTTTTAACGACCATGTATTGCTCACAGCCATAAAGGAGAACGGAGCAGATGCTGAGAAGTGCACATGTCCTTTGGTCAATAGCTGGATATCACGCCAGAGATGGCGTAAACTGGCATATGCGAAACTAGCCTTCTGTAGTCGTCCTGAGATTTTAGTCAGTGATCAACCCGTTGGCGTTGGCAGATGCAACTTCTCAAATAAGCGAAGTGGTCAACACGCTCTACCACTTCACTCACTATTTCTAAGATAGGAGTCAGTGTAGTCCAGTCCTGTAACATCATCTTACATTTGGCAGGAGCGAATCTCATGCCAAACATTCGCAGATTGCAACTCAAGGTGTTCAGAATGTTCTGCATTTTGTCAGCGCCTTCACCTAGAAGGACTATATCCTCTGCATATTATAAGTCAACAAGATTACTCCCTGGGAGCAAGTCAATCCCTGCGTCTTTGAAGTGAGTTAGGGTTAAGTCCTGTTTGGAACACGAAGGGAATATCACCTTTCTCTAGGTTTCAAATACGCCTCGCTAATAAAGGTACCAGTTTGTGGTACTGTAAAATGACTCCTACTAGCATATACAATTAAATCAAAATAAATTGTAGTGCAAAACATTGTTGTGTTGTATTAGTAGTCAAACTTCATTCACTGCCTGCATGAGTTTCTTAAGTATATACATATTTAAACTGACAGTATTTCGACTCTTGCCTATTCTTAATTTTCTTATACCGTATTTTCAATTGATTAAACCGTAGTACACTTTTTGCTTACTTCTTGACCGATAGATGATTGGTGTAAATTTCGTCAATCCAGATGAAATACGTTCAATTGTCTTATCAAAAAATCATTTAAATTCAACCAATCCAACTACTCGCCTATTTATTCATTTATGCTCTGGTCAGAAGACTAAAACGGATAGTCCAAATGTGATTGGTCGGTTAGAATTTGAATTGGAACCGGTATGGCACACTACACCTATCAACCAATCAAAAGTCAACCTTATGTTAAAAGGTAAATAAGTGAAATTTATTACCAGTAATTATGTAGTTGTAGTAGTAGTAGTGTGACGTGTGCTACTGACAGGATTTATCAGTAGTATATAGATTCGGATTGGTAGGAGGTAGCTGAAATTGCAAGCAACATTTAAAGTCAGTGGCTGGATTTAGCTTACGTTGTGGTCATGGAGTAATCTCATTGGTCAATTGTTCGTCTCGAGGTTTAACCTTCAGAAAATCAACAACCAATCAGAACAGTTTATTGTCCGCTGACTTGGCTGACTGCTAATGGGGCTAAAATTGTGTAACTATGGGTTTTTCCGTAATAAAAAAATATGATTATAAATAGGAATGGAAGCTGCGAAGAAAGGAAGTTGTGTTTCTTGAAGTGTTCTATGTCTATTTTCAAGAATTATTCAGATTACTGCAACCAGAACATATTTTCTCTACGGCGTTATTCAATTCAGTGCAAACAAACTCAAATTCTGGTGCGATTCCAGTATTGTATCTAGTCATATCAATTTCCAACGGAGTATTTAATCATGTCCTTGTGTTTTGAGCAAGTTCATTTACTGGCACAACAGCAACAGAAACAGCATGAATCCAGCCTTCCAACTAAAACTGATTGACTTGCTCAATAATAATTTAGATTTTCAGAAATCCAGTCTTCACCATACTGGGATTATTGATTTTGCTGTCTAGTCAACCATAGAAGTACTGAACAATTTATCAGTTGATGCATTATTTGCACAGCTTAGTTTCAATTAAACCATCAAAATTGATGTTAAGAATCAAATTGAGAATCTGGTGCATTGAAATTTTATTGAAGATATTCTTTGTGCAAAACCAGGAAATCTGATCAATTCAAGTGGCAAGATTCTCACTCCAGTTTTTTCTATTTCATAGGAAAAGAAAGAACACTCTCCAGTTTCCACTACGTGTCATATTGTCGAAAAATGCTCACGAAGACATTTTAGAAATAGTTGGTGAAATCTCTTGTGATAGTGAATTCATGTCAAAGAATTTTGAAGGCTCATGTTATTCTTCTTGATCATCACGACTGAGATCTATCAGGCATTGATCGGACTGATAAACTATCCTTTTCGAAAATAATTCTTGGTGATATTAATCTTGATGAAATGATCCAAATTCCTCGTGAAATGTTTTGGAGAACATGCATCACTAATCAATATCTGCTATAAATGCTTAAATCTGTTCAAGGAACTTTTGCTGCCATAGATTGGCAGTACGCAGACCTCTGAAGTATCTTAAGGTGTACTCCCAATTGAAAACTTATTAGTAAAAGGGGAAGTGTTAAGGCGGAGAAATTTCTCTATTAGGCGTGAAGTCATGATTTATGCATGCACTTGCTTTAAAATCTGATTGGACAGTTTTTGATTCGTGTATTCGTGGCTTAAGTTTCTGACGATTCGCGGCATCAAACGACAGTTACTCCCTTATGACATCGAGTCATAGTTACGTAATGTCACAAATTTATCGAATTTTCGAAATCGGTTGCCGACTTCTATCCTACGTAATAGTTAAATAATAGCTGGCTGATCTTTAACCCAGCTGGCTTCTAAATGCATGGAATGAAAATTGTAATTCCATCACAGATGACTATCCATTGTTCTGTGATACTTCAATGACTTAGGGAAACATCTGTGAGCTGCCTTGGAGAGGTTAGTGCTCACGCACTAAGTTCATTGTCATTACAATGCCTGTCTGCAAAATTTAACAATAGCGTCTTATGGGATGTGAACATACAAGTGACCTTGAGTTGACCAACCATAAAATTAAGTGACTTTTGAATGAAGAAAATTGATGTTTATTTACAAGAAACAAGCATGAAAAACACATTAAACAGGTTATCTTTCTCTGACATGACTTAAAAATACATCTCTGTTAGAATGAGGGGCACCGATTTTTAAGTTTGACCAGTTTCTGTACATGTTTTTACCGAGTTAACTTAAGGTGAGATTTTTGTGAATCGTCCATCTCTATTATCCTGTTTTACAGTCTTCCACAGAAGCCGTGGTTGAATTACTACGGTTTCCAGTGGGAGGATCGACGACTACTTACAAGGAGAATGTGGACAATAAAACAAATTAAAACAAATAATACCAACTCTAAATCTATCCCTAATCGTAACCCTAATCCTAACCCTAACGAGCTATTAACATATTGTCCAAACAATACTTAAAGATGTGATCTGAATGAAATTTTCCCCCTAACTGGTGAATAGCGTTTATATTTGCGCTATAATAACGACAGGTGTTGTTAGCCAACGACTAGCATGTGTTCAAAGTCATTTCAGTGTTCACACCCCGTGGGACTCTGTTGTTTAACTTTGCCTCCCTGTCTTATTCCTCTGAGTCATTTCGACAAAATTCTTTGTTTAAAGTAGTGTTCAAATATCAATTTTTAATAAAAACTGCTTAGAAATATCATGATAATAATAAAGAAATAATAATGACCTTCCCCTCAAAAATTTGTTAGTACATCATACAGAATTCTCAGTGTGTTTTAGTACAAAGTATTTATACAGTGATTCCCTTTTATAAATTTGAACATCAGTTCTCATCAGCTGCGTACAACCCGAATTCATTAATAAAATAAAAAAAGTGTACAATTTTAACAAACTTTTGTCCATTAGCAAGCATACTGTCAGAGCGTCATAGTGAAATAAGGCGTTACGATTTACAAGGTGTCTAAAGTGTTACGACATATCTATATATCTTGTTAAATAGAAGTTTCTTGAGAAAAAAATTAATTAACAGTTGTGTTGTTAGGGGGGTAACAAAAGAAAGTTAGTAAGAGTTACGTAACTATGTCGTAACGCTTTAGACACCTTGTAAATCGCAACGCCTTTTTTCACTATGACGCTCTGACAATATGCTTGCTAATGGACAAAAGTTTGTAAAAAATTGTACACTTTTTATTTTTATTTTATTAAAGAATTCTGGTTGTACGCAGTTGATGAGAACCGACGAAATAAAATGGATCCAGATTATTCTGCGCCAATGTTTCTTCTTTCTTTGTACAAAGTATTTAGTTGACGTGTAGAATCTTCAATTTATGTAATAGTCGACAAAGCATCATTCAATGCAATATTGTTCTACTTGAAGAGTATCCCTCAATACTCTTCAATATTTTACCTTAATTCCCCATCGAAAAACTCACAGCAGAAGGTTGAAATATATTTCAAAATCAGTCTAGTACAGAACTGCAATTCAAGGACGTGATGATTGGCTAATTAAAACAATACGAAATAGAATAAATGTGATACATTTTCCTGTAAGAGAATTTTGGGTAGTCGACTGCTGTTTTGAGGTGTGAAAGCCTCACGAAAATACACAATATTGCTCAGATTAATGGGTTGAATGAATAAAAGTATATTTAAGTATTGTTGTAGGATTTGTTATCATGAGATTCATCATGACTGACATCAGTTAGAGACAGATATATTTATCGACTAATAATTTAGCTTAATTTCTGTGTTAACCAATTTAAAATGATACTGTGACGACAGAAGACAAGGGATAGACAACAGATTGTTTATTGAGAAAATCAAGAAATATTTATAGATTTTTATACACATTATTATTCGTTATTATTAGCAGAGAAACAGCGTCTTCTGATTGGTTGTTTTCTCACTGGAAGTTAATCTATCATCTCTTTGTGCCCGTTTCTTTGAAGGTCAGACCATGTATCTGCGAATCGTATCCGCCCACGCAAAGTCTTGTTTTTCTCATGACAGCGATTTGGGACGTTAACATTGACGTAAATTGGTGTCTACCAATTTTGGCTTGCAGACAGCTCTCACGACAGTTTAACCACCAACTTTGAAAACCGTTAAAACTTATTCTAGTGTTCTTAACTATCTGTTATTATTATTATTCCCTTGGGTTCGTAGTGGAACATATGGCTTCAACTACACGTCTCCACTTGCTTCTGTCTTCTGCTGTACTTTTCACTTGCATCCATGTTAGTCCATACTGTTTCAACTCCTCTTCACACTACTCCTCCATGTCACCCTTGGACGTCCACTCGCCACTTCCCTTTGTCCCCCCCCCTTTTTTTTTTTCCTTTTGGTATAATAATTATTAATTTAAAATTTGAATTTTTGATTTTCCCATACCCGTTTTTTTTTTTTATCACCTATTATAAAGGATTGTAACTGGTATTTTTGGTTGTCGTCTAACTTGTGACTTGAATCAGCCTCCAGACGTGACACCTTAGAAGTATTTCTTCCTCTGAGTTAAACACATAGGTCATATTAAACATTGACAAGTACCGTTTTATTATTATGTATATCGTTTACACATCCTGGGAATTTAAACCAGGAATAAATAATCATTATCTTATTGAATACATGACCTTGAAGGCCATCCAAAAATAAACCAATCAAAAACTGCCCAATCAGGGTGTTATGCCAGTGCATGCACCGATCATGACTTCACGATTAACAACGATAGTTGGTCCTTTCTAACACTATCTTAGTTTCCTCATGCTACTTTTTAATATTAAGAAACTTGTTAAATTATTACAGAGCAAATATCTAATTATTTATTCTATGTTTGCGTAAGTAGCATATTTATTACAAGATAGGCAAATGCTCTTATGAATGGGCGTGTCCTAATTCTAGTAAGTGTATACCTTAACCTACGTATATTAACAAATATATGTGGTATGAGCTACTAAAAGCTATATCTTATATTATATCACACAACGCGCATCTATGCACAATATAATGACGACTGAAGGCAATCGTCGTGCTGCTAAATTATTATTATTATTATTATGAATGAACTAATATTTGGACACATTTATTCCGATGTATTTGACCAGCCTAGCAACAATGTTTTCGTTACGTTCAGGCCAATTAAGACAATTGACTGTTGATTACTAACTAATGAATTGATGGTTAGTCGACATGTTTCTTGGCTCTATTCAAATACGTTAGAATAAATTTGTCCAAATACTAGTTCACTCACAATCCTATGTATTTTTTTTTGAACGGCTTAGCAACAACTTGTCGTCTACTTTCAGTCAAATAATGTGAAACATCTATTGAAGCGTGTCAAATATAAATGTTTCATATTATTTGTGTATTCCCCTGATGTGTAGAGGGGAAAATAATTTTTATAATATTTGACCAGACTAATCATCTATACAGAATTCTTGAATTGTTAAACCAGAAGTCAGATTTAGAGCGGTAAGGCATAAAACTAGGCCTGTTTCAATTTCCTTCGACGTAAATAGTCCAGCTCTTCGGTCGCTTTCAAGTTATATCATGAACTCACATTAGTTAGAGAATCATTTTGATATGGTTGTGTTCTCTGAGCTGGATGGTTAATTTGTGAAGCTTTCATCGCCCTACTAGGTGACATCTTCAGCGCACACTTCAATTTGAAGTGAGCTTTTAGATTTCTCCACGAGTTTATTCATCATCTCTCCCGGTGACATTGGACGCGATTGGTTGTTTTTGTGTGTTTTCACACCTTCTAGGCTACTTGTATTGTAACTCATTCTTTCTTTGACTTGAACTTTGACCCTTTGTGTGTGAGATTTTCTTCTTATCGGTTGATAAATTTTGTCTATGTCAATGGGTCTATTGATTGATGATTCACTGGAATGCCAAGCTTCTAAAAATTCTTTAGCATTCCTCTGTCTAATATTTGAACATTGTCCCAATCGAATTGATGTTCGTGGTTGTCTGTACGCAGTGATATGAGGGAGTGGATATCATGTTTTTTGACAGCTAGCTCATGATCGTGGATACGAAGACGAAGGGGACATCCACTTTGGCCAATGTAGTGTTTTTCGCAGTTGTTACAATTTATTTTGTAGATGATGTTGGTTTTATCTTCCTTCGCTGTTGAATCTTTTGGTTGACATAGAACTGAGTGAAGTGACTTTCTTAGTTTGTGTACGACGTCAATTCCTAAAGGTTTGAAGAGTCTTGTAGTGATTTCTGAGATGTCCTTTATATATGGTAAGGCGATTTTCTTTGTGCTTTCCTTGGGGGCTTTTGGTTTGATAGGTTGGCTTGGGAGTATATGTCTTTTGATGAAATTCTGTGGATATCCATTCTTATGGAAGACGTCCATGAGATATTTTTCCTCAATTTTCCTAAGGGTGGGAGTGCTGCAATGAGTCCTGGCTCTCTTGAGTAGTGTTTGTATGCAATTCTTCTTGTGTGCTATTGGATTGTTGCTGTTGTAGTTCAGGATTTGGTCTGTGTGAGTTGATTTTCTATAGACTTGAGTTTCTAATTCCACTTTGTTTGTTCACTTGACTAAGACGTCCAAAGAGAATCATTGAAAACAAGGTGTGCATAAGGGGGGGTGGGTAGATGTTTCGTCCTAGTCTAGGACTCTTCATCATTCTGCGCACAAGACTGCACCGTCAGGGATGCAAACCAGGCAGCTCGAGTTATGAGATGACTTCATAGATCATCTAATCACTATGATTTCTAACTTCTGTCAATTTGTGATGCATGACGCTGCTGTCGCCAGCCAATGTCGTCGACAAGTATTTGTCCCCCCACCACTCCTATAATCAAGTCAGACAATCAATAATAAGCGTTAAATTAATAATTTTCTAGATTGTGTTGGTTTGTCTGGGATTTCATCGATGTTGGATGTGATCCCGAGCTAACATGCAGCAAACCTTGGTTATTTTTTTAAATTGTCTTCCAAGTGATGTCAGATCCAACACATGAAAGTTCACTAAGTTGTCATATATATACTAACAGCGGACTACAGTTCAGTTATCACATTGTTCTTCTTATGATAGAAATCCAAATTCTCAAATCTTTTTGCTTATATCTTCAGTTTATAATTTCTTTTCTTATTTTTGCCTGTTTATTTCGCCTTTAATTAGATCAGCGAAACACGGAACAAAGCCATACAATTGTTAGAAATGATAAAGTTTATTCATCAGGTGAAAATTCAGCGGTAAGTAATATGCTGTGTCAGTTTTATGAATATATTCAGTGTATTAAGCTGCAGTAATCTGTGTATAAATATTGCGTTTGACCATAATATAGACATTCTGTCGTCAGTTGATGTGTTCATAGATGTATAATTTGATTATTATTTCTAACATGATATCTATTTGATACTTATTGTGTTCTAAGTCTTAGTTAGGATGAGTTAGTTTTAGCGCGGTTCATCTGCGCTTGGTTGAATCTCTTCACTTTGACATTCAGAGCACTGGGCGTCTAAACTGGTCAGTAGATCTCTCAATGCTCTTTGTTTTAATTAGACAGTTGGATTCTCCTGGCCTGTGTCACTTTGGAGTTAGCCGCTTTACGCAATGCAGAAGAAGTACACGCGCTTTGCTAGTCATACGATACTAACAGCTGAAACTGTCGACGATCGATCATGGTCGGAGTTTAATAAGTCCACAAAAATGCCCACCGAAATACGCAAACAGACGAAAAGAACAGCTTCTGAATGGACCGACATGTATCTGATCGTGGCCTGTCTGACTTGGCTCCCAGAGCCAATTCTTCTGCTGAAGTTACGGATCCAATTTGCCGATTTCTTTTGCCTACACTGTTCAATTTTCAGAGGTGCTTCACCTCAGAGACCTGCTGCAGTTATGCCTCCTGGTTCAAATTTTCAAGGGCTTACGAGAGCGTTCTGGACACCATAAGAAGGATAGTGCTTTATGGAGGCTAGCCTCCCATCTCCACACAATCCATTTCCAGGGGGTGGGTGCACTCTTAATAAAGAAAAGAGAACTCTTCTCAGTACTCCTTCTGACATCTCCGAAATCGGTTGCGTTATCGCTCTGGGAATTCCCTGGATCAGTGGTCCGACATGCACCAGTCTCCGTGGACATGGTCTGGAATATTAGCCCGATTCCCTTTCGCTACAGAGGCATGTATTGCAGCAGTACAATTTACCAGCAATACTAACATAGCCCGTATCTGATCTGATTTACCGGATCATTTAGGGCCGCCTGACTCATGGCAACCTTCAAAACTTCGGCCTTCAAGGTTCTCACTTGAATATCTGCCACTGTACAGCTGCAGTACATTGGTCAAACATTTGTTTTTTGTGACAAGCAGGTGTGTGAAACGTCATAAGCAAAAGAAGTGACATCGGGCATTCTTGGAAAATACATAACTGCAACAGCTTATGCTTGAATTTGTATGAGTTAAGTCTAGTCCCATCAGTAGGTTGGCTTAATTTCCGACACTGCTTTTACAGTAAGACATTAATACATCATCCCTTAACCAAATGAACCAAATATTGAATTCAGACAAGGAAATATAACACGTCTGAAACACTAGTAAACATTTCTGTTGCAGATCAATTGTGAACCAACTATTCCTCAAATTGTTCTGCTCCATTGTCTGGGAAACAGATTACTTTTGTAACGACAGAAGGCAAGATTCAGGCAACAGATCACTTATTAAGGAAATCAACAGATATTTATAGATTTTCATTTACATTATTATAGATTATTGTTAGCAGACAACACATTCTTCTGATTTTAAACAAAGCAACAACTACAGATTTTGCAGAATAAAATGGTACCATATTTTATTTCGTCGCCTTCTCTTCAGCTGCTTACAGGGCAAAAACATTATTAAATGTATCTACAATAACAATTTATCATACTTACACAGAGTTCATTTTAAACAGAAATCAATCGATCGATATACACAAACACTAATAATATATACATATATGTATATATATGCAATCTTGAACACAATTCCGAGCATTAATAATCATACAAAATGAAAACTTTTTAGTATCTCGCATTAGGATGAAAAATATCCAGTTACCAGGGCAAAGAAAGACTGATAACTGCTTCTTTCTGAACACATAAATCTGGTTTCAAGCGTTTGATAGAAATTGCTTCGGCAAACTTGAGGAGAATGGAGTTCCTTTGTCTATTGATAATTTTAAAGGATTTCTCGATTTCCACCTCATGACCCGTGTCAAGAAGATGCCTGGCGATGGCACTGTTTAAAGCATTTGTTCCCTTTAGACGTAAGCTTTTTGGTACATGTTCAGAAAATCGTAGATATGCTCTTCTCTCTGTTCTTCCAATGTAACTGCTCCCGCAGATACATGTAAATTTGTATATACAGTTGGAGTTAACATGAGAAGGATATCTATCGATTTTTGATTGCACCAGAGAGCAAGTTGTTCGAAAGACGGGAACGAGCTTAGCTGCAGGATAAGCTATGGCTAGTGATGTACTCAGCCTTCTGTTGATCATCGCTGCAATGTTTTCGCCTTTATAATCAAGCTCAAAGTAGATTGGCTTTTTTCTTACTGTGATTAGTTTTTCATTTGCGACTGCAGATCTTCCATACTTATTGATAAACCTTTGAGGGTACCCATTGCTCTTCAAAGTCTTTTCAAGAAACTCAAATTCTTCCTCTAGTTTCTCTGTAGAGCATATTCTTCTCGCTCTATAGTACAAAGTCTTGACCAGTGCTCGTTTATAGCTATTTGGACAAAAGCTATTAAAATTTAAGTATTGTCCTTTCCATGTGGACTTACGATAAATTGACTTTTGAAGACTACCGTCTTCTAGGCGTTCCATGGCGATGTCGAGGAAGTGGAACTTCCCGTCACTTTCATGTTCCACAGTGAACTTGATATTGGCGTGTGCATCATTGAATAATCTTAGTAGGTGTGAAGCATGACTATCATTTTTGCACACTATAAATGTGTCATCAACGTAACGACAGTAGGAAGTTGTTTCATCGATTGCATGCTTTAACTTTGTTTTCTCAAGATTTGACATGAAGATATCTGCTAAAACAGGGCTAAGTGGACTGCCCATAGCTACACCATCTATTTGTCGGTAAAGAGTGTTATTAAACTGGAATTGTACATCCATGGTACACATTAGCAGTAGGCGTTTGAATTCTGACTCTGGTAGTGGAAGCAGATCAGACTGTTGACAAATGATTTCAATGGTTTCATTGATTGGGATCATTGTGAACAGGGATGTTGCATCAAATGAGACCATGAACTTATTTGAAACGTTCATATGATTTACGCTTTCGGCGAAATGAAATGAGTCTTTTACGGTATGCACAGCTAGACGTCGGCGAATGGGTTCCAACTTCTCCGCAAGCCAACGGGCAACCTTATGTTGAGGAGAGTTGATCATCGAAAGTATTGGTCTTAGAGGGACTTCTTTCTTGTGTATCTTTGGAAGGCCATACATATATGGCAAGCGGGACCCTCTGGGTTTCAATTCATTGTACGTGTTGTTGTCAATCATATATGTATGCCATATATGTATGGCCTTCCAAAGATACACAAGAAAGAAGTCCCTCTAAGACCAATACTTTCGATGATCAACTCTCCTCAACATAAGGTTGCCCGTTGGCTTGCGGAGAAGTTGGAACCCATTCGCCGACGTCTAGCTGTGCATACCGTAAAAGACTCATTTCATTTCGCCGAAAGCGTAAATCATATGAACGTTTCAAATAAGTTCATGGTCTCATTTGATGCAACATCCCTGTTCACAATGATCCCAATCAATGAAACCATTGAAATCATTTGTCAACAGTCTGATCTGCTTCCACTACCAGAGTCAGAATTCAAACGCCTACTGCTAATGTGTACCATGGATGTACAATTCCAGTTTAATAACACTCTTTACCGACAAATAGATGGTGTAGCTATGGGCAGTCCACTTAGCCCTGTTTTAGCAGATATCTTCATGTCAAATCTTGAGAAAACAAAGTTAAAGCATGCAATCGATGAAACAACTTCCTACTGTCGTTACGTTGATGACACATTTATAGTGTGCAAAAATGATAGTCATGCTTCACACCTACTAAGATTATTCAATGATGCACACGCCAATATCAAGTTCACTGTGGAACATGAAAGTGACGGGAAGTTCCACTTCCTCGACATCGCCATGGAACGCCTAGAAGACGGTAGTCTTCAAAAGTCAATTTATCGTAAGTCCACATGGAAAGGACAATACTTAAATTTTAATAGCTTTTGTCCAAATAGCTATAAACGAGCACTGGTCAAGACTTTGTACTATAGAGCGAGAAGAATATGCTCTACAGAGAAACTAGAGGAAGAATTTGAGTTTCTTGAAAAGACTTTGAAGAGCAATGGGTACCCTCAAAGGTTTATCAATAAGTATGGAAGATCTGCAGTCGCAAATGAAAAACTAATCACAGTAAGAAAAAAGCCAATCTACTTTGAGCTTGATTATAAAGGCGAAAACATTGCAGCGATGATCAACAGAAGGCTGAGTACATCACTAGCCATAGCTTATCCTGCAGCTAAGCTCGTTCCCGTCTTTCGAACAACTTGCTCTCTGGTGCAATCAAAAATCGATAGATATCCTTCTCATGTTAACTCCAACTGTATATACAAATTTACATGTATCTGCGGGAGCAGTTACATTGGAAGAACAGAAAGAAGAGCATATCTACGATTTTCTGAACATGTACCAAAAAGCTTACGTCTAAAGGGAACAAATGCTTTAAACAGTGCCATCGCCAGGCATCTTCTTGACACGGGTCATGAGGTGGAAATCGAGAAATCCTTTAAAATTATCAATAGACAAAGGAACTCCATTCTCCTCAAGTTTGCCGAAGCAATTTCTATCAAACGCTTGAAACCAGATTTATGTGTTCAGAAAGAAGCAGTTATCAGTCTTTCTTTGCCCTGGTAACTGGATATTTTTCATCCTAATGCGAGATACTAAAAAGTTTTCATTTTGTATGATTATTAATGCTCGGAATTGTGTTCAAGATTGCATATATATACATATATGTATATATTATTAGTGTTTGTGTATATCGATCGATTGATTTCTGTTTAAAATGAACTCTGTGTAAGTATGATAAATTGTTATTGTAGATACATTTAATAATGTTTTTGCCCTGTAAGCAGCTGAAGAGAAGGCGACGAAATAAAATATGGTACCATTTTATTCTGCAAAATCTGTAGTTGTTGCTTTGTTTAAATTCATTAAGGGGAACAAATGTATGAAAATTCTTCTGATTGGCTGTTTCGTGCTGAAAGTTAATCTTTCATCTCTTTGTGGCTGTTTCTTGAAAGTCACATCATCTATCTGCTAATTGTATCCGCCTACACAAAGTCTTCTGTGAAAGGTTGTTGAGTCAGTCTTTGTTCTTATTTTTCTCATGACCAATATTGGGGACGCAAACATTGACGTAAATTACTGTCTACCAATTTTGGCTAGCAGACATCTCTCACCACACTTTTATTAACAGTAGCAGTAGCCATGATAACTGATTACTTCACAGTCTTCATACACTCCAACTGATCTTTCTAATATGGATCTTCAGGAGGGATTGTTCCAGCCAGTATATCTCATTGAATTATTTTGAGTATACAAGTCCGAGTACTCTGTCAGAGTGATAACTGTCATTTTGTGTTATCAAGGAGCAACTAACTGTCACACCCAATTTTATTCACTATAAGTGTCACGACTACCTTTTAAGCTTTAAGAAATTCATCTCAAATGTTGTCATCAATAGTTGAGGACTAAGCTGTTGTTTAATTAGACAGTGTTTGTGGGGGGTTAATTGATTTACAAAGATATTCAAGTGTTGGTTTGTAAGGGTTTAATTGGTTACAGGATTTCAGCATAAGAGAAGTCGTGACCAGTAGGGTGCAGCAGGTCGGTTGTGAGGACATTGGCTAGTGGTCGCGCTATGTTGTGAATTGGCAGAAGTTAGAATCCATGGGATGGCCATTGGATCGGGTCCCAGTGGCTTAATGGTCTACGAGTTAGGTCACCTTGTAACCAGAAGGTCCTGGGTCCGAACCTTAGTGGATGCGTACTACTGAAGAGTCCTAAACTAGAACGAAACAGCTGTCCAGTACTCCCTGGTGGATTTTCCAATGGTTCTCTAACCATTGTCAGCTCATGATGATTTATAAAGTGTTTAAATTATTACTTTCTATCCAATATAATGTTGCATATGTTTATTACATTTTATTACAGGTTAAAAGACACGATTTCAACAAATCCTCACTGTTGCCATCCTCATCACAAGACAACAATACTCACATTATGCTAGAGACAATAATATGCATAAAAGAAGGTAAAGAATTGAAATTCTCGAACACTCATCATAATCAAAAGTTATTCACATCAAAATATACACCTACACCTAGATTACAAAATAAATCTGGTATACTAGTTGAACACAGCTATTTAATTGTACGCTTACCATGGTGTGGATCGATGAGTAATAACAACAAGGCGCCGCAGTTAAATTCATCAACAATGAATTTAGATCAATTTCACTCAAATGTTGCCTGGCTGAGTGGAGCATGTCCACAGTATGCATTCAATGTACGATCTCAATGTTTATTTCATCAAGTAAGTAGAGTTTTTTTTGAAAAAATTTTTTTAAAGACTTTAAACTTATGCAGCATATAGATACATAGATTTCGTGGTTGTTGGCACTTGTCAGAGAAAGGCTTACATTGCAATCTTGTAGGAATTGATGTCCCCTATGAGATTTGAATTCGCGTCAGCCGGTGGTTCAGTGAGTGAAGTTGCCACTTGGATATTTGGACTCACACCTGACTTCCAGCAGGACTGCAGTGTCTAGACTGACTGGTTAATAGGAAGTAGTCGATGTCATTCACCCAGTCTTTCGTGTTGGTACAGACTGGATTCCATCAGTCACGTTTTGTAGTGTAGTCATTAAGCTAGGTGACTCACCGCACTGGGTGGTGTCACGGATTGGAATCTCAGCAGGGATGTGAATTCCTGCTGCGGCCTGCTTAAGATTTGTGATACCGAAATCTTCCATCTCTCTATTGCATATATATATTTTCTCTCTTTCGGTTTGTTTTAATCGATTAAGATATGACCTCTAGTGTGTATGCAAAATGTTTACAAGCTTCTGATTCGCAAGTTCCTAATAAACTTGAGGAATGGCCTGATGATTGTGGGTACCAGCGTGTTCCAATACATGAGGTCATAACTGTTCTTCAGCTGTGTCCTTGGATCTCAAAACGTACTTCTGAACATCTTACGATTGACTTCCAACTGGATATCGTGGATTTCTTGAAGGAAGGAGACAAAACAGATATATCATAACGGAATGGTGGTTTGTGCTTCAGCTCAGAAACCATTGTGTCACAGGAAGGATATACTGTCAATTGAAATTTTATTTGAAGATATTGTAAGAGGGGTGAAATATCATGCAATCAACTCCTCTGAAAATTCTGTACATTCTACAAATACTGTCTAGAATAAAGATGTTATTAATAAAAAGAAAATTCCTTCAAGGCTGCAGATACTCCATACTGTAGATTGCCAAGCAGCATGCAGCCTATGTTAATAGCTTTAATTGAATTTTAGATTTTTCCGTCGATTGATTGGACCGAAGTGCTCGGTCTCAGGTTGATATGTCGGCTTCCTGTGCGTTGGTCTAGTGGATAACGCTTTGACGTTTGAAACTATGGGCACTGGGTTCGAGCCTCGGCGGGAATATCATCACTCACTGAGAAATGCAGGTACATCTAGATGACGAGTCCCAAATAGGACGAAACACGCATCCTGGATTCCACCGCTAGTCACCATCCACCAATTAAATATTTTAATAGCTTCCTAAAGATTTTTGCCAACCACATGACATCAATTCAGGGTGCACTGTGATGGCGAGTCACCTTACTAGGTTGACTATATTGCAAATGTGACTGATAGAATTCAGTCTGCGACAGCGCCAAGAACTAGACTCACGGTATTGGTTGTTATCATCTAGTGACCAATCAAATCTTATATATGTCGTGGAAACTGAAGGTATTGTGATAATGCGACCTACTTGACAATGAAAATGATTTTCGATAAAAAAAGAAGACGAAATTTACAGTATAAAATGATGCCATCATTCTATTTCACAGGTTCTCATCAGCTGCCATAGACTACCTGAAATTACAATGGTTATTTAGGTGATAATAACATACTTTATTTAATGTTTAAGTGGTAGTGTAACAACAGAAGACAAGGGCCAGGCAACAGATCGTTTATTACGAAAAATCAACACGTATTTATAGATTTTTATGTACATTATTGTAGGTCAATGTTAGTAGAAAATACAGTCTGTTGATTGGTTGTTTCTCGTACAAAGTTAACCTTGCATCTCCTGTGGCTGTGTCAGTTCATCTATATGTTAACTGTAACCGCCTGTCCACCTTGACCTTTGACCTCAATTACTGTCAACCAATTTGGCCAGCAACCATCTCTCACCACAACATGACTAATATTTGATACATAAACATTGACCTCAATTACTGTCCACCACTTGGCTAGTAGACCGCTCTCACCACAGTAGTAGAGAAGAGATGCATCCAAAATGAAAACATTACAATTTTTAGTTTAAGTTTTCATCATCAATTTATACGCTTTACAAAGTTGAAAAGGGGGGGCAGGGAGAGGGGTAAGACAGAAAACAGAAAAATTAATCAACAGAACAGTGTGTTAGTTTGTAGGTCCACATAGCAACTCAAAAAACAAAAGCGATTGCAGTTTATGAGATTAAGATTTGTTCAGTGAGTTGTGGTCACTGAATTAGATGACTAATTAATGTAATCATTACATTACAAACCACAGTATTAACTACTATCAAATGATAAGAAACTGCAGTCATAGGCTTTGTGTGTTTTAACGTACTTGTTAGCATTAGCGTAATCCTATTTAACAAGCGAAATTCACCATAATAGCGACAGAAAGCTGATCACAATGTCGAGTTATTTGAATGAACTCCTATTGAATTATATTTCCTGTTAAGTATTTTCATTAAAGTCTCTCTTTCTGTTTGCTTTCATCAGGAATCACTGTCACGATTGATGAAATCATCAATTGTCATAGAAGTATGGTCTAAATGGATGAGTGGTTTACCTGATCATTTAATTGGTCTGGTAAAAATTCCTACAGAATGTATAGTTAAATTATATGCACACTATGATATGAATACTTCACAAATATGGTGGCATTCAAATAGTGTAATACAAAGTCTACTGAAAGCACAAGTGAGTTATTTATTTATTGTTATTACTATTATTATTATTCATATGAACTGTGATCAAGATTTGACCGGATAGTTGCAAAATAATTGAGCGCCGAGTGAGAAGTAGACATTTGTAAAAAAAATTATACTTGTAAAAGCTCAGCAAATTCAAATGATTAATTCCAACGTTTCCTGCGTTCGGCAATCTGGCCCGAATTTCTTCAGGGAAATTAATCGAAATTAACATAACATAGGTTCATATATAAAAGGAACATCAACAAGAAGTATCAACAAGTATAATAAACAAAATTTTATGAGCTATGATCAAAATTTGACGTCGGACTTACAAATATTGGTCTACCTTTGTTAAACACTTTAAACGGAGTGTGTATGTGTGTGTGTGGGTAAGCAGTTGTAAAACATTTCTTAACGTCTCCATAAGAAGATATAGACAATAGAGAATTTTGACCAAGTATTAATAATTAGTGATACATATCCATTATTATTTGTTAATAAGGATTTCCTATGCATCAGCTAACATCACGCCTTCATGCCGTTCAAACTGTTAGTATCTAGAATTTTATAATAAGACGTATTTTATAATATAATTTTTTACAAATGTCTACTTCTCACTCGGCGCCCAAAGAGCTATGAGGTAAGAAAATAGACTTAGGTCAAGTTAAAGGGACATATTGAAAGTCAAAATAACAAACCAAAAAATGCCCCCAGACTGAAGAACGATGATGAAGTTGGTAAACTTTGTTTTGATACTATAACAGATGTACTATTACCTTTGTTATTTGGTTTAGTGATCTTCATTGGTATTTTAACTTTCAATATGTCCTTTTAACTTGACCTAAGTCTATTTTCTTCTCACCCCTTAACTCTTTGTTATATATATGTTGAGATTTTGTAAATTCCGGTTTAATAATACTTTGATAAAGCTATTAGCATTAAATAGTGAAATGTCAGAAAAAACAATATCTTCTATAGTTTGGTTTGTAAGGATTAGTTATGTTTTACGAGTTGATCACGGACTGATATCAGTTAGAGAACCATTGAAAACCAGGGAGTACTGGACAGCTGCTGTTGTAACCGGAAGGTCCCGGGTTCGAATCCCAGTGGGTGCGTACTGCCGATGATTCCCAAACTAGGATGAAACAGCAGCTGTCCAGTACTCCCTGGTTTTCAATGGTTCTCTAACTGATATCAGTCCGTGATCAACTCGAAAAACAATATCGTTTTGTTTTCCATTCATTGGGAAATACAAGAAAACCTTTATTATAATGAATATCATATACCCAATGCCCAAATTTTTTCAAACTGTTAAAAGTGAACTTGGTTTGGACATATATAAATTAGTCTACTTTTGTTAAAATAAATGTGTATATGCAGTATACAATGGTGTGTGTGTATGTGGGTGTGGGTGAACAGTCATAAAAACATTTGTTAGTCTCTCCATAAGAAGACGTAGACAATCGGGAAATTTGACCAAGTATGACTAATTGTTGATACATATCCAATTTTTTATTTATTACTCAGAATTTCCCATGCATCAGCTAGCATCACACCTTCACGTCTGTTCAAACTGTTGGGATTCACCAATACTATGCAGGGCCTCTGCAGTCAGTCTTTCTTTATATGAACCAAAACCTTTCTGTAGAACCTTAATCTTTCTTATCAAAGTCGATTTTGTGTCCCATTTCTATCGAATGCAGTACAATCGCTGAGTTGTTTTCTAGCTTCTTGAAGTCTGCGGAGGTCTTTGGAACCACCTTCATAATGTGTGTTACAACTGTTTTTGTGTTGTACTTTGAGATGATTTGATCGTGTGTTCATTTATTACTACTGCAAGCATGATCCTACATTCACATTCATGTGACTCTATTTAATGTATTTCTATCCCTTTTGATTGTCTGAGACACTCACAATCTCGAATATCAGAGTTCCTTCAAGCTTGCAGATACGCCTTCCTGATGAGTGCCAACTAGCACGAAACCTTCCTGCCGATTGCCTCCAACTATCTAATATCATCAAATCAATGTGCACCGTGATGGCAAGCTACCTAGAATGGTGGCCACATTTCAAATACCTTACTGATAGAATTCAGTCTGCACCAAAGAAGGACTAGATACGTCACACTAGTTACTAGTGTCCAATCAAAACACTCACAATCCATCGATGAGTCATACTTCGATCACTTCATGTTATGACTCAGACAGGATAGTTAGGCTTCTAAGCTTGTGAACGGTGTGAATTACCCACTGAGACAGTACATAATAAATCACAATACTGAAACAGTTAATTCTGACCTCAGAAAATATGGTAATCTGTCGAGTGTCTTTACTCCATATCCTTTTCCAGTATGGATCACTTCGACCTGGCTAGCAAAAAATACTCAGTAGTACATAGCACGGTACATTAAATCAAATCTGTTTGTGTGCTACATCGCTCTTCGCTGCTATTCTCCATTATATTTCCCGCCGAATTTATAAGGAATACAATAAGCGATATTAGATGGTTGGAGGCAATCGGCAGGAAGCCTTGCTTGACCTAGGTTTCGTGCTAGTTGGCACTCGTCAGCAAGGGGTATATCTGCAAGCTTGAGGGAATTCATTTCCCTTCTGATAGGTTAAAAATTGTTTCAGTCAATGGGTTGAAATAATCGAGATTAGGAGTTTGGCTCGAATTAGTTATAGTACCAATGTATTTTTCATATCTTTTATTCTTATTTTGGTTAACTTTTCTTTTAAACTAATCACACTTATTTGATGAACATACAGTGACTTTGATATAAATACGTTTTATTTCTTTTATTCTCTTGTTCACAAAAGCATCCAATGATTCCTGTAGATTCATGGCTCCCAATTACTGACCCATTCTCAGGCAGTGAATGTGGTCAACTGCATATCCTTTTGGCGGTTGGAACACAAGAACAAATAAATACGTTTTCATCTGTTCAAAACTTAAAATATAATATTGATAATGTGTACATGATGAATCAAGAGATGACAGGTACTGGTAGTGGTGGTGGTACTTCTGGTATTCTCAAACAGGCGGAACACTGTTCATCCATTGATGTTACAGGTAATACATTTATAAAATGTTTTAACAATTTAGTCTTGCATTCCTTTGCGTTCCAAGTAGAACATAGGGGCTAATGCTTGAGTTTTGAAGTTCTGGTTCCCATGGTGATGGGGGAGGAAGCGTTGCTAGCCCGACTCTCAACTTTTCCCCCTTTACCGAGCTAACTACCGGACAACAATCAAACATGGACCTTGTGGATGGTCGGCAAGCAATCTGCTACTGAACCAACGAAGCACATTTTAAGTAGTACCGTGAAGTAGTCAACCGCACTACACATCCCACTGATCACTCATCAACTGGCGTAAGAATTGCAGTCCCATAAGAGGTCATTTGTCAGCCAAGGTAGTACAGTCGTAGCACTTTTGACTGCAACACTAGGTAATTTGGGTTCTAATCTTTGAGGAAGCATCAGTTCCTTTCAGGTTGCTGATACGCCACCATGCTGAAGAGTGTCAATAAGCACGAAACCTAGGTTTATAAACATCTAATAATAATTGTAGTAGTAATTCGTATTCATTCTATTCTGTTTGCTGAAACTATTGATCTCATGTTTGTAAGGTAAACAAGGCAATATCTTTTACAATTATATATAAGGTTAAAGGGTTTTCAAAATGCATTTGCTAACGAAGAATACTGACATTACAAACTTGGAGTTAGCGTAGACTTTACTTGCTTTAAACTATGGTTCTTAATTAATTAGCTAGTCACTTTTTCAATTCATGCATAAACCCCATCCAGGCATTAATGAAAACAAAACACGTAGATCAGCGAAGAGTCTCTTTTCGGCAACGAATTCATTTTCTTAGTTCTACATTCGCAAATATATATACGGGTTATTTTGTATGTATGTGTACATTAAGCTTGTCAAACAAAAATACAATTGGTTATAGTTATTTTAAATAAACAGGTGAAGATTGGTAATTGGAGTTACGTAATACAAAATCATTCAAGAAAATAAGGGGTTTATGAAATTAGGAAAGTAACAAAGGTGATGAGTTTTCACAAACAGTTGTCAAAAGAAGTAATGTAATAACATGAATAGTTTGATAAGTGAGTTTTACATAGGAACAAAGTAGATAATACGAAATTACGAAAGAGTTCTCAGTGAATACAGGAATTATAAGCAATTAAAGAACAAGCAAAGAAACTAAATTAAGTCATCAAAAATCAAAAAATCAAATCAAAAAAGGTTCTCCAGTCGCCCACTGATCTGCAGAAGCCTCAAGGACAAGATCCCGCATCTGACCACTTCTATGTGCATATATCAGTTCACCTGCTGCTGTGGAGCCAGCCAGGTACATCGGTCGTTTGACGCGCACCCTGTCCAAGAGGATTCAAGAACACTATCCAGCATGGTTGCGAAAAGGCAATAGTGGTGCAATAAGGAGTGCGATAATTGAACACCTGGTTAACACTGATCCTTCCATTACAACTAACGCTTCCTTCAAAGTAATCTACAAAGTCAAGAACAACCTATCAAAGGCAATCCGGTTTCGCATTTTTTGTATCGCTGAAGCTCTGGCCATTCACATAGAAAAACCGGAGCTGTGCATACAAAAGAGGATTACTCAACCACTTCTGTCATGGTAACAATTTTTTGATTTGATTTTTTGATTTTGATGACTTAATTTTGTTTCCTTGCCTGTTCTTTAATTACTTATAATTCTTGTATACATTTAGAACTCTTACGTATTTTCGTATTATCTACTTTGTTCCTATGTGCATCCTGAGTAAAACTCTTTCATCAAACTATTCATAATATTACATAACTTCTTTTTAACAACTGTTTGTGACAACTCATCACCTTTGTTACTACCCTAATTTCATTAACACCCAATTTTCTTGACAGTTTCTGTGTTACGTAACTCCACCCTAAACTAACTAATTTTCACCTGTTTAGTTAAAATAACCATAACCAATTGTAATTTTGTTTGACAAACTTAATGTACACATACATACAAAATAACTCGTACATATATTTACGATTGTACAGGTAAGAAAATGGTTTCGCAGGCGAAAAGAGACTCTTCGCTGATCTACGTGTTTTGTTTTTATTAAGTCACGTTCTCGTTAGTTTTTGTTGCTCAACTGGTCTTTACTTACTTCTAATTTAAACATGCGGAATAAAAAGACTGAATGGATCGACACTTTCAATTATCGGACAAGCTGCTTCCACTGCAACTGACTGCTTACAAAATCCTTACAGAGAGATGTAGGAAAAAAGGTTTAACAACTGCACACTATTACAACGCCTATGACCACAGTAATTTGTCTGAATGTCAATCAGGGCGTGAATTTAATTCACGACAGTTCATTCTGTCCAAATTTTCTGCTGTCAGATAAAAATTTACATTGTGTAATACGCGTTTAAATTACATGTTTTTGACTTCATGTAATCTGCATTGACAGAACTGTGGTGGTGTGGTATAGAAAATGTATGCGAAAAGAATGTTATGCTCACATATTCCCATATATCTGTTTGAACATTCGATTTGATGTTAGAGACAGAATACATTTCCCACGGTTATATACACTGCATTAATAAAAGAATACTATATAAGTATTTGAACATTCTATTTCATGTTGTTCGATGTAAACCCAAAATCACATGCTAGGTGATTGGTTAACGAATATAAACTGTAGATATACAAACAGCGGTTTAATTAATGAAAAATATGTCCTGGCTCCTGTGTCTTGCCTTCTGTTGCTACAGAACTACTTATAAACTTTGGGTGTAGATTATGAAACAAAGAACAGTGTTTTCTGAAGGCGGATTATGTCTGAACAACTATCTGTGTTCGGTTAAAGATATAATTTCAATTCATGAATTGATATAAGTGGTTTGATACCACTCACATAAACCAGTTATGCTTACTGGCCAGTTTGAAATGATCTACACCCTCGACGGGGGTGTTTCACTCCTTTGGGACCGACTTCATCAGTGTGGTGTACCCAGTGGTTTGTCTCAGCTTAGAGAGCCTTAACATTTGAAACCAACCGAATTCTGGTTAACATTATAAGAAATCCGCAAATATACAAAATTAATTATGCTATGACCGGAACTACAACCTAGTAGACTGTAAGTGAATACTAACTTAATGCCCTGGCTAATCTGTCCTTATCGCACGCCAGTAAAAACAGCAATAACACGACTGGGCCGTAAAGACACAAGAAAAGACTGGACCTGGGAGTACTGGACAACTGTTGCATCAGGCTAGTTTGGGACTCTTCACCAATACGTAGCCACCCACCAACACTTAAATATCGATGAGATGCTCACTAGCGACTTACCCTATTAAGGTAGGCAGTTACCTGGGGTTCTTGTGAGAAGTCTTAACCAGTAGGGTGCAGCAGGTCGGGTGTGAGGACAAAAACTCGCCGAAGACATTGGCTAGCGGTTGCGCTATGTCGTGAATTGACAGAAGTTAGAATTCATGAACTGACTGGCCATTGGATCGGGTCCCAGTGGCTTAATGGTCTACGAGTTCACTAGCCTTGTAACCAGAAGGTCCTGGGTTCGAACCCTAATGGGGCGGGTGCGTACTGATGGAGAGTCTCGACCTAGGTTGACGAAATAACTGTCCAGTACTTCAGGGGGGTTTTCCAATGGTTCTATAACCAGTGTCAGCTCATGGTGAAATCCTGTAACCAATCAAACCCTTACAAACCAACACTTAAAAGACCGTACGTTGGTAGGAGGGCTTTACTGTCTCAAAACAACAGTCGAGAAAGGTTGACGATGCTTGCGCATATATGTATATGTTTAAGATGACCTTGAGAAGCACTAATTTCACTTATAAATTATGACAGTGAACAACCAATAGGATCTAAACAGTCATAATCTGTAGTGAGAGAAAATAAATGGGGTGAAGTTAAACAAACAGCCATATAAAAATGACGTAGAATATTGGGTCTATATATCAAATTAACATGATTGGCGTTCAACTACTCAAATCAGTGAATCAGTAGTATATGTCGTTATGGATTAATATGTTTGCTCTCTCGATTTATGTTATCAAGCGGATGACATTTTGAGATCTGAATACTGCACTTTTACATAACAATTCCTATATTTCGTTGATTAGACACTAGGCAGTAATTATTATCATTCATCTGGTCCCATTTTTTGTTGCAGACTGAATTCTACTGAACACAAAGTAATTGAGCAAAGAAAAATTCTTTTCGATAAATTTCTCTTCTGGCTCTACAATTAAATATATGTATATACACAGAATATTCTAGAATAGTAGTCAATAACAATATTAGTGTTTTTTAAATAACATCGATTTGTAAAGTAAGATCACAATGGAATTACAGTTCATTAAAGATGCCTAAATTATAATAATAATAAAGGTATAGCAACAAATAGAATATCAACTAAAATTAGGAAAATTCCACAAAAATTCAGGATCATTCAAACCTAGATGGCCAAGATAAGGATAATGTCTGAACTAACTTCTTTTGGATGCACAAATTAGGCTTGTTAATATGGATCCCAACAGCCAGCCGCAGCAATATTTAGTAATCGAACTCCTAAGGCAAAATTGGGATTTGTTGGTATGCGGTAAATGACCCTGCTGAAAGCCTGGTTAAGTAAAGGACAAACAAAATCTATTCACATAGCACTATTCTGTCTCATCTTGTGGATACAGAATACAAGATTGATGTTTACCAGGCTTTCAAAGCCATTTACCGCATACCGACGAATTTCAATTTCGCCTTATGAGTTCGTTTACTGAATATTGCTGAGGCTGTTAAGATCCACATTAAGATGCCTAATTTATGCGTCCAAAAGAAGTTAGTTCAGACATTATCATTACCTTGGCTATCTATGTTTGAATGATCCTGAATTTTTGTAGAAATTTCCTTAATTTTACTTGATATTCTGTTTGCTATTATATTATTATTATTTTATTATTATAATTAATGCATCTCTAATGAACTGCAATTACATTGATCTTACTTTACAAATTGATATAATTTCAAAAACACTAATATTGTTATTGACTACTATTCTAGAATATTCTATGTATATAAAGTTGTATATATAATTGTAGAGCCAGAAGGGGAAATTATCGAAAAGGATATTCTTTGCTCAATTATTTTGTGTTTTATAGATGTCTGAATGAATATTTTTTTGCAATACTGAATTCTATCAGTCAAGTTAGCGATGTGGCCACCATGCTAGGTGGCTCGCGCAATCGTGATGCACTGTGAATTGTGTTGTTATTAGGTGGTGATTGAAAGCAATCGGCGGAAAGCCTTGAATTTACGTTTTGTGGCAAAGTAATTTTAGTAACTTGATTATAAAGCTTGTATCAATGCACTGAAAAAGAAATGAAATCCATGAAATCTGGAGAGATGTAGAACAGTCAGATTCACTAGTTAGGTATACCGTTGTATTTCCCTATCTAACTATTGAACGTTTGTTTTACAAATCAATATCTTATTTTCAGCGCGCTTAACATCAATTCATTTGTGTTTCCACATGCCTTCTCTTTTTTGTTAGTTGAACATAGAATCAGCATAACTATTGAACAATTGAGAGATTTTGATCCACGTATCTCATTGAAACATGATCCACATTTCGATGGATCTGTACCATGGGGTGATTTAGATTGTTTTGTTCAATACTTTTTCCCAATAGGTAAGTTGTTCCCTTGAAAATGTTAATTCCATGCATAATATACTTTTAATATTACTAAGCAGTTACTTTGTTTTGTTTGAGAAATGGTGGCATGCTTAAATCATCACTAAGGTGCTTTTGATGTATATTTCTATTATAAACAAGCAACTTGATCGCGTAGTAACATTAGGGGGTTGAAATAGAATAGGATAAGGACCCCAATGCTGGATATAGACACACTGATATAAGGATAAAATTTATTTTGATAAAGTCACACATAACATAAACAAGCAAGAATATAAGGCATATACAATAGTTTTACCATATAAGAAAGAGACATATGAGACCCTGCCTACTTAGGATTCCTAATAAAGCAGGAATTAGGGTGGCATTCAAACTTACAAAGGCTCTAAGGAAGGACAGGCTCTGTAGGCTAAAGGACCCAGGTGACTCAATTAGACAAAGTAATATAATTTCCCCCTCGAATTAGTTAATTTGTAAATTGAGACTTTATGAGCAGCTGGGAAAATATTGCTCTAAACACATTTAATCCTACTCCAAAAATATAGTGGAGATTTTTGGATGATACTCTCACACAGTGTTAAAAGCAGAACATATAAACTCACTAGTAGGGAGCATAAAATTCACATTTGAATCGGAAAATGAACAAGCAGAATTAACTATGATGTTAGATTGTAAAATAAAACGAATAGAAGAAGGTAAACTACACACTAGTGTTTATAAAAAGCCAATGCATTCTAATAGATATTCAGACGTTAATTCATCTCATCCATTGTCTCTCTATGAAGGCAGGCTTAGTTAAGTGTCTAACAAACCGAGCAGTAGCCCTAAGTAGCACAAGAAAAGACCTAAATGATGAAATAAAACAGATAGAAGAAGCGTTGGTATCAAATAAATATGCTATAAAATTCATTAGGAAGATCAGCAAAGGTCGAAAACAAAATAAAAATAATTGTGAGACTAGTAGTGATAACATAAATAAGAGAGAATAAAAGTCATCCACTGTTATAGCATTTAAGGAGGGGACATCTGAGACCCTACGTAGGATTCTTAATAAAACAGGAATTAGAGTGGCATTCAAACCTACAAACTCACTCAGGCAGCGAAAAACTCTGTAGGCTAAAGGACCCTGTAGGTTGACCCAGTTTAACAAAATAATATAATTTACAAAATACTCTGCAATGATTGTGAGTTAAGTCAACTACATAGGTCAGACTACTAGATCAGGGGTAATCAGACTGTCGGAACATAAGAATATAGCTAAGGTTAGAATGGTTGATTCTACGAAGATAAGTATTTCGGGAAGAAAAACTCAGCAATCGCACTACATGCATTAACACACAACCACACAATAGAGTGGGTGGGAGAGATTCAAAATTCTAAAAAGTAATCTGGTTAGGTGGAGAGAGAGATTGATTACTGAATCCTGGTTCATCGAATAATCTACACCCAATACGTGCAATAGAAGTGACGTAATGCAAATACCGGAGATATGGAAGATATTATTACCACCAGTCAAATCAGAGGATGACAAGTAATGCTAAAATGTATTCAATTCACATTATAACATCCTAACAAGTTACTTATTATAACTATAAAAACACTCGTCTTATTTCCCATCTGCTTGTATTTGATTGATAACACTAATATTATTTCCGAATGTACTTTATCTTATACCGATTTTATTCAAATGTCTAATCAGTTTTTACTCATGTATATAAATGAAGGAAAAAGTTGTGTGAGTAGTGACTTGATATGATTATGAACGGCAATAAATTGTGCTCGAAAGGTGGTCATCAGTTAATATTACTGAATAACACTGTGTGAATTATCAAAATAAAATCTTATCTATAATGGAGTTATACTCTACCACAGTGTCCAAGTTTTATAATTATATCAATTGTATTTTTGTTTGACAAACTTAATATACACCTACATACAAAATAACCCATGAATATATTTGCGATTGTACAGTGAAGAAAATGAACTCACCGCCTAAAGGAGACTCTTCACTGAACTACGTGTTTTTTTTCATTGATGCCTGAATTAGGGATCATCCATGAATTGTTTTGATGAAGTATCCAAATATAATAGGACGAAGTACTCTTTGACAAATCTATCCATAACCGAAATGACGACTTTTTCGACCTGAAGCTCTGCCAACTAACTGTGAATGAATTCATGATTTCTAATAATAATAATAACAATAATAATAATAGTAGTAATAATAATAATTTACTTTATTCCAAAAACAATACTTGTGATACAGAATGGAATTTTCAGCATTAATCACAGTAATATTGCATCTAATTTCCTCAAATTATAAATAAAAATTAATCACACAGAAAATTTTCCACATTTACAATAGGGGTAATGTCAAAAAAAAAACATACAGCATATAAAATGGAAATAATAATAATGATAACAGCTAATGTAATAATAATAATACAAGTGGAAATTGCCGTGGGCTTGTTTCACACAGTATTGTCGATGCGGTATACAAATCCTTGCATGATTAAAAGTATTGAATATAATGTTCTCTTTACATAATAATGTGAGGGGAAAATAACAAAGATTACAGCAGTCATAGAGATAAGTTGGTGTTTGCAGTTATGAAAGTAAAAACAAAGAAGCAACGGCACCATAAATATAATAGAAATAATGAAAGTAAAACCTGAAGGTATATAAGGCTGGATGGATGGAGGAAATTGTTTATTTACTGGATGAAAAAAGGTTAGTCAATTCTTGCCTGACGCTATTTTCATCACATAAAATACATGCCAAGTATGGTATATCATAGAATTTTTATACTTAGACGTGCGAGCATACAGTTTTCTGAAGTTACTTCTGTTGTTCTACCTGAGAGGAGATGCGCAAGGTGAAAGCTGAGGGTAAAGTGGAGGATGCTCTAATCCCCATATATATTCATTTTTTCTTTAGATACAAAAGCTAAATGCTTAGCCAGTTATCGTACATCAGTTCAAATGCTCAATAAACCGAGTAATAACAGCAATAACAACCATGGCAACAATAGTCGTTCTCAAATTGAAAAACAATTTATCTCCTGTGAATTCATTCCAACTGTTAGTTCATCAACAGCTGACGGCGACGATGATGGTGTTGATACACAAGGCCATATATCATTACGACGCAGGCCAGGGAAATCACCATCCTATTGGAATCATACGCATAAATTATGCTTGAATACAAAAATCACATCAGAATCACAAAAGGATGGTGATGTTGACTGTGTAGATTTGATGAAGACAAAAATTGAAAACGAATTTCTTCAATGGATTTTAGATATGTTAACTCGTGCAGATTTTAAAAGTAGTAAGTTACGTATACTCTTAATCTCTTTCGTTTATTTTGTTTCCTCTCTGGTAAATAATTTCCATGCTGAATGGGAAGGTAGAGTATAGTTTCACACACACACACGCACACGCAGTTGCTGATTGAATTGCACCTATCTTCAATTTGTGTTCGTAATCCGCTGAGTTCCTTATAGTAGTGGTGATAACTGATACGAAAGTTAGACATAACACTCAGTTACCTGGACCAAAGTGTTTTATGATCCAGATTGTGTGCTGGCTGCTGGTACTTTGCAGTTGGCAGTCTCCTAGACTGAAGTATGTGAGACTGCATTTCATTTGTTGCAGCTTTACTAGTTAAATACAAACTAATATAATTTGTTTCAGTTAATTCGTATTTCTTTTTCATGTAGTAGTGTTCTCTGAACTAGCTGGATGGTTTATTTGCGTAGCTTTCTTTGCCCACCACTAGGCAATATCTTTAGCGCATACTTCAATTCGTTGAAGTGGGCTTTTAAATTTCTCCATGAGTTTATTAGTCATCTCTCTTGGGGACCTGGCTGTTTTTGAGTGTTTTCACACCCTCTAAGGCTATTTCTATTGGTAATGATTGTTTCCTTGACCTTAAGTTTGACCTTTTTTGTGTGAGATTTCCTTCTTATCGATTGGTAAATTTTGTCTGTGTCAATGTGTCTATTGATTGATGATTCACTGGAATACGCGGCTTCTAAAAATTCTCTAGCATTCTTGGTGTTCCCTCTGTCTAATATTTGAACGTTGTCGTAGTCGAATTTATTTCCGTGGTTGTCTGTATGTAGCAATATAACGGAGTTTATGTCATGCCTTTTGATGGCTAGTTTGTGTTCATCAATACGAAGACGAAGGGAACGTCCATTTTGGCCAATGTAGTGTTTTCCGCAAACAGACCATCCAGCTCAGAGAACCCAACTACATCAAGATTATCCATCTGAGCTACAAATCTTCTCCATCATATCTAATTTGTACTTCTCCTTGATTGATCATGTCGGACTGAAATGCTCGATTTCTGTTGACATGATGGTTCCTAGGACCGTAGGCTTCGACGATATTTGCAGATTAACGTCATGTTATTTTGTTTAGTGCCGATTAACAGTAGGATTCAGGATATGCATTTCGTCCTATTTGGGGCTCGTCAGCTAGATGTGCCTGTCTCTTAAGTGAGTGATGCTGTTCCCACTGAGATTCGAATCCTACATCCATCCTTTTTAAAGGTAAAGCCTTAACCAGTAGGCAACCTATGGTGCAATGGGTATTGATTATTATTATTATTTTAGCTAATTTGCATTTCCCGTTAATTGATTAAGTGGTCAACATGGCGTTAATCCTCAATTATTGTCGAAGCGTCCTTCCCAGCATCTGAGATACCCAAACAGCTACCGAACATTTTTGTTCAAACATAATCAGTCAGTGGGGAAAACAAAGCAACTTAAAATAGTAATGTTGTGTAATGACAGAAGACAAGGGACAGGCAACAGATCGTTTATTGTGAAAATCAAGAGGTATTTATAGATTTCATCATAGAAGTACTAATGGACTTAACCCTAACTCACTTCAGAGACTCAGGGATTAACTTGCTACTAGGGAATAATCTCGTTGACTTAGAATTTGCGGACGATATAGTCCTTCTAGGCGAGGACGCTGACAAAATGCAGAGTCTACTGAACACCTTGAGCAACAATCTTCGTATGTTTGGTATGCGATTCGCCCCTGCAAAATGTAAGATGTTGCTGCAGGATTGGACTACACCGATCCCTAGATTAGAAATAGGAAATGAAGTGGTAGAGCACTTTGACCGCTTCACTTACTTGGAAGTACCACCATCCATTGACCTAGCCGAGCTTTAATGGAGCTAGGGATATATAAATATGATGTGTTTTTCTTTAATAAGAATGTCTGTTTCGCAATCATTCATAACACATTCACTCGTTTTGATCTTCCAAGTCCTCATGTTTCTTCATATATTTATCCAACATGTCTTTGTTTACTGTAGCTTCTTTGCATTTATTTTTTTCTTTTCTACTTATATGTGTGGTTTTATAAAATGTGGCTAATTGAATTACTAAGCTTTTGTGCAAAGTTCTGTGTTGAGAATCAACTTCCAGTTCAGTTATTTGTGCTTATAGCCTGTCGTCTTTTGTCTATTATTATATTATTGTTCCCTTGGGTTTCGAGTGGAACATGGGGCTTCAACAACACATCTCCACTTTCTTCTGTTTTCTGCCATCCTCTTCAGCTGGGTCCACGATTGCCCAAACTCTCTCATCTCTTCCTCACACGATCTCATCCATGTCACTCGCATCGATGACCCACTCATCGTTTCTTATACGGGTTCTACTCGAGGGATGGCGTAAACTGGGCGATCCATCTTCATTTTATCCTACATATTTGTTGAGCAATCGGCTCTCGGTTCGTTTGTTCTCACAGTTTCTTGTTACTTATTCTTTCTGGCCAGCCATTTGATCTTCAGTATGGAGCCAGAGAAAGCAGCTATTGACGAAAGCCTGCAACAGACTATTGGAAATCCTTTTCGTGACACACAGTGCAATTTTCTAACCCGTATACAAGGACCAATTGACATTGGTGTTGAAAAAGCGAATCTTGTTCCTTATGCTGAGTGACAGCAGAAGATTTCCAAACTGGTTTCAGTTTGATGAAAGCGTATCTTGCCTTACCGATTCTGGTTGATTGGCTTTGATATCTTCATCCCTTCCGCCCGCCTGCGGTTGAAACAAAGCTTTCTAGCCGGATAAGTGAAGGAGGTAACCTCTGTCAAATCTCTCCCGCTTATGGTGATTGGTGCTGGTTGTTTTTGTTGTTGGTTGATTTGTTGGTTATCTTCATCACCTCCGTCTCCTCTATGTTTATCACCTGCAGTCCTGTCTTCGATGCCTGCCAGCCTCTTCTGCCAGTTTTTTGGTTTTCGCCTGTAAGTCTTCGAGTTTGTATGACATTAAACATATATCAAATTGATCAAAAAGCTAACTAATTGTTGTTAGATGATTGGAGGCGATCTGAAGGTTGGAAGCCTTGGTCCTAGTTTTCGTGCTTGTTGGTGGTACTCACCAGTCCGCAAGGTGTATCTACAATCTTCGAGGAACTTATGTCCTCCCTGAAATTCGAACCTTTGTCATCTAGTACCGCAGTCACAGACGTCACCACTGAGCTATTTAGGTTTGCAATTGACCTCCTGTAGGACTAGTGTATTGCGTACGTTCAATGGATACTAGTCAGTAACTTGTGTCATGCGTTTAGTCCCTTGTTTTGGTGCAGACTGAATTCTGTCAGTCAAGTTCGCAGATACACCTTACTGACTCGTGAGTACCACCAACAAGCACGCAACCTAGGTCAAGCAAGGCTTCCTGGCCGCCGATTGCCTCCAACCATCTCGTAATAATAACAATTCAGTATGCAGTGAGGATGTGGAACCACCTAGTGGCATGGTGGCCACATTGCAAACTTGACTGACTCAGTCTGCATCAAACAAAGGACTAGACGCGCATAATACTAGTTAGTAACTGAGTGTCTAATGGAAAGCTAATTCATTCATTCCTGCTTATATGTGTTTCTGTGTGTATTTTATCTTTCCTTTTTACAAGATAAATTAGATTTAAAACGTGGTTTACTATTTGAAATTTGGTTACGTATCTATTCACCGAATCTACACGATTGTTTAGCAGCCAAAGGATATATTCCAGAGGAATTATTTTATACTTTAATTAATCGAAACAGAATCAGCACATCTTCTGATGAAAATAGCCAACATAATCATCAGACACTACGTTTCTCGATTGATCTATTCGATGTTAATAGTAATAGTAGCTGTTTAAATGGAAGGCTACAAATTAGCATGGATTATTGGTAAGGCTCAATCTGTATTTACATTTATTGATTTTTATATAACAATTTATTGATTTATTTGTTATACTCATTCATATGCTGTTATTACTGATTTCTCTTGATGGAATGATTGGTAGATTCTGCTCTGAAGTTCAACAATAGCGTCCCAGGAGTGCGAACGACCCAACAACCTTGAACGCATGCTAGTTGTTGGCTAATGGCTTATGATGCCTTATGAGTAATGCTTCACCCCATCAACCGTCATATTCTTCGTAGACTTTTACAATGGCTTTTTGCGACTGTAAGAATATTCCCCATCAAAACGTCTTATATTTTTGTCAATCTTCAGCTTTTACGTCTGAATACTAAAATGAAATAAATTTAACGCCCTACATACTTCATGCATAACTATTAAAACATTGATGATGTCAGGCATGTATTTGTACGCCTAAGCGCTTTAATTGTCAATAGTATCTTGTAAACTTTTAGGAAATCATAGTTCCGCATTTTCATACATTTGAATAGAAATTGTGGGACATGAAATGCATATACATTCTACTTAAACCAGACATCATTGCTAAGACAACGGCGACTACAAGTTCATTCCCTAGCTTAACCGATCACGTGCTACACATATAAAGCTTCGATATTTTGATGTGGTTGTGTTCTCTGAGCTGGCTGGTTTATTTGCGAAGCTTTCATTACCCTACTAGACAATATCTTCAGTGCATACTTCAATTTGGAGTGAGCTTTTAGATTTCTCCACGAGTTTATTAATCATCTCTCCTGGTGACCTTGGACGTGATTGGTTGTTTTTGTGTGTTTTCACACCTTCTAGGTTACTTGTATTGGTTCTAATTGTTTCCTTGACCTGAAGTTTGACCCTTTTTGTTTGACATTTCCTTCTTATCGGTTGATAAATTTTGTCTATGTCAATGGGTCTGTTGATTGACGATTCACTGGAATACCAGGCTTCCAAATATTCTTCAGCATTCTTGTAGTCTCCTCTCTTATATTTGAACGTTGTCCTAGTCGAAGTAGTGTCCGTGGTCGGCTGTATGCAACAATATGATGGAGTGTGTGTCACGCCTTATGACGGCTAGTTTGTGTTCATGGATACGAAGACGAAGGGGACTTTTTCCACTTTGGCCAATGTAGTGTTTTTCGCAGTTGCTACAATTTATTTTGTAGATGATGTTGGTGGAGAAATCTAAAAGCTCACTTCAAATTGAAGTATGCGCTGAAGATGTCGCCTAGTAAGGCGATGAAAAGCTTCGCAAATTACCTATCCTGCTCAGAAAACACAACCACATAAAAATCATCCACCTGAGCTACAAATCTTCTCCATCATATCTAAAGCTTCGATATCTCTGATTGGTTTGTAGAGCTGCGACTACCTTGTTGTCACTAATGGCCTTGACACTATGCCCATTAAATCAGCACTAAGGGAATTAAATTTGCCAAAATGCTTCTTATCAGTTTGTTATTTTTTTAATCAGCTGTCAAAGGAGAGCAATCAAAGCAACAAAAAGGAATTCAAAGATGGAAGTGTGCTGATGGTAAGAGGATATAGTCACAATTTTAATAGCTTTTGGTTTTTATACATTGTCACAGCAGAATTCACTGTAAACTTCAGAAAAAAACTCAAATTTTCCCATGCACTTGATGAAAATATTAACACTTACATTTAACATTACATATTTTGCTTACACTTTCTTCTGATTTCATTATTTTTTCCAAATTTCAGTTATAACATTATCAACCAGTCTGAAGACTTTGATAGAGGAACACAAATCCAACCGTCTAGTAGTATACAAAAACCAACTGCACTACTCTCTAATCCTGTTGTTGTACATCATTCAACGAATCCAGTATTAATTCTACCTAGTAAAACACAATATAATCATCGTATTCAAATATGCCTAGATGAAATCAACTTGATGAAGTCAAAGTCTAGGTCGACTGGCAATGATCAGTTCACTTCCCTTGGGAATAATTCTTCACTTCATCTACGTGTCCATTGTGTACTGCTTATCCCAGTAGCTGGATCAAATTCTTCATCAGTCAATCCATATTATCTTCATGTGATCAAATCAACAATCAGTCAACCTATATATAATTCATTATATGCAAATGAGTTGAATTGTAAATTAGATGTACAATTGCCATCGTCATGGCTAATCGCTTATCAACATCGAAATCCTATCCCCCATCATCAACATCATCATCGTCAACAGCAAACTACTCCCCTGAATACCTCTTCAAGAAATAGTTTTGAAATCAGTTTATTAGAGGCAATTTTAAACGGTGATCAATGTCATCAGCAACAGTATACTAGTCCTATAACAAAATCATGTATAATGATTCAGGTAGATGTATGGTCCCAAGAGAATACAAGGAAAGCATTTATGGCATGTGATCAAAAGTTGGGAAATTTTTGGGGTAGGTTTTTTTTTTAAAAACAAAAAGAACAAAAGCGCTATCTCAACTGATTTGTCGTTGTTTGAGATATCTCTAGTCAACAGAACTATCTAGTGTTAATTGTTATCAATCCATGATTAAAGTTAGAACCAATGATATCACTACAAATCAACACTAGAAAATCAATCTGATAATCTGAAAATCCATGTATAATCCCCATCCAGGCATTAATGAAAACAAAACACGTAGATCAGTGAAGAGTCTCTTTTCGGTGAATTCATTTTCTTAGCTTTACAATCGCAAATATATATGTGTTATTTTGTATGTATGTGTACATTAAGTTTGTCAAACAAAAATACAATTGGTTATGGTTATTTTAACTAAACAGGTGAAGATTGGTAATTGGAGTTACGTAATATAAAATCAGTCGAGAAAATTAGGTGTTATTGAAATTAGAGTAGTAACTGCCTTGGTAACAACTTTTTTATTTTATTTTATTTATTTATTATCATTTTTTTATTTTGATGACTTTATTGTTTGTTTCTTTGCCTGTTCTTTAATTGCTTATGATTCTTGTATTCATTTAGAACTCTTACGTAATTTCGTATTATCTACTTTGTTTCTATGTGCATCCTGATTAAAACTCAATCATCAAACTATTCATATTGTTGCATAACTTCTTTTAACAACTGTTTGTGACAACTGATCACCTTTGTTACTACCCTAATTTGATTAACACCCAATTTTCTTGACCGTTTCTGTATTACGTAACTCCACCCTAAACTTACTAATTTTCACCTGTTTAGTTAAAATAACCATAACCAATTGTAATTTTGTTTGACAAATTTAGTGTACACATACATACAAAATAACCCGTATATATATATATTTGCGAAAATGAATTCGTTGCCGAAAAGAGACTCTTCGCTGAACTACGTGTTTTGTTTTCATTAATCTCAAAATCGTCTTCAATGGCTGGCGTAGATGCATTCACTCCTTGTGACTTTTAATACTCAATAAAACTATATTGTTCTTCGATAGTACTATTCTTTTTGCCTCATATCTCTGTTTACTGTCGCTATTTCGCATTTCTTTTTACTTTCTTCTTCCCCTGCTTTGTGTGCTACATAAAGGGAGCGTGGCGACTTGAACTGCTGCACATTGGTGCAAAGTTCTATGTTGAAACCAGTCAGTCAGTCAATCTCATGATCACTAGTGATTGATTATTGGATAAAGTTACCTGGAGTTTTAATTAGAGGTAAGAATTCGTTCCAGTGGCTAGAGAGAGGTCGCCAGTTTGCTTGTCTCGTAATTTTACGGTCCTGGGTTGAACTTCCGTTTGGGGTCAAATGGTGCCTACTGATGGGAAGTCTCATAATTGAATGAAATGACTGTCTACTTCTCCTGGTTTTCAATGATCCTTTAACTGATATCAATCCGTGATCACATATGCTTCCTCATTAATTTGTTTATTTGAAGTATTACACAATGAAACAGTGTTATTCACTGAATGACGCAATTGACCTCTCCTTTTATCTAGCTATTTAAACTCAAAATCATTGTATTCCATAATCAGTCACTAGTGAGTCGAAGATTAATTTTCCGGCGTTGGTTTGCAGGAATATGACTGAGTGTTCAACAAGGTTGCCTCATGACGTGAAGTTCTAGGGTTCTTGAGTGTGTACCGCCGAGGAGTCTGAAATTGGGAGGAGACAGTTGTTCAGTACTTCCTTGTATATTTAATGGTTATCTAACACATGTTAGCTCAAGACGTAACTTAAAATCATCACAGTTTGTTTTTAGTGAATATCTGGGTTTAAATAACAGTTTGATCTCTGTTAGGTGGAGAAAAGTATTGGGACTACGAAAACCAATTTTCAAAGTTTATGGAGTTATGATGTGACTATGAGCTATATATATATATATATATATATATATATATATATATATATATATATATATATATATATACAGAAATACAGAGAGAGAGAAAAAACGAAGGTGATGAAGACAACCAACCAACCAGCCAACAACAACAAGCACCAATCGCTGTCATTGAGAGAAATTTGAAAGAGGTCAATTCCTTCACTTGTCCTAGAAGGGATCCATTTAACTACAGGCAGCATGTATGAGGACGTCAAAGTCAGAATCAGAAAGGCAAGACAGGCAGACATTCATCACTCTGGAATCAGTTTGCAGATCTTCTTCACTCATCATAAAAGAACGAAGATCGAATTCCCAACATTAATGTTTAGTCAGTCACTTCTTCTATATGGATCAAAAACTTGGCGCCTACTTGACAAACGGGATACTACAGACTTTTAACAACAATTGCCTTCCTTGGCCCGATACTGAAGATCAAATGGTTGGTTAGAAAGAACTAGATACAAGAAACTGTGGAAATTAACCAATCAAGAACCTCTTACACAATAAATATGTAGAAGAAAATGGTGATGTTATTAGATAGTTGGAGGTGATCGGCAGGCAGGAAGCCTTGCTTGACCTAGGTTTCGTGCTAGTTGGCACTCATCAGTCAGCAAAGCGTATTTGCATTCACCTTGAAGGAACAACTCATGTCCCTTCTGAGATTCGAACTCGCGTCACCCAGTGAATGCTGCAGTCAGAGACGTTACCACTGAGCAGTTATTCGGGCTCGCGACTGACCTCCTGTGGACACTAATAACTAGTGTGACGTGTCTAGTCCTTTCCTTTTGGTCGAGACTGAATTCTATCAGTCAGGTTTTGCAATGTGGCCACCATTCTAGTTAGCTCACCATCACGGTGCACAATGTCTCTGACTGCAGGCGGCACTGGGTGACGCGGGTTCGAATCTCAGAAGGGATATGAGTTATTCCTTCAAGGTTGCAGATACGCCTTGCTTGACTGGTGGTGAGTGCCAACTAGCACGAAAACTAGGTCATTAAAGGCTTCCTGCCTGCCGATCGCCTCCAAGTATCTAATATCATCAAATCAATGTGCACCATGATGGCGAACTACCTAGAATGGTGGCCACATTGCAAAACCTGACTGATAGAATTCAGTCTGCACCAAAAAGAAAGGACTAGACAGGTCACACTAGTTACTAACTAGTGTCCAATCACAATGGAGATGTATTGGAAACACGTTGTGGAGACCGTTGAATGACATCGCGCGTAATGGAGCAGATCGTGGGACCAACTAAAAAGAGGATCGCAAAGAATAGAACAGAATGGAGATGTTATGTTGTAGCTTTACGTGTTCCACTCTGGTTCAAAAGGAACAATAATACATGTATAAATATATTTTGCATAGTTATACCTGGTGTGCACGTGTGTGTGTGTGTCTACTGAGTGCAGTATTTCACAAATCTCAGAAATGAATAAACTTTCCTCAATAATAAAAGCCCTTTATAAGCTTTGTTCTTGCTGTACTGATTTAGCTAGCTTTATGTTATATTTTCACACCATTAGGAATTTATATTTGATATGATTTTTTTTCATAAGGGAAAATCATCTTGTAGTAGTAATAATAATAGTAATCTACTTTCTTCCAAAAACAGTACTTATAATACAGAATGGAATTCTCAGCATTTGTCACAATATTGCAACTGATTTACTTAAAATATAAATAAAATTAAAAATTAAAACAAAATTAACCGGAGAAATTTGTCCACATTTACGACATAAAGTCAAAAATATTCAAAAGAATAGACACGGAACAAAGAGTACTCTTTTCGATAAATTCATCATCAGGTTCTAAAATTATATATACATTATAATGAATGAATGAATTAGTCTTATGAACGACATTAATGCTGTTTAAATAACATCAAATCAATAATATTGATAGATTACAGCTCAGTAGCATCAACATAAAATAAGCTGAGTGTCAGAAAAATTAGGAAAGATAATATTACAAATTCATGAATTTATAGTCTCTACTGAAGGCCAGGGTATAAGTAGGGGCTGGACTTGTTTCTTTTAAACACAGAGTACTGGTTGTTTGAGGCGAATTGCAATAGCCTCTGCTGTTTGGAGCATGCGGTGCTTCGATGATTTTGGTAGTTTGTTAGGCACCCGGTATATTATGGAGAAGGATTCGTCTACGCTGTCTTTGTGACCGGTTTGCACCAGATGGTCTAATATCGAGCTGTTAATAGTTTTAATTATACCTTTACTTAGCCATAGTGGGATATGTTCTCGAGCACGAAAAATTAAGTTCCTAGAGCAACGGCCAACATAACTCGCTCCACAAGCGCAGTTGAATTGATAAATACAAAAAATATTCGAAGCACGAGTTGAGATTATTAGATATAACAATAATAATAATAACAATAATAATAATAACAGTGAGTTTGTTTCAAACGGTATTGTCGATTCAGTTTGGAAATTTCAGCATATTATGGGGTACTGAATCTAATGTTCTGTTGATATAGTATAGTGAGGGGAAATACAAAATTTACAGTTATAACACAGCTTAAATGGTGTTCACACTTATGAAAAAAAATAAAAACAAAAAAATTGAAAGGATTATAAATATAAGAAATATAATAACAATAAAGGTTGATGCTCTAAGGGTGGAGGAAATGGTTTATTTAGTGGTGCTAAGATGGTTAGTTAGTTCATGTCTGACACTATTTTCATCACATAAAGTACCTGCTAAATATGGTATAGTAGAATTTTTATACTTAGATGTACGTGCATAAATTCTCCTGAAAAGACTTCTTGTTTTACCTGAGGGGGAGACACAAGGTTGGAGCTGTGGGTGCTGTGGTGGGTGCTCACAGTCTGACAAAATTCCTTTAGCAAATTTGTTGCATGACATCAAGTGCCTATCAGTGACAATGCCAACGATATGGCCCAATAGGATACCACTCATCATACTGACCGACAGTCTTCAGAGTTCTATGAAGTATGACATAGTCTTTTTTTAAGCAATCCAGGAAAGAATAAGGGTGAACAGTAAAGAAGAATAGATAAGATTCACGAGTTGACAAACTGTAAGAGGAGGGGTTGAGTAATCCGTGAGTGCCCTAATTTCTTAATGTAAAAAGTCAGAGGAAATATTCTTTTAGAAATCGCTAAGACATGGGAGGACCAGGATAGGTCAGAAGAGAGAATTTAATCCAAGATACTTAACTTCAGACTTGGTTTCTATATCATTATCATCTTTTTTTGTGTGTGTACACTTTTCTCTGAATTTATTTCTTCTACAGGATTATGTTACACTGACTTTGAAAACAATTCTGATGACAACAGTACTTATGCATCGCTTATTCCTCCTGGTAAAGATTATAAACTTGTCAGCAGTTGTCGTATTCCCTTATCTGGGCTATTATTTTCAACACACGGTCTAATTTCATCACAATGGTATCCATTATGTTCATTTACAATAAGCGATCATAGTTCATCACCCTCAATGTCATCATCATTGTGGGAAAGTAGATTCAGTGGAGCTGTTCAACTGAGCATGAAATTAATTGATCCAAATATGATTAAGATAGTTCCATGTTATAATACTACTATAACATCAAATTCAATTAACAATAATAATATTATACACAATTCTTCTGTAATTCATTGTCTGAGAGATTGGAATATATCATTTAGTATTGAAAAGCTGGAGAATGGTCAAACTTCTGTGGTGGCGTTTAAAAATGAATCCGATTACTGGAGAGATGGTGTGGGTAAGTGAATACTTCCGTTTATGTATTTATTTAGTACCGTACTCTGTTAACTTGGCTGATTTATTGGTTTTTACTAGATTGATGATGACATTGACAGGTAAAGATAACACAAGCTCGTCTTATTTCGTCGATTCTCTTCAACTGCATATATCCCAAACAAAATCAATTAATATTATAACAACAGAAGACAATGGCCAGGCAACAGATCGTTTATTAATAAAAATCAACACATATATATATAGATTTTAATGTACATTATTGTAGATTATTGTTAGTAGAAAACACAGTCTTTTGATTGGTTGTTTCCCACAGAAAGTTAACCTTGCATCTCTTTGTGGCTGTGTCAGATCATCCATATGCTAACTGTGTCCGCCTACGCAAAGCCTTTGTTCTCATTTTCTCACCACCAATATTGGGGAAATAAACATTGACGTCAATTACTGTCTACCAACTTTGGCTAGCAGCCAGCTCTCACCACACTATCATTATTGTTCCCTTGGGTTCTAAGTGGAACATATCTGCGCTTTCTTCAATTTTCGGCCATCGTCTTCAGCTGGGTCCGCGATAACTGCCCATAATTTCTCATCTCCTCCTCCAACTTACACAATCTCCTACATGTCACCCTCACACTGACGACCCACTCGTTGCCTCCCATTTGGATTCCACTCGAGCGCTGGCCTGTATTGCGCGCGATGTCATACTACGGTTTCCTTCATGTATGCCCGATCCATCTCCATTTTCTCCTACATATTTGTTGAGCAATCAGCTCTTGCTTTGTTGGTTTGTTCATTGCCAGAGTTTCTTGTTACTAATTCTTTATGGCCAGCCATTAGATCCTCAGTATAGAGCCAGCGAAGGCAGCTGCTGATAAAAGTCTGCGTTAACCTGTTGGAAATCCTTTTCGTGACACGCCTAACCTGTCTTTAGCCTAAATCTGACCCTAATCTTTCCCTAAACTAGCTAAAACACCAATCAGATATCCTGTTTAATATCAGAGCAATTCTGTCAACAAAAGTTCTTTCATGAATTTAGTGTGATTCACCACGTAGTTTCACTGCCCTCGCTATGATTGGGCGCTCCAGGACCATTGTTGTGCTCGCCTCTTTTGCGAATCAAAAGTTTAACTCCACCCCATTCAGTAGTTATAATACCTGCAGTCCGTGAACATTAGTCTTCACCACCTCAAAGAACTCCAGTAGATTATCTACAAATAGGCCAATAATTGTAAAATCTATCTGTCCTTGTGTTCTTGTTCATCATTTAATGTCAGTTATCATTTGTAAATTCAAAAGAAATGTATGCATTTGCCATTGGTACTTGTTTTAATATATACAGTTAATATTGTGTATATTCTCTGCCTGTTATTTCCTATCTTTTATAGATGAATATGGTTGTCAGTATAAACACTTTACAATGTATCTTAATTTTGCACATATACCAACAATTAAGCAATTAATCAAGGAGACATCAGAATTGGATGGTGGTGATAGTACATTGCTTAGAAGCTATCCTATGGAGAACAATTTCAAAGCCTATGTGTTTCTACGCTTTCAATTTCCAAATTATGGTACACAAATGTCTCAACTGGTCTATTTACCGAATTCTACTGATCAATTTGATGATTTGAAGTCTACTACTACTATCATTGAGGTAAACATCTAAGTAGTTGTATGTATGATAAACAATTGTTTTTCATTCGTTCGATTTAGATCTTGTCACAAACATTGAAAAAGATGGACGGATGATTCTTCCTTGCTGTGGGCTCTTCATCAGCGCGCACCCTTGCCCGCTTCACTGTAATAGAATCTAGGACTTTTGTCAGTGATGGGACCAGTTCGTGGTAGCGCTATAACGTTAACTGATGAGATTTCGAATTTATAGGCGATTGGATTCCAACCCAGTCTGGTTAAGTGGTCGAAGGACTCGCCTCGTGAACTAAAGATCCTTGGTTCGATCCCTAGTGGGGTGGTAGTTAGGTTATAGGTGCGCGTACTACTGGAGTCATAAAGTGTTTAGCAATGTAATCAAGCTAATGTTTTTGTAGAGAAGTGCAAATATTATATGTTTGAGACTAATATAATAACCAAATGACTTCCTAAACAACTTTTCACCAATCATTGTTTTTTTAACCTTGTTATAATTTACAACTTCCATCCAATCAAACAAAATCTTTACAAAACCAATGCTTGAAAATTAATCTGATGCTCACTAGCGACTGCCCTATTCACGCAGTGACCTGAGGTTCTAGTGGGAAGTCGTGACCAGTAGGGTACAGTAAGTTGAAGACGAGGCAGTAACTCATCGAAGAAGAAGACATTGCGAAATGGCCGCGCTATTTCGTGAATAAGCAGAAGTTAGAATTCATGGGTCCCAGAGGCTCAATGGTCTACGAGCTCGCCTTGTAACCAGAAGGTCCTAGGTTCGAAAGCTGTTGGTGGGTGCGCGTACTGATGAAGAGCCTCAGGCTAGGACGAAAGAGCTGTCCAGTACTCCCAGGTTTTCCAATGGTTATTATTATTAGCGTTATTGTTAGCAGAGAAGCAACTTTTTCTGATTGGTTGTTTTCCTGCTGAAGGTTATTCTGTTATCTCGTTGTGGCCGTCTCTTTGACAGTACGGTGATATATCTGCGAATCGTATCCGCCCACGCTAAATCTGATGTGATTGGTTGTTGATTTTCTTGAGGTTAAGCTTTGTATTGTATTGTATTGTATTTTTCTCATAACTCCGATTGGGGAAGTGAACATTGACGTCAATTGTTGTCTACAATTTTGTCTTGCAGATAGCTCTCATCACAATAGGTCCAACCGTACAGGGATTTAGAGCTTACTTCAGCATGCTAACAGTTCAAACTTGTATTAAATAACATGATAGATATTACACATAGCATACTATATGAACATCAATATTTCTACTAAACACATAGCTACTTTTACTCATTTTTAAGTTAATTCGTATCTCCCGTTGTTTGCTTATGTCAGACCGAAATGCTCAATCTTCGTTGGTATGTTGGCTGCTAGTATATTATAGGCGCTTTGACTAGACCTTAAGATCAACGTAAAGTTATTTTTATTTGATGCTAACTAGCAGTAAAATCTAGGATGTGTATTTCGTCGTACCTTGGACTCATCAGCTCGTCGTTGTGAAATCTGTACTAGAAGCAGAAATGTCTACAGGGACCTAGCGTTTCTGTTTATCATTATCAATTGACGGGAATTTCAGATTAACCACTAGGGAATGCAGGTGTATCCAGTTGAAGAGTCCCAAGTAGGACGAAATGTGCATTCTGGATTCCACTGCCAGTCACTATCAACCAAAAATAACATAACTGCTTTTATTTCAACCTATATTTTCTTTTAATCTCTTTTTAGTTTAAAGAATATAAAGAGTTTGTCATTCCAGTTAGTTCAGAATTAAGATATTTTCTGTCAGAATCTTCACTTGAACTTCAAGTATGGATTATTTGGACAGATGAAAATTTGAAGGAGACTGATGTAAAAGGAAATGATATTGGATTTGGAGTAGCAGTAGAAGGGTACTCTTCATCCACCCATCGGTAAGGCAAACAAAAAAAAGTTATTTTCCTATTTAATCTTAGTCTTAATTGGAGGTTTTATTCATTTGTGTGTTTTGTGATAACTGGACTGTTTTTCTACAAAACTTTAAATATCATTTATTCTAGTCATCATCCCCCTTGACTGACTGACGGACTGGTTTCAACATCGAACGTTGCACCGATGTGCAGCAGTTCGAGTCAGCACACAAAGCCAGAGAAAAAGAAGAAAGTAAAAATAAACGCAAAATAGAGACAATAGAGATATGATGCAAAAAGAATAGTAATATCAAAGAACAATATAGTTTTATTGGAAATTATAAGTCACAAGGAGTGGATGCATCTACACCAGCTGTTGAGAACGATTTTGAGCCATATCACTAATTGTCTCCAGCCTTCATTGGTGTTTACCGTCCCGAGGACACCAACCAGACATCAGTCTACACCTTCCTACGTGACTGGCTTAAACTAAATGTTTTGGATTTCATTGACTAGTGAAACCATGTTTTGGTTTGACCACCACTTGCTCTTTTCCAACCTGACCCTATGTCAGCTAACATAGCCCTTCGGTCAAGGAAGGCGATGACTAGGCATGACACGTGTTCCAACTATCTCACCTCCTTGGATCATTGTGATATGCAAGCTTGACTGTCATGTTAAGGTAACAGCTACCAGTCGGCAGCTTTACGTATCAAAAACTTTTTGATTAAAACTACGTTTCCTGGGCGTAAATTTAACTTTATAGAGCCTTTATCTTCAGAAAGGTTATGAGATTTCAGTTTTTGTAATATTTTTCTTAGTTTGTATTTATATTCTCCATAATTTATCTCTCCACTTATTTGGAAAGTTGCATCAGCCTCAAGGAGCTGATGCATGAAGAAATCTCAGCATGGATATAGAAGGCATTTGTCAACTTACGCCATCTATGGTGAGACATGGCTATTGAAAGTGGAAGACATGACAAAGGCTAACCGTCTTTGATTGCAGGTGTCTGCATCCAATCACCCGTTTTAGATATGATGGAGAGGATTTGTAGTTCAAGTGGATGATTTTGGTGTGGTTGTGTTCTCTGAGCTGGATAGTGGTTAATTTGCGAAGCTTTCATCACCCTTCCAGGCGACATCTTCAGCGCATTCTTCAATTTGAATTGAAGTGAGCTTTTAGATTTCTCTACGAGTTTGTTAATCATCTCTCCCACTGGGTGACCTTGGACGTGATTGGTTGTTTTTGTGTGTTTTCACACCTTCTAGGCTGCTTGTATTGGAACTGATTGTTTCCTTGGCTTGAAGTTTGACCCTTTGTGTGAGATTTCCTTCGTATCGATTGGATAATTTTTCTCAATATTAACGTGTCTATCAATTGACGACTCACTAGAATACCAGGCTTCTAAAAACTCTCTGGCATTCTTGGTATTTCCTCTGTCTAATATTTGAACGTTTGTTGTCCCAGTCGAACTGATGTCTGTGGTGGTCTGTGTGCAGTGATATGAGGGTGTGGATGTCATTTATTTTGACGGTTAGCTTATGTTCATGGATACGAAGACGAAGAGGACGTCCACTTTGGCCAATGTACTGTTTTTCGCAGTTGTTGCAATTTACTTTGTAGATGGTGTTGGTTTTATCTTCTTTCGCTTTTGAGTCCTTTGGTTGACACAGAGCTGGCTGAGTGAATTGATTTCGTTGGTTTGTGTGTGACGTCAATTCCTAAAGGTTTGAAGAGTCTTGCAGTGATATCCTTTAAATATGGTAGGGTGCTACCATAGGATGATATGGAGGAGATCGTGTCAAGATGAGATGAGAGATTGTGGCCAACGTGGTCCAAGCTGAAGGGGACAGCAGAAGATAGGACAAAGTGGAGATGTGTTGTTGAAGCCGTATATGTCCACTGAGAACTCAAGGGAATAATAATAATAATAATAGGATCAGGTTGGAAAAGAGCCAGTTGTGATCAAACAAAAACATGACATCAGTCCATGAAATTCTTGACAGTTAGTTTAGATCAGCCACATCGAATGGTGTAGACTGGTTGCCTGGTTGGGGTCCTTGGGATGGTAAGAATCAATGGCTGGAGACAATCGGTGTTAATACGGAAAATCGTTCTCAATGACTGATGCGGATGCTTCCACTCTTTACGATATGCCATATCCATTAAACCCTCATTCTCTTCTATGTTGCTATTCTTTCTCTCTCACACTTCTGCTTATTGCTGTTCTTTTGAGTACCGTTGTTTTTTTATCTTTTGTCTTCCTTTGTGCGCAATATGGGGTGTGCCAACTCAAACTGCTGCGCTTGTGGGCGAATTTCTGTGTTGAAACCATCCAGTCAGTCAGTCTCCTTAACTTTCTGCTTTTTTCTTGGTCCTTTACGTTCCCAGTGGAACATAGGGTTTCAAGCTAGATGCTTGATGTTTCGGTAGCACAGTGTTGTTTGTTTTTACGAGATGGCGTTGTTAGCCTCATGTCCAACCATCCCTTTTTTACCAGTATTATTACTGGCTTAGAGAGGTATAGGAATGCGTTCAGTGGCCGGGGATTGAATCCTGGACCAATTAAGTGGTTGGCGAGCATCCTACCACTGTGCCACTGACACACAGCTTTCCGCTTTAGCGCTACCATTAATACGTTCAACAACATGAATTGGAACGCTAATTCAGAAGATTTTTGTCTGTCTGATTTTCTCCTCATGTCTATTAATTATTATTATTGTTTCTTTTAATTCCTAGAGGAACATAGGGCTTTAGCCGTGAGTCTCCATTGCGTTCGGTTCTCTGCTAGAGTCTTCACCTGGCTCCAAGTCTGCCCACACGTTTTCATCTCCTCTTCACATGACCTCCTCCAAGTCACCCTCGCACCAACGACCAACTCGCCGCTTCCCTTTCGGGTTCCACTCGAGCAATGGCTTGTCTAGTGATGTTACTTGATGGTTTCCTCAGAGTGTGGCCGATCCATCTCCATTTCTTCCTTCTTATTTGTTTCACAATCGGTTCCTGGTTGGTTTGCTCCCAGAGATCTTTGTTGCTGATCTTTTCTGGCCGGCCATCTGATCTTGAGTATTGAGCGAAGACAACTGTTAATGAAGGTTTGTAGTTTGTTTGAGATGCTCTTTATGACGCGCAGTGCAAGTCTCTGATCCGTATAGTAGCACTGACTTCATATTGGAGTTGAAAATCCGGATCTTATTTTTGATGCTGAGCTGCTACAGAAACTTCAGCACGATGTCTAATAATATTCTCGTTTTATGTTTATTTAGTTTGTCTAACTTGGCGTAATTTTTTCCGTTGTTTTTTTTCTAATTCAAGAGTCCCTGCACCACGTCATCTGGGGACTGCAATTATCCCATTGTATCATTTACTCTATCCTAAACCAAAAATGCTGATGGATAGTATTCATGCACAGTCGACCACTGGTGACGGTGGTGGTGGTACAACTTCACTAGATGGTGATTCTTCAGGAATATGTTGGTGGAATAAGCAATCCAAATATTATAACAACATTGATGATATAATGAATTGCAGCGGTTTACCAGTATATCCATTATACCGTTCAAATTCTTACCTTAAAAATAATAATAATGACAGTTGGATCTCTGTACAAATTGAAATGACAGGATCACGAACTGAAAATTGTTTAATGGTGAGTGATTTTTCCTTAAGAAAATACTTAACACCAATGATACTTGGCTTTGATACATGATATTACTGTGTTTGCCTCTAATCAGTCCTGTTACCCATTTACCGTGTCCTGTTCTGGAGAGTGTTCCAAGCATTTTGTGGGGGATTGGAAACTTAACTGCAGTTAGCTTAGGTATAAAAGTATCGTGTGCTGGTGGAAGCTTCCTCCCCCCATTGATGCTTTCACCGGGCCTTGATTATTCGCTAGGGTACTAATAAACTATACCATGGGCAGTTTCGCATGAGCATGCAAAGCAGCTAACAGGCCAGGGTATTTAGCTTTTGATTGAGAATGAGGTGTACGATATATGTCTGGAAGATGTCGTCAGTGAATCCCGATATGTGTATATCACTGGTAAAATCGGTCTTTGTATCCAACAATATTACAGTCTTCGGATCGATGGTGTTTCTACAGTTAAGATTTGTTAAGTACCGCAGTCCCAACAGGATGGTGGAGGTTTGTTCTTTGAGCATCGGTTTGTATGGTGTGAGTAACTGTGCCGATGGGCGGTTGACATGGAATCAGGGGAAGACTGGATAAAAGGTAGGTGATTTCTGGCGGATGGTTGCATGTTGTACTTCATGACCAACCACCTTGCCATCCGTATTGCACACTGGACTCGTATCAAGCTGGAGGTTTGTTGTTTTATGTCATTTGGTGTTATTGTCGAATCTTGTATTCCAAGCGGTTCAGGGAATTCATTCGATTAACATTCGTTCTCCTAGACTTATTTATTCATTTGTGTGATTTCCCGATGATGAGTCCCAAATAGGACGAAACTCTTTTATCATTTTAATTAATCTAGATGTTCTTTTCCCTTTTTCTTTGCTGTATTAATTTTGCCATTTTAGTCAAAACGTTATCACATGTGTAAAATGAATAAATTATCGATACCGGATATTAATGGACAACTTGGATGGAACTTAAAATATTCTGGAAGGCATCCTACCACAGACTTGATAACACCAAATAATCTAATCAATAAAAATTATGGATCACATCAGTATATACATACTACTGAAATGTCTGCAGAAAGTAGTCATATGAAGAGGAGAACAAGCACATTTCCTGCTGAAATTATCATTGAAAAAGCATATCATTTACGTCTGCCTCATCAGTAAGTTTATTGGTTGTTTTGTTTTTTTCATATTCGTATTCTTTATAGACCGATGGGGACAAATGGTCATCAATACGGTATTTCTTTAGTCTCAAAGGAACCTTATAAAAACGTGAATTAACCTCATCAAATGTTATAATCAAGGATGTTCCAACTTACACATTGTGTGACGTCGCTTTTCTTAGAGTAGCAACAGCCATTTATGTATTTGAGGCCTTAAGGTGTGTGATGTGACTTCATTTATCTGTTCTTTGATTGTACAAAAGTTGTCAAAAACGAAGTTGTACTGATGAATTTTGATCGTGAAATTCCAGTTCCGTAAATCAATAATTTTCTCTCGATGATGAGAAACAAAATAAAATCGCTAGTTCTTAATCTAATGTGTGTTTTGCAATTTATATATATTTCAAGTGAGATCACAAAGTGACATCAGTTAGAGAGAACCATTGCGAACCAGGTGTTTTGCCCTAATGGGGAACTCTTCAGTAGTAGCATTATACACCCATGAGTTGGGATGCAGTAGCGCATGAATTCAAACTGCTGTCGATTTTCGTAATGTATATATAGTTCAACTACCAAGTGATGTCATTGCAGTGTATTATTTGTCTTCTCCATCGAACTTGGTGCACTCGATTGATCACAACTTCTTACTAGAAATCCAGGGGACGTCATCCTGTAATCATTCAATAGTTAGAATCAAATTAGATTTAATGTCAGAATTTAGAATCAACGGGCTATTGTGTCTCTTTCCGGTGGTTGAATAGTCGTTACTTGAAGCTTCTTGATTCGACCGTCTGTGAGATGATGCATGTATACCGATGAAGAAACCTAGCACTCTTCGGTTTTCACTGGTTGTCTAACTAAAGTCGATTCGTGACCTAACTTGAAATTAACCGAAACCCTGCAAAGTAACACCTGTATACTCTTATTTTCTACTATTCTTTTGCTTTTTTTCTGGTTGGTTGGTTCTCTCCCATAGATCCCTATTGCTGATCTTTTCTGGCCATCTGATCTCGAGTAGTATTGAGCGAAGACAACTGTTGATTAAAGTCTGTAGTTTGTTCAAAGTTGCCTTCGTAACGTGGCGCGGCGCTAAGTCTCTGATCCGTATAGTGTCACTGACTTCACAATGGAGTTGAAAATCCGGACCTTATTTTTCATGTTGAGTGTTGTTGACCTCCACACAGACTTGAGAGTAGTGAAAGCTTGTCTTGCTTTTCCGATTCTTGCTTTGATATCCTCGTCAGTTCCGCCTGTAGTTGAAACGATGCTTCCCAGGTAGGCAGGTAGGTAAAAGAGGTTGTTTCTTTCAGATTTTTCCCATTTATACTGATTGTCTATTGTAGTTGCTCTTGCTGTTGGTCAGGAATCTTCATCACCTGAGTTTTCTCTATGTTCACCTGGAGTCCTATCTTTGATGCTTCTTCTGCCAACTTGTTACTTTTCACTTGCATATCTTCCAGTTTGTGGGAAATCAGACATATATCATCGGCGAAGTCCAGATTCTCCAAGTTTTTTGTGTGAGTCCATTTTGTGCCTGTTTCCTCATTGCCCGCTGTTTGTCACATTATCCAAACTACTGCAATCAGGAAAATCATTGGCGATAGTAGGCAGCCAGCTTGCCTTACTCCTGTCCTCACTTCGAAGGATTCCGTAAGTTTCCCGTTGTGGGTTACTTGGCATGCAGCATTGTCGTACAGCTGTTGGATGAGATGCATAATTGTCGGTGGCACCCCGTAGTAGCGACGTAGTTGCCAAAGCACCTCTCGATCGACGCTGTCGAAGGCCTTTTCAAAGTCGATGAAGTTCACCTTTTACGGTCAATTATCTCTTTTCAAATAGGTTCTAGTTGGTTTAAGGGGCTTTATGTCATGACACATTTGTTGATGAATTACAATCTGTAAATGTGTAATATTCTCTCCCCACCCCCCTTACAGTATATCTCAACTTACTTTCCTCCTTTTTATTTTTATTTTACAGCAATAAAGCTATTCATTCCACGGAATCAAGTGAGCAAAGTGAACCATACTTCAAATCAAGTGATTATAAACAGGATAAAAAATCCAAATACTCAGTATTTGTCACATTCCCTGTTGACGGTAGTCTTGCTTTTATGAGCATGAGCAGCAGCAATCCAGTAAATAAACATACAGCCACCGCCGCCACAACCATTACTACTCCTGGTGCTGCTGCTGGTCCCGGTACTACTGACGAAGAATCCCTTTGGAGACAAATATCCAAGTGTGCTACAAATCCTAATTCATGTCGTATTGCTGTAACACCAAAAGTGAAAAATTTAGAATATGCTCATTGGAATTACTGTAGATTTATGCGTATCCCATTGGAATTGATAAAACCTTCGTGTAGTCAAGTAAGTGATTGATTGGTGATCATGAGTTTATTGATTTGTGTGTTTATATATCAGGGTCAAACTAGAAATTACGGACCAACAGACTGCGGCAGTTGTTCTCATGCCATTATATTACAAAAGGTTTGGAAGGAAGGAAAGATACCTACCGTTTGGAATAAAGGCTGCCTTGCCACGTTGCTAAAGAGAGGAGACTTAGGCCTTTGCAAGAACTGTAGTGGAATAATGCTCTTGTCCACGCCAAGTAAAATACTAAGTCGCATCATCCTGGAGAGAATAAAGGATGCACTGGATACAGAACTCCACCAGCCAGGAACGAGCTGGACGCAGGAAAGGCAAATCATGTGCTGATCAATTTGCAACTCTACGCATCATCATCATCACAGAACAAAGCATAACATGTCAGTCAGACCTGTATCTCTTCCTCGACTTCATTGACTTCGAAGAAGCCTTCGACAGACAGCGTTGACCGGGACGTAATTTGGAAACTATTTCAGCAATACGGCATGCAGTGCCCAAATCCACAATGGAAAACTCAGCTGCCTTCACTACTGGCTTGGTACTGAAGATCAGTCAGATGGCTAATCAGTAAGCATTAAGAACAAGGGACTCTGGCAACGAATCAACCAAGAAGTCGTAGCCGAACAGACTTGACGAATAAAAAATGGAGATGGATCGTAAGCACACAGAAGAGACTGTTGAGTGTGACACTGCGGACCAATCATATCCTCGAATGGGAAACGACGAGTGTTGGGTGTTTGAAGGTAACATGGGGGGGGGGAGATGATAGCTGGTGGCAGATGGATGATCGCAGAAAAAAGGATGAAATACCAATGTACACTCCGCATGTAATGAAAGAAAATTTAATTATTGTTGAAATATGTATAGCGTTTTTATCTATCAAATTTGAATAGAATTCAAGTAGCGTGTCTCGCCTCTATTCAAAGCTCTTCAGGCTTAGATACTAGCCTATGTCTATGTCATTGTTTCCAGTGTGATTCGAACTCAGGTGCTCTTTTTCCAAGCAGTAATATATCTTATAGAATAACCGCAAACAGCCTCAAGGATTATAGAATATAATGTAACGGAGTAATGCTTTGAATTGCTACACTTCAAATGAACCAATTGAGAAATATGAGCATAACCATAAAACCCACTCCGTACACTTCAGAACCCATCGTTTCCTTCCTCCATCGTTTTACGTTACTTAAAGCCTTCTCAACTTGTAAAGCAGTTAAAGATCTTATTATTATTTTGCCCAAATGAATTTCTTTATGTTACAGATTATATGCCTATTTCTCATACAAACTGCAACTGGAATAGTTGACGAATGAGGCATTACTCAAAGCTAAGTGATGAAAGTGCTCCTCATCACTTCGCTAACACTCTGCATTACAGGAACACTGACTCATTCATCTTCTTCGACGACTGCATTTTCAATAAATCTCTCCCCCCTCCACCCCACCCTTTTTTGTTTTATCTTTTCTCATACAGGGTTTAGTATTTCATGTTTGGACTGTAAATGATGAATCCACCAACAACGATACTGATCATATCCCCAGGTTGATTGGTATAGCTACAGTTGATTTAACTACTCTATCCCATTTGTTTACAAATCCAATTCGAGTGAATTCCACGCCAAATTCATATAATGAATTTAATCAAATCTATGGTTGGTATCATATTTTCGATCAGAATACTGGATGTCCATCAGGCCAAATTTTGATCGGTGTCAAACCGTTGATCAATAATACTGGTGAAACTGATTTCAGTAGTATATCATTAGATAATTATAATAATTATCAGGTAAGTAATAGTCTATTACTACTTATTGTGTAACGACAGAAGACAAGGGCTAGGCAACAGATCGTTTATTAAGAAAATTAAAAGATATCTATAGATTTTTATGTACATTATTATTAGCGTTATTGTTAGCAGAGGAGTAACATCTTCTGATTGGTTGTTTTCTTGATGAAGGTTATTTTGTACTGCTTGTGACCGTTTCTTAGAAAGTTAAGCCATATATCCGCGAATCATATTTGCACACATTAAGTCTGCTGTGGTTGGCTGATGAGTTCCTCAAGGTTAGACCTTGTTATTTTTTTTCTCATGACCCCGATTCGGGATGTAAACATTGACGTAAATTGTTGTCTACAATCTTGGCTAGCAGACAGCTCTCACCCAAGTTGTGTTTTGTTTTCTATAGTTTGATTTGTAATGGATAGTTATGTTTTTACGAGTTGATCACGGATTGATATCAGTTAGAGAACCATTGAAAACCAGGGAGTACTAGACAGCTGTTTCAATGGTTCTCTAGCTGACATCAATCCGTGATCAACTCGTAAAAACATAACTAACCCTTACAAACCAAACTATAGAAAATTAATCTGATGCTCGCTAGTGACTCGCTACAGGAAGGAGTTCCCTGGAGTTCTAGTGAGAAGTCATGACCAGTGAGGTCCAATTAGATGTCACGTGTGAGAATGGATGTCCCACCAACGACATTGGTTGGGGTCGCGCTAAATCACGAATTGGTAGAAGTTAGAATTTATGGAGTGGCCATTGAATCGGGTCCCAATGGCTGAATAGTATACGAGCTTGCCTTATATTTTGTTCTTTAATTTTTCAAAAAATATAATGCTGATCAGTTGGCCACTGGGTGATTTTCTGTGACCATATTTATGTGTATCAACAGTTTGCTTAAGTAGCTAGCCACAATTCCAAGTAGTTTAAACCAATTCAACTCTATCGGGCTGTGTCAATGTGACTACAATGCGGATTAGCTCGAGCTGAAATGAGTGCGTAACAGTAGAAGATAAGAGAAGTGGCAACAGACCTATTTACTACGGAAAAACTCATTATATTTATGTATTTTTAACCATATTAATAGTCTGCTAGGTCAGTGGACAATCGACTGCCCTGATTGGTTAGTAATTGACGCAGTTCTAAGCAATGACCTTGGGTCAATCGCCAACCAATCAGAACAATTTATTGTTCGTTGATCTAGCCGAATTTTAATTTCGCTAAAAAATATATATGATGTTTTTCCTTAGTTAAGATCCGTCACCAATTCTCTTACACCCTGCAGTTACTGTATAAACCTGTGCTTTAGTTGCCTTCAGTGTGTTAAGGGTTGTTACACCTGAATTAGTTTGCCATACCAGTTATAGTTTTTTTGTATTTTGATTGGACGCGTTATGCGTCTAGTCTTTCCCTTTTGGTACGGCCTGAATTTTGTCAGTATTACCCACCACACTTTGCCGAACAAAGTGACTGACTATTGATGACATGTTACTAAGTCACTCAAAAGACGTAAGTTTATAAGCGAACTAGTATTTGGATACATTTATTCGAATGTATTTGAACAGCCTTTCAATATATATCTAGGTTAATTTCAGTCTCATATTGAAGCTATGCTAAAAACCTGTGATCTACAAATTCCTTTTTCATTCAATGCATTAACCTCATTGATATTTATGTATTGGTTTGTAGGGATTGGGTTGATTGGTTACAGGGTTTCATTATGAGCTGACATTGATTAGAGAGCCATTGGAAAACCACCTTGGAGTACTGGATAGCTGTTTCGTCCTAGTTTGGGCCTCTTCATCAGTACGCAACCACCACCAGGGTTGAAACCTAGGACCTACTGGTTGCAAGGCGAGCTAGCTCGAAGACCATTAAGCCACTGGGACCCGACTGAATGGCCAGCCCATGAATTCTAGCTTCTGCCATTGGGTCATTGGATCGGGTCCCAGTGGCTTAGTGGTATACGAGCTCGCCCTGTAACCAGAAGGTCCTGGGTTCGAACCCTAATGGGGTTGGTGCGTACAGATGAAGAGTCCCAAACTAGGACGAAACAGCTGTCCAGTACTCCCAGGTGGTTTTCCAATGGCTCTCTAATCAATGTCAGCTCATGATGAAATCCTATTAACCTCATTCATTGTCGAAGACAGGTATTTTTCCTTATTCCACACTTTCTTGGTTCTTGAACATGACTTCAGTTCAGTTACCAGTCTACAATAGGTTATACGTTTAAGGTATTTATGTGGGTGTGCATTTATTTCGGTGACTTTAAAAAAGGAATCATACCAGCAACTAATCTCACAGCTATCAGAGATATCCATTCGATGTTACGTAGAATATATAACCAATCAGAATCCAATATCATATCATTTTTTGTCATTCCTATGTGTTTCCAGTGGAACATTGTGTTTCAAACGTGAGCTTTAAAGTTTCAGTAACAGTGGTAACTCTTTTATGGTGTGGAGTTGCTGGTCGCATGCCTAACCTATCCCTCTTTGTCTCAGGCCCACAACTGACCAAGGGAGGTGAAAGTGTCTACCGACTGGGAATCGAACCCGGGACCACGTGTGTGGTTGGCGGGGATTCTACTACTGAATCATCAGTTATATGTAGCCATTTGATTGGTGGTTGATTTAGTTGCGTGACTACTGACTGACTGGCCTTTATAGTAGTTCAATTTTTACTTCCGTCTCTCTTCTTTTCTTTCAGACTAAACCTTTTGAAAATTATTCTGTATTTCAAGAAGCTTTTCCTACAATGCCAATGTTGTATTCTGATTGTATTCGAGCATCAACTCACGCGCTTCCTGATTGTCATCTAGCCAATTCTGACAAGGTGGCTACAAACAAAGAAGAACCTTGTCAATCTGAATTGAATCGTTCTGTACTATTTGAAAATTTGAGGTTTGTTATAATGTTGACGGTGTTATTTTGTTTAAACAAAGTAAAAAAAAACGCCTTTTGATAGTTTTGTTTTACATTTTATAAATGTGATTACATTCATATACCTGATCTGGATAATATTTTATGCTCATTGCAGAACTCCCTCTCTCTGTCGCTGTTATTCCTTTGTGTTCCAAGCTGAACATGCGGGTTTGAACTTTAAGCTTCAAAGTTTCACTGGTAATGGTGTTAACTTCTTATGCGATAGCGGTCGCTGGCCTTACCCCAACCCACCTTCCTCACCATACTTACTATCGTCTGGTAAGCTACAAGACTGACTGGTTTCAACATAGAAATTTGCACCGATGTGCAACAGTTCGAGTCACCACACTCCATGTAACACACAAAACAAGAGAAGAAAGTAAAAAGAAACGCAAAATAGAGACAGTAAACAGAGAGATATAAGGCAAAAAGAATAGTTATATTGAAGAACCATATAGTTTCATTGGATATTTTAAGTCACAAGGAGTGGATGCATCTGCACCAGCCAGCTATTGAGAACGATTTTGAGCCATATCACCCATTATCTCCAGCCATTGGTTTTTAACGTCCCGAGGACCCTAACCAGGAATTCTACATCTTCCTACGTGACTGGCTTGAACTAACTGTTGTGGATTCCATTGACTGATGAGGCCATGTTTTGGTTTGACTACCAGTGTGTCTTTTCCAACCAGACCCTACGTCAGCTAACATTGCTCGTCGAGGAAGGCAATGGTTAGGCATATGTAACACATACGTAAGCTACAAGAGGAGGTGTAGCAGTGAGTCAACCGGGAATCGAACTCGGGCCACGTGCGTAGTTGTCGACAATCCAGCCACTAATGAAAAATGATAAGTTGTAGGAACATTTTTGAAATTCAATCAGAATACAATGATAAAAATTCAAGAGGTGTAGTGAATCACACTTATTTACTCTTATGTTTGGTGGTTGTTGGGGGGGGGGTGTATCTTCAGGGTACACGCAGCCTAGACTTCCTGATTGTTGTTATTTGTCAGTAAGGAGAATATTTGCACCCTGAAAGGAACTAATGTCCTTTCGGAGAGATTCCTACTTACGTCACCTAGTGCTTTCGTCTTTAGTGACATTACCACTGAACCATTGTGTCTCACGCACTACGATGGTGATTACATCATCTTTGGCACAAAAGTGTGTAATATATCTGGCTATCCATTAAAAGACGTGTGAACCTTGTAGTGGCTGGCACAATCATTCCTTATGGCTGTGAGATATTAGTCGATGTACAAAGTGAATCACATTTTTGAAGACTAGCTCTTTGTTAACTATAGGTAACTTCGTTCAATCTGTCTTACGAATCGCAGTTATATCGGTGAACTAATGAATTTAGGAGTGAAGATCAAGTAAACTGCTCCGATTGTGACGCCTTGTGGACTGAGATAACAATCATTGTCTCTTGTAGCATCAAGTTAATTTAGTTGTAGCCCTATGCTTTTTGTACTTCTCCCCTCTGTCCTCGTGTGTGCCTTTATGATGTGTTACAACTTGAACCTACTGCACACTTTATTGCAAGTTCTACAATAGGAAAGTCCAGTTTCAGTTCCGATGACTAGGACACATGTGTTACACGCACACCGAGCCACTGTCTCCTCATCAACGACCAATAGTTAGCTAACATAGAATTCAGTTGGAAAAGAGTTAGAGGTGTTGTCAAATCAAAATCTGGAATCAATCCATGAAGTCTTTGACGGTGAGTTTGAGCCATATTTAGTGATGGTGGTGGGGGGGGGGTGTAAAAATAACCATTTGGGTAATCCCCAGGATGATAAGAACCAGTGGTTTGAGACTGTTGGTGGTATAGCTCTAGACTATTCTCACTGGTGCAAGCGTATTCAGTTTTTGTGATTTCTCAGATCCAAAACACTTAAAATACTTTCTCCCATAAATTTCTACTCACCATAGTTCTGTTGGTATTCGATTTTTTCTTTATTCCTCTCAGTTCCGAGTGGAACATAGGACTTCAAGCTTTAGGCTTTGAATTTTCGGTAGCAGTGGTGTCTAGTTTTACGGGATGGAGTTGCTAGCCTCATGCCCAACCTTCGCTCTTTACCAGTTTTATTACTGGCTTAGTGAGGTAAAGGAGTACATCTAGTGGCGGGGGATCGAACCCCGGACCACCTACGTGGTTGGCGAGCATTCTACCTCTGTGTCACCGACGCACCGTTGGAATTAGATGATTGGAGGCAATCGTCAGGAAGCCTTGGGCCACCTAGGTTTCGTGCTAGTTGGCACTCACCACCAGTCAGCAGGGCGTGTCTGCAACAAGCTTGAAGAAACTCATATTCCTTCTGAGATTTGAACCCACGTCACCCAATGAGTGCTGGAATCAGAGACGTTACCACTGAGCAGCTATTCGGACTCGCAATCGACTTCATGTAGGACTGTATTGGATATTTTTGATTGGACATTAGTCGGTAACTAGTGTAATGTGTGACTGTCCAGTGTCCAATTTATTCTCTCATTCTCTTCTCAACTATTTTATTCTATATGGATTGTGGCAACTTGAACTACTTCACAGCTGTGCAAAGTTCGCTGTTGAAATTCAATCATTCAGCTAGTTCAGACGATGTTAACTAGAATGTTATGAAGCACTGTGTGACCCAATCAATAACAGCTTTGACAACACTTTTAGGCATTAAAATACTGTTCAATATAGTTGTGTTTTTTTTAATGTTTCTTTTTTCTCTAGGACTCGATTAAATGAATTAGATGAAATGAATAATCGATTTAAAAATCGATTAACAACTTTAACAAATTCAAATGAAAAATTTTTTAGTATAAGTCATGAAAATCTACAAAATAAGGTGGCGGCGGTTGGGGTGTCATTTCAAGGTCAAAATGAAGTCACTAACGAATCACAACCAGTAGTAGTGTCATCAAGACAAGAAGAAGAAAGTAGTAGAAGTCATCAAATCGCATCTATGAATCATCAATGTTCAGCTCCTTATTCAATAATCAATAAAGAAGGTGAAAAGGTGGAATTACAACCTCGTTTATCAATTTGTAATTATCAGTTATCTGGTCAATCTAATATGCAGTTTGGTAGTGGGAATTTGGAGGAGAGTGAAAACATTACGCAAGCAAGTAGGTTTATCCTGTGATACATTTACGTATTTTATTATACTGTACTTTTTGCTTTATAATATTCTCGATACTGAAGACCGGGTGGCAGTACTACAGGGAACCACCAAAGGAGCTATTGAAACATTTATTTCCCGATACGAATTTAAAACAACCAATCAAGGGTTAATAGAGCAGGATTTAATGAATTCATCAGATTTCGGTAGAACTCATCAGCTGAATACTCTACATACACGGATATATATACTTTTGAAATTACATTGGGAGATATAGGACTGATAAGTAAATAAACTACATTGAATTAGTCATGCAGAAACACAAGTGCAAATGTTTTTCCAGGTCATGTTCAATTAGATAAGGGGAGAGAGAGTATAGGAGATTAAAATTAAGATAAATTGCATTACGCTTCAATTACATCACTTAGATAAACAATTAGACATTAGAGAATTTAACAAGAATTGCAACCAGAGGGATGTCAATAGTAATAGTTATAATAACAATAATAATAATAGTGTTGAAGTGAGTTAAGATAATGCTACTGATAAAGGATAGTTTTAAATGAATCAAGAATAATAATAATAAAAATAATAACAATAGGTAGAATAATAAGTAAAACGTATTACCATGGTAGATTCAGAGTCACGACCATCTCCTTTTGTACACAGACACCTGGTTTGTAAACTCGAATTGCACAAGCCTCTGCAATTGCAAGCATATTCTTGTTTCTTTGTCAGCTGACAATAGTGAATAACTTGACAGCGTCGATATCATGTCCATAGTTCACAAGGTGTTTTGTTATTGAGGTTTTCAGCACTTTGCATTCAGCTGTTTTCAACAATTTTGTCAAATGCTCCATCATGCGGCTAGACAATCACCTTTCTGTACGACTTATTTATTTGCTTCCACAAACAAACTCAAATTGATACACGCAGTTTGAAGTGTCGAGGATTGGCATGACTAATTCAATGTAGTTTGTTTACTTATCAGTCTCCCAATGTAATTTCAAAAGTATATATATCCGTGTATGTAGAGTATTCAGCTGATGAGTTCAACCGAAATTTGATGAATTCATTAAATCGTGCTTTATTAACCTTTTTTGCTTGTTTTAAAGGAACTTATTGCCTAACAAATATACGGAAGGAAATGCTTATGGATTAGTGGACATACGCTGAGGGAAACTGTTGAGTAATATCACGCACCAAGCCCCCCGAGTATTGGTGGAACCCGAATGAGAAAAGAAAAGTTGGGCCTAGGTTCAATGGTGATATGGAGGCGGAGGAGATCGTGTGAGGGGCAAATAAAACCCTATGGAGGCAGTCGTGAAGCCAAGCAGAGAGAGCACAGTGAAGTGGCTATATACTGCTGCAGCATTGAATGCTTTTCTTGATTTTTCGACACGGTGCTGACTGATTTTGACATCTCACTCGACAAATCAGGAGGCCGATTATTGTAATTCTATTCCCTCTTAAATTCTTATTTCACCAGTATTCAATATCAATATATCAATCTGTCAGTCTAAAGTTATCTCAGATAGTCTAAGTGTAGATTTCTCTTGAGATATCCGAGATACTGGCTCACAGTCAAACTTTCTTCTAAACCAAAGCAAGCTTTTGAGTTTCGCATGGCAAAGTTAAACTTCAAGTACAAGTAAAGTACCAACAAAAAAATGCTCTTGGATGCATCAATCACATGAAAAAGGATATTTTTACGTATAAAATTCATGCATTTATGAATATAATGTTATACAAGATACCTTTCTCTGACATATGACAAAAGTGACTCCCACTTTTCTTTATAAGGAATATCAATAGAGAAGTTAAACCACACTCTATACACGTATTTATCTAAGTGGCTGTAAATAACATCCCCTCGAGATCCATTATTGGCTCTAATCCTGTTCTTTAACCTGCCACGAAATCCTTCGATGGAGTTAGTATGTATCCCTGTAATAGGATCCACAGGCATGATCATCAATGTCATTTCATGATGAAATTCTAAAAGCTTTAAGAAGTCAGAAAATATTCTCAGATCAAGTTAAAAGGATATATTGAAGACCAAAATAAAAATGACGGTCAATAAACCAAATAACAGAGGTAATAGAGTGGTGTTGTGATACAGACAATGTGTTCTCAAGGGATATTATTCTCACGTATTCCCACAGTTCAATATTGCATACAATATATCTGTTTGAACATTCGATTTGATGTTAGAGTCAGAATACATTTCTCACGGTTACATACTGCATTAACAAAAGAATTATTATTTTTCAGGGCAAAACAGAGGAGATTAACTGAGGAGGAAATCAGAGCTTAGGGGTAAATTATAACGGACTGCAGATATATGTTGCTGAAATTCTATATTCCACCCAGAATTCAAGGTGTGGTGGTGTGATAGGGACAATGTTTTCCGACAGAATATTATTCTCACATATTCCCACCACGCATTACTGCATTAGCAACAGAATAATATATGTATATATGAACATTCTATTTCATGTCGTTTAATGTAAGCCAAAATCACACGCTCAGCGATTGGTTAAACATTATAAACTGTATAGATATAAATAGCTGTTTAAACACTTGAAAATATACCTTGGCTTCCGTGCTTGCCTTCTGCTGTTACATTTGGTGTCGCTGCCTACCGACACATGAACAGCCTATGTCGTGCGGTTTTTCAGGAAGGAGACATATGGATCTTCTCGCAGGAATTCGAGGCTGTTGCACAGTTGAGTGATGTTCAAGATCCGTCAGAGAAGAGGCTGTTACTTGAAACTCTGCTTACAGGTCGTGCAAAGGCAGCATATGATAGTGTGAGGCGAAACACCGGCGAATACACGTCAGGGACATGCAAACTGCTTCCAAAGTGGGAAGGACCACACAGGGTCACTGAGAGACGGGGTCACGTATATACCATCAGAGGTGCAAACAAAGAGAAGTGATTGGACGTCAGAGAGCTCCAGAAATGGATACAGCAAGACAAGCAAACAAAGTCGCCAGTGCCAAGAAGATTGAACCACCTTCAGTCAAAAGTATAGCAACAAAATGCTATGTGTATTTGAACAGTCTATTTCATGTCGTTTGATGTAAACCCGAAATCACACGTTCAGTGATTGGTTAAAGAATATAATGTGTAGATATAAAAACGGCGGTTTGATTAATGAAAAATATACCTTAGCTCCCATGTCTTGCCTTCTTTTGTTTCAATAGTACATCTGCTCTTGCTGGTGTCAAAACAAATTTTACCAAGGAAGGTTTAGGTATGATGACAAATTGTTTTTGAAGTCATAAAGGTGGTTTCTGAACTTCCTAATTACTAGAACTTCCACAAACTTTCAGATACGCTCGCAAACACGGTTTATAGATAGCTTTAAAAGACGTGTAAACATCAGCTTTATATCCTGTCTCTATAATATTTTTCGTTAAAGAGAGGCGTTAGATCTCCTGTTCTCACTATTAATGGGTTCTGGGGATTCTATTCGCTTCTGAAGCCATTTAGGAATATGCTGTGAAGCAACAATCTTTTTTACTATGATATTTTCTGGATGATGAATAGCGGTGGAATCTGGGTTGCATGTCTCGTCCTATTCGGGATTCATCACCTGTTTCAACCTGCAATCCTCAGTGAGAAGTGGTGTTCCAACTGGCAACTGCCAATACATCCAGCCGACGGGTCGCGAATAAGACGAATCGCGCGCATCCTTCATTCTCCTGTTAGTCACCATGCCCCAGATGGGATCATGTTAATCCTCAGGTATCGTCGACACATCAGCAGAGAACCCGTACATATCATCGGTCCAATAGAGGCAATGAACGGAAAATAAGAAATTAACTTGAACAAATCTTTTCCTTGATATAATAGTAAAACTTGTGCACTGTGGTAGAGAGTAATTCCATTATGGGTAAAATTTATTTTCATAAAGTCTGACAGTGTTATACAGTAATGTTTACTGATATAACCACGTTTCGAGCACAATTTATTACTGCTCATTATCATATCAAGGCACACACACACAACTTTCTAACTTCGTTTATATAATTCCATTATTATTTTTCATCGCTTGACTTGATTGGTAGTAGTATTTTCAATACTTCCGGTATGATAACATAATTAAGAGAGAATTATAAGTCATGCACTGTTATACCTACCATATAAGGAGGGGACATCCGAAGCCCTACGTAGGATTCTTAATAAGGCAGGAACTAGGGTGTCATTCAAACCTTCAAACTCACTTAGGCAGGCCAAGCTCTGTAGACTAAAAGACCCGGTGAACCCAATTAAACAAAATAATATAATTTACAAAATACCCTGCAATGACTGTGGGGTCACCTATATAGGTCAAACTAGTAGATCGGCGGTAATCAGATTGGCGGAACATAAGAATTTAGCTAAGGTAAGAATGGTTGACCCCGAGAACATAAGTAATTTCGTAAAAGCTCAGCAATTGCACTGCATGCATTAACACACAACCACACAATCCGATGGGAAAGGGTTAAAATTCTATAAAGTAATCTAGTTAGGTGGAAAGAGAGGTTGATCACTGAATCTGTGTTCATCCAGTCCACACCCAACACGTACAATAATAATGACTCATCACTCATACCGGAAATATGGCGAATACTACTACCAATCAAATCAATCGATGACAAATAATGGAATTGTATAAACGAAGCTAGAAAGTTGTGTGAGTACCTTGATATAATAATGAGCGGTAATAAACAGAGTCATCAGTAAACATTACTGTATAACACTGTGAAACTTTATCAAAACAAAATTTTACCCATAATACAAATCTTTTCCTTACTAATCTGTTGTTTATTGTTGTTTATCTACTCATTCCGTCTCACCACCCCACCCCATTCACCTCTCCGTGTGTGTGTGTGTCTTTCTGTCTTTTCCCCCACTCTAGATCTACTTTCCTCCAAATCACCTGATGATTATTCTTTTCACGAAACAAAAGATAATGATGATGATGACAACCTGTTGAATCGATTAAAAATTCAAACAAATAATTTTAATATCAATAATTGTTTGCCATATTCTGACAAGAAAACTATCAATTCTGATAATAATAATAATAATAATAATAATAATGCCAATGATAGTGATAATGATGACATAAGTAGTAATGAAAATGAAGATGGCAGTGATCACCAATCAGACATTTCGATAATCTCTCCCCTACCTGGCCAGTGTTCAAATCTATTTGATGTCGATGATAATGACTGTGGACATCAGGTTGTCAGTAATCATGTACAAGACAATGTTCAACCAACGACAATTATTGAATATGCTGCCGCTGCTGATGGTGATGTCGTCTCCAGAGAAATTGATGGTGAAGTGACAGAGGAATCCCATTTGAATAAAAGTTACAACTTATCAGATATTCATATGATTACAAGTAATAAGAATGGAGTTGTTATTGATGATGATGACTCACATGGATGTAATCATGCATTGAGACAAGATCATGGTGATGCTGTGGATGTAGATGATGATGGCGGTCAAGAGGTTATCTCTGAAACTTTAGCCTCATCAGTATCACTGCCCGACGATGATGATGATGAAGAAGCAGAAGAAGCGGGGGATTCAAATGTTTTGCACGCTGGTGATGATGATGATGATGACCCTTCACATACTACAACTGTTACTCGATCGACAATGACACAATCACCTCCACCACTTAATGATGATGATGATGTTGATTACCAGTCAATTAGACAACCTGAACTTTCATTAACAAATAGTCATATTCTACAGAGTAGTAGTATTCAATTCAGTAAACAAGATGAATTGTCGTCTAAGGAGAAATTTATTCATAATAATATCATGTATGAGTAAGTGTTTTTTTTATTTTGAAACGGTTCTCTCTCTTTTCTTTTTTTTTGTATTTCATGTAAGTTAGGCGATTAATAATAATCCCCAAAAATTTCAAATTAGGTTCCTTAAATTCACGAATAGAATAGAACCTCGCCTAGTTAATTGGCTTTCTAGTTTTCTAGCCGGTCCTAAGCCCGTATAAAGAGGGAGGGTTGGGTGTGGGGCTAGCAGTCCTACACTGCAAAAGCTATCAAACTGCTAGAGAAACTTTAATGCACAGAAAAACATATTGAAAATACAAAAAATTCAAAGAGACGATTTTATTCTTCGCTGGAGTTGGAGAGGCGAAGTGACACAGCGGGCTGGTGAAAACCAGCCTTCGGGAAGCCAGTCAGCCAGCCGATCTGTCTTCTTTCGATGGAAGCAAGAATAAGAGTAGGGATGTGGAATGTCGGTACAATGTACGAGACTGGGAAGTAAGCGACGAGTGGGTCGTGAAGAGATGAGTGATTATGGGCAATCGTAGACCCATCTGAAGAGGACGGCAGAAGATAGAATAAAATGGAGATGTGTTGTTGAAGCCCTATGTTCCACTTGGAACTCAAGGGAATAATAATAATAATTCACGAATAAAACCTAAAGGATTATGGAAAACGAGGAAGTGCTGGGTCGTCAGGTTTCGAGATGACTACTTCATCACTACTGTGTATCTTTCAACGTCCGAATCCAACGTCTAATTTGTCAGTAGGCTGTACTAACCGAAAAATGGTGTTACTTCAAACTGCGGATATAACCCCATCCAATCAGATGTCAGTGGTTAGTAGTTCCCATGGTCTTGCTTGACTGAATCCTATTTGACAGTGGTGCGTTATGTTCGACTAAAGAAGATCTCTAAGAACAAAGTGTGGTGGTGACACGACTACTGTGAATTTTACTGGAAACTAACCTTGTTCACTACCGAATACTAAACCGATTAAAGGATAAAACTTAGGCACTGTGATGGTAGAGTATAATTTTGATAAAATCACACAGTGTTATACAGCAGTGTTTACTGATGACCACGTTTCGAGCACAAATTGTTGCCATTCATAATCATATCAAGTCATTCACACAACTTTCTTGCTTCGTTTACATGCTTGAGTAAAAATTGATTAGACATTTGAAGAAAATCAATATAAGATAAAGTACATTCAGAAATATTATTAGTGTTAGTGTTATCAATCAAATACAATAAGATGGGAAATAAGATGTTTTTATAGTAAAAGTAAGTAACTTGTTAGAATGTTAGAATGTGAATTGAATACATTTTAAGATTATTTATAAATCCTCTGATTTGACTGGTGGTAATAATATCTTCCATATCTCTGACATTTGCATTGAGTCACTTCTATTGCACGGGTTGGGTGTAGGCTCAATGAACTAGGATTCAGTAATCAATATCTTTCTCCATCTACCTATACTACTCTTTAGAATCTTAGCTCTGTCCAACCCTACTGTGTGGTTGCAGGTTAATCCATGCAGTGTTATTGCTGAGCCTTTTTCTAAATTGCTTATCCTCTTGGCAGAGACAATGATTACTGAATCCTGGTTCATCGAATAATTGCAATGACTGTGAGTTAATTCAACTATATAAGCCAAACCAGTAAATCGGGGATAGTCAAGTTGCCAGAACATAAGAATTTAGCTAAATGTAGAATGATTGACTCCGCGAAGATAAGTAATCGAGGATAAAGCTCAGCAGTTGCACCCCATGCATTAACACGCAACTGCACAGCAGGGTTTCAATGCTTTTTTTCGTAGTACTACAGAGTATTGGTGCGCCTGTTGTGACCTCCTGAGCATAGAAAAAGCAAACAGCTGAGAGAACATATTGAAAATACTACGACTTTACTTAATGAAAAGTTGACTAAACATTTATCTTAACAGGACATTTGACATTTATCCTGAAAACTCACTTTGCATCGTATTCACTTTTTTGAAACAGTGGCAAAAAGAGTTGATAAAAGACATCATACCTCTTTAGTTCTATTCAAAACCAATCAGTCCTTCAAAGAGTTACTTAAACGTAAATTGAATGGAAGACTTCCTAACCCACTCCGAGTTAGTGATAAGCGACAAATCCACCAGGTGGTAATACCTCATAAATGTTTACACTAGGCGAGTTACGGTAGTCTGTTGTACTTCCCACCATTACTGAAGGCTAAACTGTCATTGGTTGTTAACTCCGAATTTCTTGGTGGTGGCTTCGCTGTTGGCCAAAGTCGCTTATTATTATTGTTATTCCTTTGGGCTCCTCATGGAACAAAGGTGTTCAACAGCACTTCCGTTTTGTCAGTCTAGTTTGAAACTCTTCAGCAGTACTCATCCACAACCAGCGTTTGCACCCAGGACCTCTCGGTTACAAGACAAGCTCGTAGACCATTCAGCCAACTCAATGACCAGCCTATGAATTTTAACTTCTACGAATTCCTGAATTTAGCGTGACTAGCGCCAGCCAATGTTATCGGCGAGTATTTGTCCTCAAACCTGGCCTGGTTGAACCCCACTGGTCAGTTACGACTTCTCACTATGATTCCAGGAAACACTGTCCTATTGAAAGTCACTAGCAAGCATAAGATTAATTTTCAGGAGGTAGTTTGTGGGGACTTAATTTGCTTCAAATTGGGCCACAAATGGAGTCCAAAACTAGAACGAAACAACAGTTCAATATTCCCTGCCGTTTTTCTTCAATGGTTCTCAAACTGATACCAATCCTTCGACAATCTTGAAAGTTTTTTTCTTGAAATTCAAAGCAGACTAAAATTGAGTCGGTTTTGTTCTTCCTTCTTTTTTCTGATAAACATTACTTTAGATCAAATAAAGAGAATAAAGGAGACGACGATGATACAGAAGAAGCACCGCCTCGCGACGATGAAACCTTAGAAGATGACTTGAAAATCAATAAAGATGATGATATGCCAGAAACTAGTAGATGGGATGAAAATCCTACTAGCAGCAGCAGCTGTAGTAATACAGAAAAGCAACAGCAGCAAAAACAACAATTAGTAACAGATGATTCGAACCATCTGATGCTTATCCCGAATTTCTTCCCAATGACACCTCGAATAGAAGAATTATTCACAAGTAGATCAACTCAGGATGATAGTAAACATGACAACGGTGAAAAAGTGAGCGAAAATTTATTTCTCCAACTGTGTGTGTGTGCTAAAAGATCTTAGTGTTTTTTTTTCTTTATCTGTCATCTGAAGTGATGACAACAACTAGTGTTGTCCGTCTGCTGGGATACCAGCCCACTATCCTCATTTCTGTTTAATTTCATCATAGATGTACTACTAATGGACTTAACGCTAACTGACTTTAGCGACTTAGGGATTGACTTGTTACCATCAGGGAATAGTCCTTCTAGGTGAAGACTCCGGAGAGGAAATCAGTCGACAAGGTTGTGAAATTACATCGACTGAGATGGTTAGGACATGTGTTACGTATGCCGAGTCATCGCCTTCCTCGACAGTGGGCAATGTTAGCTAACATAGGGTCAGGCTCGAAAAGAGCTAGCGGCGGTCAAACAAAAACATGGCCTCACCAGTCAATGAAATCTACAACAGTTAGTCTACGCCATGTAGGAAGATGTAGACTTCCTGGTTGGGGTCCTCGGGACGGTAAAAACCAATGGTTGGAAACAATTGGTGACATGGCTCAAAATCGTTCTCAATGGCTGGCGCATATGCATCCACTCCTTGTGACTTATGATTTCCAATGAAACTGTTTTTTCTTCGTTATTAGTATTCCCTTGTCTCACACCTCTGTTTACTATCTATATTATGCATTTCCTCTACTTTCTTCTCTTGCTTTGTGTGCTACATGGAGGGAGTGTGGCGACTTGAACTGCTGCACATCGGTGCGAAGTTCTATGTCGAAAACAGACAGACAGAAGACTCCGGCTGACAAAATTCAGAGGCTTCTGAACACCTTGAGCAGCAGCGATATACGAATGTTAGATATGCGATTCGCTCCTGTCAAATGTAAGACGATGTTTGTTGCAGGACTGCACTGCATTGACTCCTGGCTTAAAGATAGGGAATAACGTGGTTAGTGGAGCGTGTTGACCACTTCACTTATTTGGGAATTTGTAATCAGGCAACGCCAGTGGGTTGATCACTGATGATTTCTCAGCACAGATTCAGAAGCCTCGCTTGGAATTTGCCAACTTATGCCATATCTGATGTAGACGTGATATCCGACTGGCTATCGATCAGAGGATGTGTCTACTGCTCAGCAGTTCGCTCCCTACTCCTTTTAGCCTATGAGAGATGGACATTAGAAGTGGAAGACATGAAAAGCCTGGCTAACTGTCTTTCATCTTAGGTGCCAGTGTTCTATCTTCCATGTTAAGTGGTATAATAAGGTGAGGCTTCGGTCGGGAGCTAGGTAACGAATGGAAATCAGTCGACGAGGTTGTGAAGTTACACCTAATGAGATGGTTAGGACACGTGTTATGCATGCATTCCTAGCCATCCCTCACCTCCCTCGACAACCAGCAATGTTAGCTGACATAGGATCGATCAGGTTCGAAAAACGCCAGTGCTAGTCGAACCAAAACATGGCTTAATCAGTCAATGAAATCCACAATAGTGAGTTTAAGCCAGCCAGCCAGTCACGTGGTGAGGTGTAGACTTCCTGACTGGTTGGGATCCTCAGGATGGTAAAAACCAATGAAGGCTGGAGACAATTGGTGATATGGCTCGAAATCGTTCTCAATGACTGTCGCAGATGCATTCACTCTTTGTGATTTATAATATCCAAGAAAGTTCTAATGTTCTTCGATATTAAGTATTATATCATCTTTTCTCATGCATGTTGTGATTAATTACGCGAACAATCATTTCTCACGGCTGTGAGGCCGACTTTATTGTTGTTGTGGTGATGACAAGGTTGATTTCAGTAATGCCTTTAAGCCCATGTATAAAACAAGGTTTGGTCACATACTTAAATTCGTTTGAAGCCTTGGCTATAAAAAGACTTAAACCTGTCTTATGTGTCCAAAAGTTATTTGTTATTACTTTAAACCCGCCTTGGTAATCCAATTTAGAACTAAGATTCAATTTACTTCATAATATTTTCAACCCCTTCTTTGTTTCTTTTTCTTACCCACACCTTAGTGTCATCTCCCTACTCATTATTTGTGGCCTTGACCTGTACACATTCTGACCTATATTATAGTAATTCCTGCTTTCTTGCCCTCTATATAACTGTCTATAACAAGTACTCAGGTGTGTGATCAGAATGTCCGAAATGTGTTGCGCAAATACACATTACATGTTTCAAATAAACTACGTCTTCTTATTGTGTTGTCGAAAGCGATGGTATTGTTTGTTTGTCGTCTGTAGAGATTTGATTGGTTACAGGATTTTCATCATGAGCTGACATTAGTTAGAGAACCATTGGAAAACCAACTGGGAGTACTGGACAGCTGTTTCGTCCTAGTTTGGGACTCTGCAGAAGTACGCACCCACCGGGATTCGAACCCAGGACATTCTGGTTACAAGGCGAGCTCGTATACCATTATGCCACTGGGACCCGATCCAATGGCCCATGAATTCTAACTTCTGCCAATTCGCGACATAGCGCGACCCCTAGCCAATGTCTTCGGCGAGTATTTGTCCTCACACCTGACCTGCTGCACCCTACTGGTCACGACTTCTCACTAGAACCCCAGGTAAGTCGCTAGTGTGCCTCACGCCCTATCTTCAACCCCTTCTCTCTCTCCCGAGCTTACTTTTCGACTAGTAAACTGGGGAAAGTTTAGGAGAGCGTTGGTCGGGAATCGAACCTCACAGACTACGTTCGTCATGGTTGGCAATCATTCTACCACTGAACCCACTGGCAAGCTCACATCCTAGTGTACTTATAGTTAACCCGAAGTGTTTAAACAAAGTCAAACCGATCATATTACACTATAAATTATTCCTACTTAAATTAAATTAAACGACTGTGGGTTGTACAGTATTCAATTTACCAATTTCTTTCTTTTTTTGTCTATTCAGAATGTTGTAGATCCCCTGAGAAGTCGACTGAATGCACGTTTATCAGAAGCTGTCAATACAGTGAACAGAAAATCATTTACAAATATGCCAAATGCAAAAACAACCAGTAGTGGTGGGGGCGGTGGTGGTGGTGCTAGTTGTAGTACTAGTACAGATATGATAATCACTGATACTATTACTGCCCTAATCAATAGTGGTTATAAAACAAGAAGTTTAAAAAAAGCAGAACGTGTTTTTAACATGACATTAAAATAATTTTTAAAAAATACCTTTTTATTATGCTGATTGATTATCTATCAGTTTAGTCTTGTTATTGACTTTTATTACTGGGAAGTTTAACCCGTTTTTTTAAAAAAAGTATTAATATTTTGTAACTTATTGCTTCGTTCTTCCTTTTTTCTGTAAAAACGTACAATATATACATATATATCCTTTTATTCGATATAATATAATACAAAGAGTTATTGACAATCTTCGACTTTTAAAAGAACACCGGATTGAGTGAAGAAATATGCATTCCTTTTCAATTAGTTCATCATCCACTGGCTCTACACCTGGGGTTTCAGTGGGAAGCCATGACCAGTAGAGTACAGCGAAGTGATCGCGCTATATCATGAATTGGCAGAAGTTAGAATTCATGGGCTGGTCACTGTGGAGTGGGGTCCAAGTGTCTTAGTGGTCTACGAGATCACTTTGTAACCAGAAGGTCCCGGGTTCGAACCCCGACGAGGTGAGTGCGTACTGATGAAGGGTCCCAAACTAGGACGAAACAGCTATCCAGTACTCCCAGGTTTTCTAACCAATGTCAGGTCATGATGAAATCCTGTAACTAATAAGTATAGTCTTTTACATCAAAATGTTTTACCAATCAAGTGGTTATTTTAGTTAATCAGTTTTAGGCATTGGCGAGGTGAGTGAAATTAAGACGTTGAAAGTCATCAAAACAATTAACCAGTAGATAGATGTTTGCTACAAGATATCTCAGTTTTGAATGAGGGAGGGGTGAAAATTAATTACGCAATCCAAGATGAGTTGATTCTTAGGTGTTGGCAACACGTTATTACGTAATCAAGAAATTTATAAAATAACAATGATGACTTAGATGAATAGGATGACTCAGAAGAGTCACGCGAAATACAAGCAAGTTAACAGAATTAGCTACAATTGTAAAAATAACAAAGTCAAAAGATAGTCATAAGGGGCAGGGAAAAACTCGTTTTTTAAAACCTTAATACATATAATGTAGTTGGCCATGACAAAGAAGGGGGTTGCACAAATTTGCTTTGAACTGACACACAGATTTGGCTTGTTCATATGAATTCCGATTGCCTCTGCTGTATGTAAAAGTCGTACTTGTAGACCATGGGGCGAGAGGTTGGGTGAGATAACATAAGTAACTTTAAAACCTTTGTTAGAATCAACTCGATGTCCAGCATCGATGAGATGAGCTAATATTAAGCTACGTATAGCTTTGTTTGAACCTTTGCGAGGTGTTCAGAAATTCGCCGATGAACTTGCCTGATAGTAAGCCCAATGTAACTAGCTCCACACGAGCAGTTAAGCTGGTAAAATGCACATGGAAGAGGCGAAACAGGGCAATCTATCTTTATTTCTTGAACTAAGCATTGGTTGGCTGGTGAATAATACAGCATAGCTTAGCTGCGCTGAAAGTTCTCTTCACCCTCATATTTTCGTCAAGAAAAAACAGGCCTAAACATTTTTCTTATGACCTAAAACTCCAACGAATTCAAGTGTATATGAACCCACACCTGTTTTATGTATTTAGTGCTTTTAAAGGAACTATTGAAATCAACTATTATGATGACTTTCGCGACAGACTATTTGCACAATCAATTGAATCAGGCGATTTTACTTACCCTTGAAGTGTCAATTAGGAATGTATTCCGTAGACCTAACCTGTAGGGACCATCAGTAGACCCTCCATATCTACGCGTGAGCGCACACAAACACATGTAAATTGATAAACTCTGTCGGATGTGGCATTACCCTCATACGGAATACTTTTTTTTTTTATTTCACTAAAAAGTTTTCCAACCTACTTCTTTTTCTCACTTCGTTCTCCCCTATCGCTTATCTGTGATCTTGACCTATAAACATTTTGATCTTTTATGCTCTGTTGCCAGTGTGTGTGATCGGAATGTCCCATAGGAGTTACACATTTGAGATAAATTACGCCTTCTTATTCGCTTTTTCCTATGCCCCCACCCACCCATTATCAGTAGACCTTTGGATAGAATCCACCTACTTCGCCTACTACTACTAATACTACCACCCACTCCTGGTTTCCAAAAGAAACAAAGAACAGAAATCCGAGAGAGATCCAATCAAATTTATTTTGAAAAAATTACAAATAAAATTCATCAAAACCACATACACACAACTACATTTATTGCTGTGAAGGACACTTTTTTCTTCTTTACATAAACCGACGAATATTATCAGGAAGACTTAGCAAGACAAAAAACACTCTACTCAGTTAGTAGCTTCTACCAAATAGTGTGTACGACTCGGCTTTACGACTACAATGTGACGAATTGAAACACGGCGTACCGGATGGTGGAGTTCCACAAGTCAACTTTGGATTGAATTCACAAGCGAATGGTATACACAAGCTTTTAGCACCCATAGCTGGTGCACCAGGCTCAACAATGACGTTTCTATTAATAAACAGGGGGAAAGGAAAAAAGGTGTATGCGAATGGATGAATCTATACCGAAAATGAAAATAAGAGCACAAAATACTCAACAGTGATTGTGTTAAGTCTTATAAGGCAAAAGAACATGCCGTTAAAGTGTGGCTTTGACAACAATAATCAAACATAATGGCTAAGGAAATAATTTCTGTGGAACTTCTTAGGAATACTTTGATTGGACACTAGTTAGTAACTAGTGTGATGTGTCTACTCTTTTGTTTAGCGCAGACTTAATTCTATCCGTCAGGTTTGCAATGTGGCCACCATGCCAATAGGTAGCTGGCCATCACAGTGCACATTGATTTCATGATATTAGATAGTTGGAGGCAATCGGCAGGCAGAAAGCCTTGAACCACCTAAGTTTCATGCTAGTTGGCACTCACCACCAGTCAACAAGGCGTATCTGCAATCCTCAAGGAACTCATATCCTTTCTGAGGTTCGAACCCCACGTCACACAGTGCTACCTGCAGTCAGAGACATTACCAGTGAGCAGCTATTCGGACTCGCGATTACCATCTAATCTCATCAAATCAATGTGCACTGCGATGGCGAACTACCTATAGAATGGTGGCCACATTGCAAACCTGACTGGAAGAATTCAGTCTGCACCAAACAATGGAATAGACATATCATACTAGTTCCTAGTGTTCAATCGAAAATAGCCAACACAGTCCTACAAGAGGTCAGTCGCAAATCCCAATAGCTGCTGAGTGGTATTGTCTCTGACTGCAGTCGGTACCGGGTAACGCTGGTTTGAATCTCAGAATAGACATGAGTTCCTTCAAGGTTGCAGATACGCCTTGCTGACTGGTGGTGAGTGCCAACTGACACGAACCCTAGATCACACAAGGCTTTCTGCCGATTGCCTCCAACCATCTTAAGGATATTCTCATATTTGGAAAGATACCTGTCACAAGTAGATTATGAGCATGACAAACACTGCCTTTTTGATTTCCACTGAAGAACTCTATATTCGACCAAAGAAATAAGTCAAACTTGTTACCAAGACGTCTCCGAATGAATTCTGTCAATTAAATAAATTAGTTTAAGAGAGCTAAATCAGTTTACTTGATTTCTTTTTCATCTCCTCACATTTTCAAGCTGGAAGCTTTGATGTGCTTTTTTATTTGCCTTAGTGTTGTTTTTAAAGCATGCTGTTTATTAGCCTCAAGTTCAAGCTTCCCTCCTGTTCTGGTATACTGTCAGTTACACGAAGTTTTTAGGAGTTCGTCGGTCAGGATTCGAATCCACACCTCTCACGCAGTTGTTAACGAGCATTCCTACTACTGAACTATCAATGCAAAATCATTTGATTAGTTCCGCTTTTTTAGTGAACTAATTGATGGTAAGAAGGATAACCTTATAAATCTAAACGTAGCAGTGTAAGTAACTATCTTCTGTACTTTCACACTAATCCTAATTACTTACTGTAACATGTGCGTCGGTGGCACAGCAGCAGAATACTCGTGGACCACGCATGTGGTTCGGAACCCGATCCTCGAGGCTGATGCACTCCTTTACCTCGCTAAGCCAGTAATTGGACTGGTTGGTATAGAGGGAAGGCTAGGCATGAATCTAGCAACGCCATCCCGTAAAAATAAAACACCATTGCTACCGAAGCTTCAAAGCTCCAGCTTGAAGCACATATGAGTAGAGACAACAGTTACTGAACCACCTAAATTACACCCATCAGTCAGTGTCTTGTCGGAATTAGACTCTGTAGGTGAATTACTACTGGCAACGCCTACCGGCAACTACCACAAGCGTAATGTGAAGACTGCAGACAGACTGTGCATTGAATGAAGATTTTCACTTTTACTGTATCCATTATGGGAAGTAAAAAACCGTCAGCTTAGTGCAGTTTTCACTTATAAGTACGTGTGATGTGTAGTCATACATGCCAGATGTTTATGGTGAGACTAGATGACGATATTCTGGCTAGGAAGTATCCGCACTGGTTATCTTCACTCTCACAACACCATTGGTCATATATACATTCTTTAGTAGTCCTACTTCTGGCTTAAGTACAGTGGGCTAGGAGAAACAACAAGTAGCTATTGGCGTAGTCAAGGGGCATTCGAGATCAGCGTCCTTATCTCAACGTATTTCAAGCCTAGTGTTATTGCACAATCAGATCACACTTGTTCATAATAACCTCCCAACCCACTACTTGATAACCTATCCCATTAAGTTACAATCTCCCAAATGGAGCTTCCTCTACTTCGGAAAAAAATAGCAAGCTACACCAAAATTACGCATGCAACACTAACAAACCTTCCTGTGACGTATGTATGTATACACGGGGACCAATACAGACACACAAACAGATGCGCACATGCAACTCGATAAAATCAATCAATCAATAATCATAAGTGAAAAGTAACAAAACTAAAGATTTACAACATCAAGAAAACATACCTGGCTGATTCATGTCGAATCACTTCTTCACAATCTCTATCACAACAGAAAGGAGCTAATGCAAGTGACTTTTTATCTAAAGCAGTGCATAGCTCATTCATATTGTTAACGGCAATCACATGATTGGACAATGAATCCAAAGCTTTCTTGTACATTGCATTATGAATTTCATCTAATATACACGGTAGTTTATTTGTTAACGAATCCATTGGCACATTCACCTATTCAGTAGTAAGAAGAGGACAAAAATATTAAGAATTCAGTTTATTAAACAGGTACATCTGGGAAATGTTGGCAACAAGCATTTCGTTCACATTGCCACACACTCCATGTAGCACAGAAAGGTGGAAAGAAAAAATGGAATTCAGAAGAACCATATTCTGAATTATTGTTAATAGATGGTTGCAGGCAATCGGAAGG